ATGGTGTACAAGGTACAGGACAAAGAAGGATACAGTTGGGATTAGCCAAGAAAATCAAGAATGGGGCGCGCAAAATTGTTCTTGAGAAAGCAGAAGAGGCGAGGGCTGCTGCATTCTCTGCTTTTAAGTCACTTGGTTTGGATGTTCATGAGCTTACGAATCCCTTGCCGTTGGCTCCTGCTAGGAGTCCCAATGGACAAGAAACTACTGAAAGAGACATTTCTGGAGGCTCTGCTCGTTCCAGTGAATTACAACATTTTCCAGGAAATTCAAGCATGCACGTGAATTGTGACAACTTTGATATGGACAATCACATAGAAAAGCCAAGGGAAGTATCAGGTGCCACCTTAGGCGTTTCATCAGAAATTAACTTGACCAGTCAGCTTCCTGATTTTCATCCCATAGGAACTGCAGTCGGCACTGACGGGCCTAATGCCGTGGAAAGGATCCCTCTTTCTGTTTGCGAGGACATCGAGATAAAAAATGAGGGCAATGTTGAGAAGCAGTTGACGAAGAATGCCTATATTCCTCTTAGTAATAAGGATGGTACAGGTGAAAAGGGTCCAATAACTGCAGGAAATATTAGTGGCGGATTTGATTCTTTCCTGGAACTTTGGGAATCTGCTGGGGAATTTTTCTTTGATATCCATTATAATAAGCTACAAGATTTGAATTCCCGCATCTCTTATGAGATACATGGAATTGCTATCTGCTGGAATAGCTCTCCTGTATATTATGTCAATCTTAGCAAGGATCTTCCCAACCTGGAATGTGCAGAAAAAGAAAAGCTTTTCAAGGATGCAGTTGTTGACAAGAACGAGGTTTTGGCTACCCACAACATGGTTGATTTTATTAAAGCTAGGTGGAACAGAATCAGTAAAATAATGGGGAATGAAAATACGAGAAAGTTCACGTGGAATTTGAAAGTCCAGATTCAGGTGCTCAAGAGTCCTGCCATTTCAATCCAGAGATGCGCTCGTCTGAATCTTGCAGAAGGGATCAGAGATCTTGAATTGGTGGATGGGACTTGGTTAATGTTGCCTCCGCTTCGCGTAAGCCACACCACTGACATGAGCATCGTGACATGGATTCTTTGGCCAGATGAGGAAAGACACTCAAATCCAAACATAGATAAGGTAATTCCAGACACTCAAATCAGTTCAATGTATATCATGTCTCAGGCTCAACGGTGTTGAGCAATAAAATAATCATAGCATAAATATCTTCTTGTCTTTCGTTAGTACCATCACACACAGATTTAGCTCATAGGTACTTCCTGAGTATACTTTTTCATGCAAAGTTTCTAAAACTGTTAATGTTATTATTAAAGGAAGTGAAGAAAAGACTGTCTCCAGAGGCAGCTGAAGCTGCTAATCGCAGTGGCAGGTGGAGGAATCAGATCCGAAGGGTTGCCCACAATGGTTGCTGCAGACGGGCTGCTCAGACACGAGCTCTTTGTTCAGCTCTTTGGAAGATCCTTGTTTCCGAACAACTTCTTGAAGCACTGACAACCATTGAAATGCCGCTGGTATATTCTTTAATTTTCTTTATCGTTACGGAGGATTTAGGCAGTCATCTCAGTGTTAATGTGTTCTCTGTCTGATTTTGAAAAATAAGATTGTAATCAATTATATTCCTACAGTGCACCTTAGAAGTTCATAGAAATTCATCACTCCGCTAAGTTAGTTGTTTGCATTCATTCTGTGTTTCAGGTTAATGTCCTTGCAGACATGGAGCTCTGGGGTATAGGCGTCGATATAGAAGGTTGCCTTAAGGCACGGAATATACTGCGGGATAAACTTCGGTCCCTTGAGAAGAAAGCATTTGAATTGGCGGGCATGACATTTTCATTGGACAACCCAGCTGATATTGCAAATGTGCTGTTTGGACAGTTGAAGTTGCCTATACCAGAAAACCAAAATAAAGGGAAACTTCACCCAAGTACTGATAAGCATTGCTTGGATCTTTTAAGGTATTGCAAAGGGCTAAGTGCTTTTCCTTACAATGTGTTATTGTTTTCCTCATGAAGTTTAACAGACTTCTTGAGAGGCACTTTCAGCCTGTGGTTATGATATCAAGAACAAGATTTTAAATTGGAATATGTCTTTGTCCCAGGAATGAGCATCCTGTTGTCCCAATTATCAAAGAGCACCGGACTTTGGCAAAGCTCTTAAATTGTACGCTTGGATCAATTTGTTCGCTTGCTAAACTACGCTTGAGCACGCAAAGGTATACTTTGCATGGCCACTGGCTTCAAACATCAACAGCAACAGGGAGACTTTCGATAGAGGAGCCTAATCTCCAAGTATGACTTCTGTTATGTTTCCTTTTTCATTCTATTGTGTATCGAAAAATCAATGACCGTGTTAGTTTTCTGCAGTCTGTTGAGCATGAAGTGGAGTTCATATTGGATAAAAATGGAAAGGAAGTAAATTCAGATGCTGATCGTTGCAAAATTAATGCACGTGATTTCTTTGTTCCCACTCAGGTAAATTTCTCTGTAATTTCTACAAGTTTTGTTTCTTTTTGGTCTTCAAGCCAACGAGACAACACAACTGAAAGCATTTTCTTCCAAAGATTGAATATAATGCTGATTTTTTTCACCACAGGAAAATTGGTTACTCTTGACGGCCGATTATTCCCAGATAGAATTGCGACTTATGGCACACTTTTCTAGAGATTCCTCGTTGATTGCACAGCTTAGACATCCCAAAGGAGATGTCTTTACGATGATAGCTGCAAAATGGACTGGAAAGGCCGAGGCCTCTGTTAGTCCGCATGATAGAGATCAGACCAAAAGGTTGATCTATGGAATTCTTTATGGGATGGGTGCAAACACTTTAGCAGAACAGCTTGAGTGCAGCTCAGATGAAGCCAAGGAGAAAATTAGAAGCTTTAAAAGTTCTTTCCCTGCAGTCACGTCTTGGCTTAACGAAACGGTTTCATTTTGCCAGGAGAAAGGGTAAGGATGTTACACATGCTTCATCAGTGCTCATTTTATATATTTCTTGCTGAAGACAGAAAGGGTGACTATAACCATAACTGCTGAACATTTTTGATATGCAGATACATTCAGACTCTCAAGGGAAGAAGGCGATTCTTGTCGAAAATAAAATTTGGGAATGCCAAGGAGAAATCTAAGGCTCAGAGGCAAGCTGTAAATTCCATGTGCCAGGTGCGACCTTGTGTCTTATCTATTTAGAATTGTAGTGTTATCTTCCTTTTTTTTCTTTGTGGTTGCTGTTGAAAGTTCTATAAGGAGTCCAAGTTTCTTAAAAGAGAATTCTTAGAAATAGAAGTCCTTTACCTGCTTCCAGACCATATAACTTTACCTGGTTGTGGTTTTCTTCAGGGATCTGCTGCTGATATAATAAAGATTGCAATGATAAACATATATGCTGCAATTTCTGGGGATGTTGATACCGTAGCTTCTAGTTCTTCAACGGAGACTAGGTTTCACTTGTTGAAGGGACGATGCCGAATTCTCCTACAGGTGAGAGAGTTGCCACCTACAGTTTTAAACTTCCTTGTGCCTGTAAAATTTCATGTCTAAATAGCTAATTGTGTGACATGATAACACAGGTACATGATGAACTTGTGCTGGAAGTTGATCCGTCTTACGCAAAAGAAGCTGCAATGTTGCTACAAACCAGCATGGAAAATGCGGTTTCACTTCTCGGTATGTTCCTTCTTCGTAGACTACGTATCTTATCATGCGATGTATATATGTGTATTGACTTTGTTGATTCGATTCTGTAATTTCAGTCCCTCTGCATGTGAAAGTGAAGGTTGGGAGAACATGGGGTTCTTTAGAGCCGTTTCAGGCTGATTAAGAAGACATGAGCAAAGAACTTCGACAACTCTGTAAATGTCAAATGAAGAGCCTTTGGATGGTTTTGTGCAACTCGCATATACAACCCCCTATTTGATGCATCAAAATATTCCAACATCCCATGGCTTTGACTTGATGCCATCCGCTGCTTCATCTTCATGAAGTGATGATAAGTAAATGATTTCAGTGGCTGCTTTGTGACATTCACTGCTTAAAGCTGAGCCATGGAGACGGAGAGATGAGTGGACGAATTCCAAAGGGATTTTACTGAGGCCTCTCTTCTTATCAGCTTCAAAGAGAGTATTTGTAAAGTTCCAACCAACTTTGACTGTGACTTAGAGAGTAACTTTTAACATGACCAAAATCATAGAAAGATTAGGCCAAGTAATTTTACTTTTTGGGATTGTAAATACACCCTACTGTCAACTTTTTTTTCTATATGTACTCATGGTTCCAAAATGGTAAATGTATCAGTTGATCACGTGAATACATGTTTAGATTTGAATCATTTGATACTCTTAACATGTGAATATCGGGTGAAGACGTAAAGTAGATATTAGGCGAGAATCTCTCTCAGATATATTCGTAAAAATATATTTTGAAAAATATGTAGATTGTATTTGTTTTTTCGATCCAAAAATATGCCCTTTTTTCTTCAACGCAGTAGACTCATCCCGTGAACCTGAGTGTTTACACTTTTTCAGAGTTATAATTGATACCACTGAGATTCTATAGTGGGGGCAATTGTCATAAATTTGGAATCTATCTTCCACTTCTCCAAAACCAAAACTAAGATCCCGAAACATGTAAAATAATGGATCTGTGATAAATCGACATTGGCCAAATAGATAAGCATGTATTTATTTTCTGTTATAGTAAGAACAGGAAGTGGTTGCTCACGAGCGGCGATGCAAACCAACCAGAGTGGTTTGCTCGGCTGTCTAGTGTGTTTTTTTCTTCTTAATCAACACTCATATTGAAAAATAATTTAAAAATCAATAATCACCGGAAAAAAAAAAGAAAGCTGAAAGACATTCTCAGCTTCAGAAGGTAACACTGCTCTATACGACAAAACCTCACCTGCTTCCTCCTCCCTTTTCCTCTTCTATCACAGAGTGACAACTTCACAACAACCTCTGTTGTGATTCCCAAAAACGGAGTCGTTTTCATGTCGCTCTCTCCTTCTGCCTCGCCGGCATCATCACCTCCAGCTCCTCCTTTAGCTCCTCTTTCCCCGCCACTTAATTCTCCTCCGCCGTTGCTTCCACCGCCGCCTCTCTTACCTCCCACCGCTTCCCCACCGCCTCTTCCGGTTGAATCTCCACCGCCTCCTCCGGTAGCATCTCCACCGCCTCCTCCGGCGGAAGCTCAACCGTCTCCTCCGGCATTATCCCCTTCCGGTTCACCACCATTGCCATTCCTTCCAACCAAGCCGTCTCCACCTCCCACTTCACTACCCTCCCCAACAGTTCCGCCGCCGGGAATAACGATTTCTCCGCCGCCTCCTTCTCCCCCCTCCGTTCCACTCCCGCCGGTGTATACGGCATCTCCTCCACCGCCGTCACCTCCTCGCCGCCGTGGACCTAAGCCTTTGCTTCCTCCTCCCATCAGTTCCTCTCCACCACAGCCTTCTCCAAGCACCCCGTCTCTCCCGGAAACTTCTCCTCCACCTAAACCACCGTTCAAAACGACGCCATTTCCCTCTTCTTCCACCTCTCCGCCGCCGAGGAACTCACCGGCAACAACAACTCTTCCTTTCTTTGGGCCGGTGGGACCACTACCAACTAAGCCAGACGGGACAGTAGCACCACCACCTATTGGGCCCAAAACAAGTCCCGGCGAATCAGTAATCTCCCCGGGAACGCCACAGCCACTTGTACCGAAGTCTCTCCCCGAGACGACGTCGTATCACCGATCTTCCGCGGGATTCTTATTCGGCGGTGTCATCGTTGGTGCTCTTCTGCTTGTCCTCTTAGGCCTTCTCTTTGTCTTCTACAGAGCCACCAGAAACCGAAACAACAACAGCTTCAAAACTCCATCAAAAGGTATATAAAAATTCAGACTAATTAAGTGTTGCTAAATCATTTCACTTTCAAAGAACTAAAATCATTCTTGACTACTGGATCAGCTCAACATGATCATCATCGAGCTGGTAATGTCGACGGTCCAAACCAAGCAAACGTTATCACAATGCCACCACCTCCAATCCCAAAGAAGGAGAGCAACAATTCTGTTGCAAGGAGCATTACAATGTCATCTGGAATGTTCAGCTACGAAGAACTGTTAGAGGCAACGGGTGGATTCTCGGAGGAGAACCTTTTGGGAGAAGGCGGATTCGGTTACGTGCACAAAGGAGTGCTGAGAAACGGGAGCGAAGTCGCGGTGAAGCAGCTGAAGATTGGGAGCAATCAAGGGGAGAGAGAGTTCCAAGCTGAGGTTGACACGATTAGTAGGGTTCATCATAAGCATCTTGTTTCCTTGGTCGGTTATTGCATCAACGGAGATAAAAGACTTTTGGTTTACGAGTTTGTTCCTAAAGATACCTTGGAGTTCCACTTACATGGTAAACAAACTTACATGATCCCTCTTGAGTTGAGGATTTGATTGATTTATTAGTTTATTTTGTTTTGATTGTTTTGAGAATGTGTTTGTGTAGGAAACAGAGAAAGTGTGTTGGAGTGGGAAATGAGAGTAAGGATTGCTCTAGGAGCAGCTAAAGGATTAGCTTATCTTCATGAGGATTGTGAGTGTTTTTTTCTCCTGATAACAATAGCTTCTTCTTTTTTGGTTTCTTATTCTTGAGATCTCTTGTGCTTGTAAATTGAAGGCAGTCCAAGTATTATTCATCGTGACATCAAAGCAGCTAATATCCTTCTAGATTCCAAATATGAAGCTAAGGTGATGATAATATGCTCTTTATTCTTAAATCATCAACCATGAATATTCAGCTTTTTTAAACTTTGGTTTTTAAGACAAATTGTGTTTTGTTGTTTCAGGTGTCTGACTTTGGACTAGCCAAGTTCTTTTCAGACACCAATTCGTCAGTCACTCATATCTCTACTCGAGTGGTAGGAACATTCGGGTAAATCTAAAACACCATCCATGCATGCTTCAATCTGTTTATGTTATTGTCTTAGTATTTAATGTATGGTATGAAACAGATACATGGCTCCAGAATACGCATCAAGTGGTAAAGTAAGTGACAAGTCAGATGTGTATTCCTTCGGGGTGGTGCTTCTAGAACTCATCACTGGACGTCCATCAATCTTCGCCAAAGATCCATCCACAAACCAGAGTTTAGTTGACTGGGCCAGGCCATTGCTTGCCAGAGCGATTTCTGGAGAAAGTTTTGAACATCTTGTAGACGCAAGGCTGGAGAAGAACTACGACACAAGTCAGATGGCTGACATGGCTGCTTGTGCTGCTGCCTGCATTCGCCAATCGGCTTGGCTTCGTCCCCGGATGAGCCAGGTTTGTCAGAATCATTAATTTTTTCTTTGTGTCCTAAAACGTATCATGACTAAAGTGTCTCAACTAATTCTCTTGAATAGGTAATTCGTGCACTTGAGGGAGAGGTGGCCCTAAGAAAGGTCGAAGAGACAGGGACGTATAGCTCCTCTGACATGACTCTACCGTACGGAACAAGTAAGAGTAAGAGGAGATTCGACACTGATGATACCACTTGAGAGAATATGGAATCAGCATTAGAGGCTAAGTTTCACCACAAGTATTTGTTGGACTTTATTCATTTGTAGCTATTAATCAACTAACACAAATGTTGTAAGACTATGTGGAGGAAGAAGAGGATAGTAAAGTAAGTAAGCTATGGTGGTTATTGGAATGTGCAGATCTTTGGAATATGCATTTTTTTCATCTCATTATGTACATACAAAAAGAACTAGTGAATTTTCAAATAATTTTTCTAAAAAATAATATCCGATCCCGTAGAATTCGTTTACTTGGTTCGTTGAACTTTACAAAACACATACTTCTAAATATAGATGTCTCTATTTTTACTGTGTTAAAGTATATTTATTTTGAGTGTTTACAAAGACGACAATTTGCAGAAAATTGTTGTAATCATGAGATCTACTACTCGTTCTATAGCTTTTTGTGTTCTCATTTTTCTCGTACTGAGCTCTGGTAAAGGTAATCTTCGCTATTTGCCTCATATTAATCGCTATGTAAAACAACTGATTGTTATTAATCGCAAAAAAACACTGTTTCAATAAAAACAAAAATATTGCTCTAAAACAATGTGTAGTTTTAATTAATCTTATTGCACTGTCAATTGTGTATCTAAATATCTTAAACTACCAATTTAACAACAGTTTTTTGGGTGTGGTTAATATAAAATAATAGAAGTGGAGGCAGAAGAAGGAGAGTGTTCAAGAATAGAAGACATCGAAGGAACATGCACATCCAAAGGAGAGAAGGAGTGCATGCAATTCATGACGAACAAATATAAAACAAGATATCTTAGTTGCACATGCGACAACATTTACATGTTACATAAGACCAAGCGGTTTTGCGATTGTAAACACCGATGTGATGAGAAGCCTGGGACGCCTGGGATGAAACTATAATTTCATTACTAAACTAACATCTCTTTGTTCATAAAATAAAGACAAGTTGTGCAAGCTTGTGGTGTTGGGATGAGTTTTATTTTTATTTTTTTATGAGTTTTATAAATCATAAGTAGTCTGCGTTTCTCAATCAGTCTCTTTTCCATGTTCAGTTGTTTCATATTGTAACAATCAAATTGCAAGTTTTTGTTATAATGATTGCTAGAAAGTTTTTCCTGAATGCATGCATATTATTGATGTGAGTTCATATAAAAGTGAAATTGAAAAGGATGGTAAATAGTATAACTGAAAATAGTTCTGCACTCGTGGACCCAAGTAAAGCCCAATACTCTGGTTCTCAGTTCCTATCAAAATTTGACATATTGGGGGAAATTTAGATCGATAGTAAACATTTAGCGTATTTTGTGATTTTAATTTAAAGTAAAGGACCAACGGCGAAAAACAAAAACAGAGAAAATATAAATATATTGACAATTGACTCCAAAATTTAAGACGGAAATGGAAGCTGTCTCTTACTAAACCCTAGTACCCTTTCTCTTCTTCTTCATTCTCTCCTCCTCCTCTTTCTCCTCTCTCCCTTTCGAACAAAAATGTCGATTCCTTGTCTAACTGAAGAGACGGCCAAGACGGTTCTGCGCCAGGTTCAAACTCTTCTTCTTCCTCTATAAACTCTTCCGTTTCTCTCTGGCTTCACCAGTTTTTTTTTTTTTTTTTTCAATTGATTTAATTATGGTTCTGATATTGGTATTCAATTGATTCAATTGATTCAGGTGGAGTTCTACTTCAGTGATAGCAATCTTCCCATTGATGATTTCCTTAAGAAGACGGTCACTGAGAGCGAAGATGGCTGTAAGTTTCTGACTTCCGAGCAAATTCAATCGATTTGTTTTTTTATTTTTATGATTTCTTCTTCTTATTCTCTCTGTGTTGATGTTTGTTTTGGAAAATAAACTACAGTGGTGAGTTTGGCGTTGATATGCTCCTTCAGTAAGATGAGAGGATATTTGAAGTTAGGTGATTCGAAAGGAGATGAGATTCCTGAAGATACGATCAAAGCTGTTGCTGATACTCTTCGAACTTCCTCGGCTCTCAAGGTTTCCGAAGATGGTGAGTTTTGGATGTATTAGAATCTTGAATTGAATATTGGATATAGGTGAAGTCTCTGCCTAGTGTAAACTTTGATTTTGTTTTAGGGAAACAGAAGTTTTAGCTACATTGAGACCTTGAAGAAATATATTTTGCAGTTATTTTATCACTTTTAGTTTTGGATTTGCTTACACAGGGAAAAAGGTTGGTAGGAGTACAGAATTGTTGAAGCTAGAAGATTTGGTTGAACAACTTAATGCTAGAACAGTAGCTGCTTCACCATTCTCGTATGATGTTAAAAGAGAAGACGTGGAAGCCTTTTTCACTCAGTATGGCACGGTAATATACGTGCGTCAATTTTCAAAATTCAGAAAAAAATAGTTACTTTTTGATTAACTGGTTAATGTTTATACAAGTATATGTGTGTGTTTCCTTTCAGGTTAATAGTGTGAGGATGCCTCGTCATGTAGCAGAGACGAGAGTGTTTTCGGGCGTTGCCTTGGTTGAGTTCCCTACAGAGGAGGAAGCCCAAAAGGTTATGAAGGAAAGCTTGGTCTTTGCTGGTCTCGAGTTGGAGTTGAAACCAAAGTAATCCTACTCTACATCACCATGTTCTGTATCTCATTTTATAACTCTTTTCTGTTAATTGTTTGGATGCCTTACTTGAAGATGATATTTTATTTTCAGGAAAGAGTTTGATGCTGACAGGGAAAACGATGAAGAGAAATTTGCTAATTACCATCCTCAAAAGGCTTCTACAAACCAGAAGAACGGTTCTGATCATAAGAACGCTTCTGAATATGAGGCAAAGTAGGGGTTTTGACTAGTGTTATTATTTCTTGTCTTTTGTTGCTATTTGTTTTCTTGAACTGACTATGGCTATTTTGTTATATTTGTAGCTACCCCAAGGGTTTGATCATTTCATTCACTCTCAAGCGCTCAGCTGAAGAGGGTACCACGGAACAAAACAGTTCCGAGAAGCCAACCGATACGACAATGGCTGAGAATGAATCAAAGCCGGCAGAGAATCCTGATGCTGATAAAGAAAACACTGATCAAGTTGAGGGCCAGGGAACAGAGGGTGAAGGTGATGAGGAGTCTTGTGATTCTCCAGTTAAAAATGGAGATAGAGAAGAAAAAGGTGCTTTAGCTACACATAAAGATAACAAAGATGTTGTCTTGCGTGAAGATCTCAAGGCCGTTTTTGGGAAATTCGGTGATGTCAAGGTACATAAATCAGTTTCTATATCTCGTCGTATAGATCATATCGTATAGTATTATTGTTGATTGACTTCTTTTTGTTTGTTTCCACTGTTGTGAAGTTTGTGGATTTCAAAATGGGAGCTGAGACGGGATACCTTAGGTTTGATGAACCTGAAGCATCCCAGAAAGCCCGCGCAGCAGCAGTGTTAGCCAAAGAAGGTGGACTAACCGTGAAGAATTTCATCGCTGTCTTAGAACCTCTAACCGGTAAAAAAACACTTTTAACTTCCATCTTTTCTTTTAACTGTATAGATATGTTCTGCTTGGTAGTTATATGAGTAAATTGCGCTTCTCAGGCGAAGCTGAAAAGGAGTACTGGGGTCTCCTTCGCAGCAAAGATCGGTTTGACAACAAGGGTGGCCGTGGAGGAAGGTGAGTTCATGTTTTTTGCTATTTGATTATTATGTTTGTGCATCTGCTTTGGTTCTTGGATCTTAGATATTTTGGTTTTGGTGACATGAAGGGGAGGAAGACGAGGAGGGAGATTCGGAAGAAAGAGAGGATCTGATTCGCCAGGTGGTCGCTGGAACAAAGCTCAGAAGGTGGAAGCATGATTTACAGTTTCTTCTACTCTCTCTCTATCTTTGAGCTCGTGACTTGTTGCTTCTGCTTTTAATATATTTTTACTTGCGACTTTATTTATGTAATACCTCACAGTCGAAAGCTTTATCTACTTGTGACTCTTGTGATGTTTTATAACTAGAGAACATTCGCAAGCAAGTTGTAGTAGCTGCTGCTATTTGCTAAATTTTGGTTTATATATCATATTTGGTTTCGTTTGACCATTTTTAGAAAGTATTTAGTAGTAGTACAGCTTTTAACTCTTTTATTCTCTTTATATAACTGTAGATCGATGTATCTCAAGTTTATATATGGAAATTTCAAACTAATGATGTAGGCTTGAATTAATTTTGAAAAGTCAGAAAGATTTTGAATTCATGTGGTCCTTTCGTTTGACTTTGTCCACATAGTTTTTAGGGTTTTTTTTTCTGCTGGTTGTTAAGCTTCTTTTCATTTTGACACGAGTAAAAAGACTAAAGAGGATAGCTTTTACAAAAAGAAGAAAAATAAAAAGTTAATAGCAAATTCAAAAACTAAAAAAATGTCATCTCACCTGAAATCTCCAAATTAAAAACGAAGTTCCTCTCTTAATTGTTTTGAATTAGAAAAGTAATGAATGCTCTATTTGAATGTTGTTGGTTGTTGTTACACTTGAAAGAGAAGAAGACGAATTACAGAATCTCGAAAATAAAGAAATGAATGAAAACGTATTGTAATAGAAAAATAAAAAATAATATAGGCGTGGAACTTTTAAGATTCACAGCTTGAAATGAACGGCTGTGATCGTCTTCCCTTTTGCTTCATCTCTCACTTCGAAAGTGGCTACCGAATTCCGCCTCTCCATGTTTGAATACTCTCTTTCTCTCTCCTTCTCTCTCTCTATTTCGATTTGTGTTCTTCTTCGTCTGGATTCGGCGTCTTAATTTCCCAGATTCGCCGTTTTAATTTCACAGATTAAATTCTGGATTTAGTGGATCTACTGCTACTGTGAGCCTTACCAGTCGTAGACGTTCCCGATACTCTGGATTTGATTTTCAAATGACCGTGTCTGCGTCTCTTAAGGTCAAATTTTTTGTTGTTGTTTTCACCCAGACTTCTTCCTGATTTATGAACTAAGATCAAAATCTACTCTTTTTGAAACTTCTTCTACTTCTCTTAGAAATCAATCACACTGCCATTTCGATTTTATCCAGATGAAGTTTGGAGCTTTTCTTTTGTTTTCGGTTCTGAAACTAACTTCGGGTTATTAATTTAAGGTTTTGGACCTCAATTCCATAACCTGAAGCTTATTTTTGCCGTTTTTCATTTGTAGCGTTTCTTCGCCGTTTTGCGTTTAGTTTCTGGGAAATGTTTGCTCTTTTGATAAGTATTGTATCTGTAAGCTTATCCTGATTGTTACTACGACTGTCTTTAAGTTTATGGTTTAAATTTTTGTTTTTTTTTTCAGATCGTAGCAATGTGCTACTGCTAGGCTTATGATGATTTGTAAGACAAACCAGAGAAACTGGCTTTGGTGTTGATTGCTAACTATGAAGAGTGAGATGAAAGCCCCCAATATTCCAGAAGATAGTTTACAAGGCGATAAGAAAGGGAAACACGGGTATGTTTATGCTTCATTTCTTTAATGTTGAAGTTGAAATTGCTTTTTAGCACCAAATTTGTTGCTTTCAACAAGACGTTCTCAGGTTAATGTTGCGACATCTTTGTGATGTGTAAAAAAACTTTCATAGGAGGACATTTGGCCCTGCAAGACGATCCACCAAAGGACAATGGACTAAAGAAGAGGTGGGTTCCTGTGTCTTTCTTTGCTGTCTCTGTGATTCTTGCATGTTTCATTTATTGTGAATCAGGCAAGTTTTGATCAGAAATTTATCCTGGAACAAACTGGTTGAGCGTAATCAGTTGGTTTTATCACACTCTAATGTTGCTTTGTTCGTTTCCATTTAACTAGTTGACATTACCTATCCTTTATGTGGACTGAAGATTTATCTCTACCAACTTTTTCTGTTTTCCTGTATTAGGACGAAGTCTTGTGTAAAGCTGTGGAGCGTTTTCAAGGAAAGAACTGGAAGAAGATAGGTAGTTCAAATAGCGAATTACTAATTCCTTCCTGGTCTTCCTGGTTTAGTATTCCAAGATATATACAGATCATGTCAATACTCTATTTTAGCCTCCCCATTTATTTGTAGTTTTTAAGAAGTATGTTAAAGCAACGTGATTTTACTTGTTTCACCTTTACAGCTGAGTGTTTTAAGGATCGGACTGATGTCCAGTGTCTTCATAGATGGCAAAAGGTCTTGAACCCCGAGCTTGTGAAAGGGCCCTGGTCAAATGAGGTGATTTTTTTTTAAATGTGGTGAATTGCTTAATATGCTTTACTCAACTTTGCTCAGCTTGGTGCTAGTTTGAGTGTCGTACATGTAAAGATCTCTAATGTGTTTTCTTTTCATATTTCCGAAGGAGGATAAGACAATAATTGCTCTGGTAGAAAAGTATGGGCCAACGAAATGGTCTACTATTTCTCAGCATTTACCTGGGCGCATAGGAAAGCAATGTAGGGAGAGGTATGCGCATAATCTCAACTTCTCTACCCAAGAATTTTTTTTTTACTACACTTCTTACTTTGGGTTGTACTTGTACTTGGATACGCATGAACAATATTGTGGCTGATGTAGGTGGCATAACCATCTTAACCCTGGCATTAATAAAAATGCATGGACCCAGGAAGAAGAAATAACTCTTATTCGAGCACATCAAATATATGGGAATAAATGGGCAGAGCTAATGAAGTTTTTGCCAGGAAGGTAAATAAGTCTTTTCCATGCGTCCTTGTATAATAGAATTTGTAGAACATATTTCTGAAATTTTGGGGATCTCTTCTGCTTATTCCGATGAGAGAAGGTTTTTCTGCAGATGATTATGGTCTATCCTTCCGTCTTTGGTTATTTGCTTATCTATTCTTATGTTTCCATAGGTCAGATAATTCAATAAAAAATCACTGGAACAGCTCAGTTAAGAAGAAGTTGGATTCCTACTACGTGTCAGGTCTTTTAGATCACTGTCAGAACTCGCCACTCATTCCCCTTCAGAACAAATCTGTCGCTTCATCTTCCTCGTGGATGCACAGCAGTGGAGATGAAGATAATTCTAGGCCAGGGCCTGATGCTGAAGAGTCAGAATGCAGCCAAGCTTCAACTGTTTTCAGTTATTCGCAGTCTACCAGTGATCTACCGGATGAGGTTAAACCTGGGAATGAGGGATTCTACATTCCTGAATTGCCTTCAGGAACAGAGCAGCAAATCTCAAACTCTGCATCTTATGCAGAACCATACTACCTTTCCTTTGAAGATGTCAAAACTGTTGACCCTGAAGTTTCTTGTGAAGCAGAATGTTCTCACGATGTTAGAACTACCACAGCTACGGAGGATCAATTGCAGGGTGCATCTAATGATGCTGAACAGGACCTCGATCTAGACTGTCCTCAGTTATTGACCAATAACATGGACGTAGATGGAAAAAATGAAGTACTCCAAGCTTTTCAAAGTTCAGTCAGATTAAGTGATCAAGATCAACCTTCTTTGCCAAACTCGGACACGGGTCCTCATTCAGAAGTTCAAACTTTGATCACGGATGAGGAGTGCTGTAGGGTTCTTTTCCCAAATACAACGAAAGATGGCAGTACATCTTCTGGTGAGCAAGGTCGGAATATGGTTGACCCTCAAAAGGGAAAAGGAGCTCTTTGTTCCCAGTCTGCAAAAACCCGTGCTCATGAAAATGGAACTATTCCACCTTTATCCTGTCATCCTTCAAGTTCTGAACCTAGTCAAGGTTGTCACCTTCTTAGAGCTACTGCATTAGATCGTAAAACTGATACAAATCACGGTTTCATTGTCACTGATGGACACGTAACTTCCCAAGGAAATGATGATAATGGTGGTATCCCAGAACAGCAGGAGCTGTCATATATCCCCAAGGATGCTTTGAAGCTAGTACCTCTGAATAGCTTTTCTTCTCCTTCTACGGTGAAGAAGATTTATTTTCCAATTGACGATAAGCCAGCTGAAAAAGACAAAGGATCTCTTTGTTATGAACCTCCAAGGTTTCCAAGTGCAGATATCCCTTTCTTCAGCTGTGATCTTGTACCATCAAATAGTGACTTACGGCAAGAGTACAGTCCATTTGGTATCCGCCAGTTGATGATTTCTTCGATGAATTGTGGAACTCCATTACGATTATGGGATTCACCGTGTCATGATAAGAGCCCTGCCAAAAGTTATAGTGGTGCACCATCCATCTTAAAGAAGCGGCATCCGGACTTGCTGTCACCTGTGCTTGATAGAAGAAAAGAAAAAAGGCTTAAAAGAGCTGAGGCTTCCTCCTTAGCTAATGATTTTTCGCGCTTAGATGTTATGCTTGATGATGGAGATGATTGCAAATCGTCTTGTTTGTCAGAATCTCCTGACAATAAAAATATATGTGCCTTTCTTTCCGAAGCCAAATGTCATAACGATTTGGCTTCAGGTGGGTCACATCAAGAAATGACTCATATAGATGAGGACCCAAAGGAAGCCTTGGAGTCAGGAAGAGTGATTTCTACGACAAACGAAAAGGAATATAATGACGGTGGTGCATCAGCTAAAAATGTAAGTCCGTCTTTGTACTTGCATGCTATCTGTTATCACTTGTTAATCCCAAGTCATCCCATTCTTTGGTATTCATTTTTTGAGTAACTTCTCGTTTAACACATCAATCTAGTCTGTTGAAATCTCTTCTTGTGGGAACTGTCTTTGTAAAGGATCATATTTCGTCATTGTGGATAATTCTTCAATAAAGTAACCTTAATAACTTTTAATCTCTAGATCTCTTGCTTTCCTTTGCACCAGGACCAAGAAACTTCTCGAAGATTCGATGATTGTAATGATGTTGAGATACAACTGTGTTCTCCTGATAACACTGGATCAAACGAACACAAAAGGTCATTAGGTTATATTGAAGAAATCTCATCAGAACCTCCATGCACTGCAGACTCTATTCCTTTATCAGCAATCGCAGGAAATAAAACCAACACTGCAGAGAGTAGTTTTGATATTGAAAATTTCAGCATGTAAGTTTTACTTTTCCTCTGTATGTGTTTAATACCTGATTTTTACTTCTATTGAATCATATTTGCTGGAAAGTATAATTCTAAGTCGTCTTGGTTTAACTCATTTTCCAGATTTGATGGAACTCCGTATAAAAAACTCCTTGATTCTCCATCACCATGGAGATCCCCTTTACTCTTTGGTTCTTTCTTGCAAAGTCCAAGGTTGCCTCCAGAAATTACATTTGAGGTAATATAAGATGGAATAACTATAATTGATGTTAGTTTCTGGATATTCTACCTTTTGTATTAGATTGAAAGCAAGTGCCTGTTGATGGACGAATATTGGTTGTTGTTCTTCTTTTTACTTCCAGGATATTGGCTGCTTTATGAGTCCCGGAGAGAGAAGTTATGACGCCATAGGACTGATGAAGCATCTGAGTGAACACACAGCTACGGCCTATGCAGATGCTTTGGAAGTTTTGGGAAATGACACACCTGAAACAATACTCAAGAAGAGACAGCTGAACAAATCTATTCAAGGGAAAGAAAATCAGCTCTGGCCTCATGATCAGCTGGAAAGCCGATCCCAGGTAGCACCTTAAACTGTCACATATATATATCATACAAACTCTTGACAAGTTTGGAACTGATAAACTCCTTTATCCAATTCACTTAAAGACTTGATTAACGAGAGGAGTCTCCAAACTCTTGACCATTGCCCCAACCAAAGTCTCCCTTTTAAACCTTCAGCTCTCAACTAACTGTATAAAATCTGTTCCTGAGCTGGCAAAGCTACAATTCACTGCTCAATCCCTAGGCTAGTTAGAAGACATCCTTATCAACTCTCTTCTTCTGTTCTTGGTCTAAGTTAATGTTGAAATTGAATCATGAACTTGGTAGAGAGATACGAGGAATAACAGTATGAGTTGGAGTCTATAAGCTGACTTACTCTGAACCAATTCTGTGTGGAAATGCAGGTGGAGCGCCGCACCTTGGACTTCAGCGATTGCGGGACACCGGGGAACACAAAGGTATCATCGGCTTCTCCAGGCGGCTACTCAAGCCCATCATCTTACCTTTTGAAGAGTTGCAGGTAAAAAAGACTGCCTTTGTTCATAGATCTCTGAAGTGACATTCATTCTCGCCTTCAATTATTTTTGATCCCATATGTGTATGTCTTATCCTCACACCCCTTCTTTCTGTCTAAAAATTTCTTGTTTCTAATTTTTGAATGTGTAGATCATTATTCAACTCTGGGACATGATACAATTTGATTAAATAGAGAAAACGTCACTTTGTTCTCAAGAAAATTTACTTGTAAAGCTTCCATAAATGAGAGTTTCAAGCACAAATAAAAAGGCCGTTCAAAAAAAAAAAGGAGATTAAGGTCAATTCGTATATAGTTAAGGTGAAGAACGGTGGTTCCACGGCAAGATAATTTGGACTTGCTTATATTTGAGTTTGACACATGATTGTTAGGCCTAGACTCCTATTTCAAGATATCGAAAATAACTAATGTAAACGATCAAAATGAACTGCTCAAAAGACAGAACCAAACCCCAATTTTTGATTGTCCACTACCACTGTATGTATATCTACAAACGGGACAGTCCTAAGTCCTAACCGCTCTTTGTTAATCTTCTCCTGATCCGTCCATAAACAACATCAGAAGAAAGCCCTGAGGATCACTGAGGCAACAATTTCCTGAGCCTAATCTCTGAAGCAAACCATCTTTAGAGGTTTACGAGAGGGTCATACCAAGTTCTTCTTCTCAAGAATCAAGATCTTTGCCTGCTAGAAACAGTATGAGTTGCATTGGGCACTTCATTGTAAAACTCGTCTTCTTCTTCTTCTTCGTCAGATGATAGCGAAGATGGACCCATCCATGCTTTAAATCCCTCGTTCACTCGTCTTTCAACATCTGGTGTGAATTCCAAGGGATTAGCTTCAAGCATCTCCAAGCCCTGATGATTTCTGTTCCCAAACTCTCCTTCACCAAGAGTTAGAGCAGCGCTTCTTCTTAGGAAGAAAGCAGTTCCAGCATACAAGATCACCAAACCCCAAGAAGAAATCTCGTAGCACCAAAACAACGGCACAGAACAGCTGCTTCCTAGTGTCAGGAGGCTTGAGCCGAGAATTATAGCCAGGAGGCCGTAGATGATAGCAAACACAGCATTAAGAATTGACAGGCAACGAACCCCACCTGTGAATTTATCACACAGGATAAAGAAGATCAATAACCTATTTTGAGGTCCAAGCTTAGTGATACGAAACTCTGAAGAGGTCAGATTCCCAAAGGTGCATATATACACATAAATGGAAAGCCAAATAGGTCTTAAAGAAAGAGAAGAGAGTATACCTTTTCTTGAAGCACAGTAGTTATTATCAACGACTTGTAGAAACCCATGGCGGTGAGGAGCGGAATAAGCCACAAAAATTCCTGCAGCATTGCAAACAAAGAAGACGTACCACACCTTTATGTAAAGATTGACCAAAAAAGACAACACAAAGGCAAAAATTGTAAAGAGTTTAGCCATTTAGGATACTAAAGTATATAACAGTGTGAGTTACTTCTTGAAGGACAATAGATGGGACTCTCGACTCTACTCAAAGCAACATATTTGGCTACATGTAACAATCAGATTCTGGTAGTCAGCAAAAGCTGACTCACTTTATAAGAACCCTCAAGCTTAGAGAATTAGAGCATAGTAGCTGGATAATCAAGCGTAGCTAAACACTTGTCTTAATTAGCATTAGTAATCCTCTTTCACTAAGATACATATGAGAAGACATAAATCTCCAAAGGGGAGAAATCAGACCCACCAATTTCCTTACATAGAGAATCAAATCTAACATAATCTAGCAGAGGAATTAACAAGATTTACCAAATTCCAGTGAATACCAAAGCACGTCATCAAACGGAAATCAGTGACAAATGCAAGCCTAGCTCTAACGAGATAGAAGAACGAAGAACAGAAGCTAGAGAGTGACGCTCACCTGCTACAAGATAAACAGATGATACAAGGAAGATCAGAGTCGACGGGACGAAGACGACCATCCAGTAGAAATCCACAGTTTCCTGATCCGTCAAGTAAAAAGCACCGGGAAAGAGATCGGAGTCACGAGCTTTGCCATAGACAGGCAAAGGCTGAAGCTTCCAGTCGCTGCAAAATGGCCTCTTCAGAACATTCGAAGGAAACACAATTTTCAAGCTGATGATCGTGCAAGTGAAGATGACAAAGCAAATTAAAGCCACAATCGACATTAGTGTCGGCCTCTGAAGCTTAATCCAGGCTCTATCTTCCTCCCTAAGGCTCTCGTACTCCTGCTTCGGCATGAACGCCTGACGCAACGCGTCTCCAATGATCGCCATTGAAGGAAAGGAATTATCAAAAAGCCCTAAACGAAAATCCGAATTAAACCCTTTTTTGCCACTAGGCTTTTGATTTTTTCCGAAATTGATCAGGAAGGCTAGATCTCAAGCTTTTTAACAAACTCGAAGAAGAATCAATGGAGAGGAGCACGAGAGAGTTGAGAAATGAGGAAGAAGTAATTGATTCAGAACACAAAAATCCCATTCAAATAATTGAGATTTCCATGAACATTAACATCTCTAACTCCCAAAAAAAAAAAAAGTACTCCCATTCACTGTTCTTGATACGATGACCGTCCGATTTAATTGGTCGGTCACTCCAACGGCCCGATGAAAATACTCCAAAAATTAATAAGTGAGAAGAAAAAGGAAAAACAAAAAACAATTCCAGAGATTCTTCGCCGGAGTATCCTCTTGCGTGATCTTACGGCTGCTTGCTTTCTTCTCCGGAAAAAGCTTGTTTCAGAGCGCAGAGGAGATAAAGCTTCCGTCCAGCTTACCTTACAGACTCTCTGCTAATCGTAAGTCTATTTACTTATCTGAGAATATTTCAAAAGCTTGATTTGAGAGTTGCCTCGATTCGATTCACATATACTTGAATATTCAAAAGTCATCTGTTAATCGTCCGTCCTGCTGCTTCAATGTGCTTTTTCCCATCTTTTTTTCTCTCGAATTTTGTGTTTATTATTTGGGTCTCTTGCCATGCGAAGTGAAATTGTGAAGTCAATTTGTTGAAAACTGCAATTGAGAGCACATCTCTAGGTTGAAAACTGCAGTTGAGCTGCAGAACAGTTATTTCTAGGTTTTGCTTGTTTTCACCTCTCCCGTTTCTACTTTCTCTTTTGTTCTCAGGTATTGAGGATGACACAGAGAATTGAGGACGCGTTAACATCATTCAGAAACTTTGCTTGCACTAACCGTGCATTTCTGGGATTGACTGTATTCATAACATCCTGCGTCTCGTTTCTTGGATGGTACATGGGCTATATGAGAAAGGAGATATCAAGGCATGATAAGCACACTCAATCCGTTACTGTAGCAGTTGTGGTTCTCGAGGCATTCGTGGTAATCTGCTATGGTTCGGGTCTAATGCATCGCATATGGACTAGAGATGACGAGAAATGGCAGATTAGGAAACAGTTTGTGCGAGCTCTTCCTACATACCCTCATCTTCGCGCCCTAAGGAAGGGAGGCCTCTACGTGTTGGCACTGGCGTTATTCATGATGATGGATGCTTCGTTTGAACAAGGCAGTAAAGACCACAGCTGGATCATAGTCTTCTGCCTGTTCTTCTACATGCATCTAGTGCATGTCTGGGTAGCTTTTGGGTTAGGTGAAGATTGTGATTTGGCTGGTGGGTTTTTAGCAGCATCGTTTATGACACTGTATAAGATTTGTACCGTGGTGCAAGTTATTCCTCTGCTTTTCGTTGCTGTTGTTATAGCATGCTACAAGGGTGTGGTTTATAGTGGTGTCGAGGTTTTAGGCCTCGGCTTACCCAGTCGCGTTAGAGTTTATGGATGGGGGGGGGGGGTGGGGGGGTGGGGGTGGTGTTAGGGGTTAGGGTATGGGTTTAGGGTATGGGTTAGGTTTAGTGGTTGATGGTTGGGTTGGAAAAGAAAAAACAGTGGTGAGTTTTGCGTTGATATGCTCCTTCAGTAAGATGAGAGGATATTTGAAGTTGGGTGATTTGAAAGGAGATGAGATTCCTGAAGATACGATCAAAGCTTTGATGTTGCTGATACTCTTCGAACTTCCTCGGCTCTCAAGGTTTCAGAAGATGGTGAGTTTTGGATGTATTAAATTTTGAAGTGAGTTTTGGATATAGGTGAATTCTCTGCCTAGTGGAAATTTTGATTTTGTTTAGGGAAACAGAAATTTTAGCTGCATTGAGACCACTGTTTCAGATTGGAGAAATATCTTTTACAGTTAATTGATCACTTTTGGATTTGCTTACACAGGGAAAAAGGTTGGTAGGAGTACAGAATTGTTGAAGCTAGAAGATTTGGTTGAGCAACTTAATGCTAGAACAGTAGCTGCTTCACCATTCTCGTATGATGTTAAAAGAGAAGACGTGGAAGCTTTTTCAGTCAGTATGGCAAGGTAATATACTTGTTTCGTCGATTTTCAAAATCCACAGAAAATACTAGCGAGTTTGATGAACTGGTTATACAAGTGTGTGATATATCATATATGTATGTGTTTTGCCTTTCAGGTTAATAGTGTGAGGATGCCTCGTCATGTAGCAGAGACGAGAGTGTTTTCAGGCGTTGCCTTGGTTGAGTTCCCTACAGAAGAGGAAGCCCAAAAGGTTATGAAGGAGAACTTGGTCTTTGCTGGTCTCGAGTTGGAGTTGAAACCAAAGTAATCCTACTCTACTTCACCATGTTCTGTATCTCATTTTAGAGATTAGAGATTAGAGATTAAGGAGCCTTATTAGCTGAAACTATTAGCTGATTAGCTGATTCAGGAGCCTTATTAGCTGATTAGAGATTCAACAGTGCCTGGTGTTGTTTATAGCTCTTGATGCGTTGCTTCTGTGTCATGCCTTTCTAAAGATTCTCAATTTCTGAACAATGGTGCGATGAAAATTGCCTCCTTTACAGATAGAAATGTGGGATTCAAGTCCTGAAATTAGATCCTTAAATCTCATTGGTTTGGAAGTAGCTATGAGCTTGGTTTTCATTTCCTTAGTAAACTTAAATCATTATTGTTCACGATTCAGTTGATTAGGTTACAGACAAGAGCATTTTCATTACAATAATGTTTATGAGAAAAACATTGAATGACCAAAAGATACAAAACTGAGACTCTACTAATTACATAGTCAAAAGACTCTTACAAGACAAAACAAACCAAGAATCTTGCTCACTTTGAATAAGCAACAAAAATTCCTGCAGCATTGCAAACAAAGAAGACGTACAACACCTTTATGAAAAGATTGACCAAAAAAGACAACACAAAGGAGAAATTGTAGAGAGATTTAGCCCTTTATTAGCCCTTTAGGATAATAAAGTATCTAACAGTGTGACTGTGTGAGTTACTTCTTGAAGGACTGAATGAAAAGAGACGAGTACAACATATTTTGGCAACACGTAACAATCAACTGGTGGTCAGCAAAACTGGGTAACTTTGATAAATCCCTTATCATTCAACTGAAATATAACAACCTTCAAAAAACTCATTCAAATAATTAAGATAAAAAGTAAAAAACTAACATTTACTGTTCTTGATACGATAACCGTCCGATTTAATTGGTCGGTCAAACCAACGGTCCGATGAAAAGCAGGACCTAACTAGATTTACACGTGGCATTGCTTTAGACGACCTTCTGCCAAAGATATTCGACTATTTGTTTTTCCATTTTTTGTTTTTTTGCTAATTCGTGAAAATGATCTGATCATCTAAAGAACAGAAAATTAGAAAAATATTCCGAAAATTAATAATAGAGAGGAAAAAGGAAAAACAAAAAACAATTCCACTAGAGAAAAGAGAGAGAGAGAGAGAGGGGGCGTGAATTCCTGAGCGAGAGATTCTTCGCCGGAGTATTCTCTTGCGTGATCTTACGGCTGCTTGCTTTCTTCTCCGGAAAAAGCTTGTTCCGTAGGTTGGAAATTCGTCTTTCTCTTCCCCTTCTGAGGTTTTTTGGTCCCGAGACCGAGGTCAAAGCGAAGATGGTGAACGCTATGGTGGAGAGAGCGACGAGCGAGATGCTGATCGGACCGGATTGGGCTATGAACCTCGAGATCTGTGACATGCTCAATAGCGATCCAGCGTATGTTGTCGCTGCTCCACATGATTTTGATTTTATTTTATCTTCCTTTTATCTCCCAGCTTACATCTTTGTTTCTGTGTTTAAGTATTCGATTGATCTCTTGAAAATTATTGGAACTATCTATTCGAATTGTGCTGGATTTATTGGTTCAGTGATAATTTTTTTAACTAAGATGGAAATCGAATTTCATAGTTCTGGAGAAGCAGAGACTAGAATTAGATATCTCCCATGCTCCCTTTGAGCAATTGGAATACTTGTGAGTTACTGTTTGCCTAATTTTGGCCAAGTTTCAAGCAATAACCGATAATTTGCAGTAGCTCATGGAACTAAATATAGTCATTATTCTGTAAAGCTTGGAAGTTATTTCCCTGATGTGCTCTGTGATTGGGAGATGCAGATCTCTGGGTTACATAATTGTTTTTTACTAACTAGACAGATCCGATATGATGTCTAAAACTGGTTCCTGTTTTGCAGGCAAGCTAAAGATGTTGTGAAAGGCGTAAAAAAACGGATTGGTAGCAGGAATCCAAAAGCTCAACTTCTAGCCTTAACTGTGAGCTCCAAGATAATTTTCTTCTTTGTTTTCCTATGATAGCGTATCGTCATAAGTCACTCATAATGCATTTGTTATGTTCTAGTTGCTTGAGACAATAGTGAAGAACTGTGGGGACATGGTTCATATGCATGTGGCTGAGAAGGGTGTTATTCATGAGATGGTCCGGATTGTGAAGAAGAAAGTAAGGGTTTCTTCCAAATTGGTCTTGTTGAGAAAAGTTAACTCTATATCTCTCTCTAATTTGAACTATCTATTGATGCATACAGCCGGACTTCCATGTCAAAGAGAAGATCCTGGTCCTTATCGATACATGGCAAGAGGCCTTTGGTGGCCCTAGGGCAAGATATCCACAATACTATGCAGGATACCAGGAATTGTTGGTAAGTGATATTTTTCCTACAGTGAAGTATTGCTTCTGATTCTGGATGTCCAGATGTATATGACTGAGGTTTAAATATGTCTCATACTGAATTCTTCTTAGAATCCTTTTGTGAGTTCTGATAGAAATTCTTCCACTGCTCTTGCCTAACCACTATTGCTGACTCCTGTCTCTTTCAGCGTGCTGGGGCTGTTTTCCCTCAGAGATCAGAGAGATCAGCTCCTGTGTTCACACCTCCACAAACACAGCCTTTGACATCTTACCCTCCAAATCTTCGTAATGCTGGACCTATTGATGATATGCCTGAACCTTCAGCAGAGCCAGAGTTTCCGACACTGAGGTAGATATCTTCTGTTACAACTCGGCTGTTTTATTGGAACATTTTGTTGTGCTAATTTCAACGTCCTTGAGTTATGTGACAAATTTTCTTACGTTTTAGCTACTTTTTGCTCTGAGGAAATGTTTTATCTTAGAAGCCTAGATATCTGGTGATCGAAGTTGATATTTGATTAGAATGAAGGGAATAATTTCAATTAAGTAAATCTTCTTTAGATTTTGCAAACCACATGTGTCGTAATGGTGTTTAATTTTTTCTTCTAAGACTTACTAAAGAATGTACGTTATGGTCTGCAAGTGTTAAGTTTGCATGTGTTTACTTACTCTACTTAGGACGTTGTTGCATGCCTTTGCTGCTCAGGATCTGTTGCTTCCCAAATGTTTATGCTGTCGTATGTCAAAATTCTTTTTTCAGTTTGTCGGAGATTCAAAATGCAAAAGGTATCATGGACGTGCTTGCGGAAATGCTGAGTGCATTAGAGCCGGGTAACAAGGAGGTAACATAATTTAGTTGCAGAGAGAGATAACTAGCTGTTTGCAAGTGTTGGCTATAGTGCAAAATATTCAAGAATTAGAGGAACATTTTTGGATTACTTTTACTTTCTACGTAATTGTTTCAGGATGTTTATCCTTCTTTTTTGGATTTCATTAGGACCTTAAACAGGAGGTGATGGTCGATCTGGTGGAGCAGTGTCGTACATACAAACAAAGAGTGGTACACTTAGTCAACTCTACTTCGTAAGAGCTCTTTCTTTTCCTGTACAGTTACATTTAGTTCTCTCTTTATGTCGCATGTTAGTTGTATTACTTTCAGTGCGATGAGATATCTCTTTGAATTTTTATCTACTATTCCTACATATTACCCTTAGATTCAGCAGCTTAAGATTCGTTTTTATGCATTCGTAAATGACACCTATTTCCTTCAGTGTGAACTACCATGGTGATTCAATTGATTTTGGGACACAGTGATGATGTGCGTTTGGAGGTCCAAAGACTCCAGGTCTTCTTAAGTAAAGAAAGCCACCATAGCTGATTCTTCTATCTAGTTTCGTAACCATGAGTTATAGCTGGTTAGTTTCTCTGTTTATATTGAAAAGCATAGAGAGAGTAGGGGAGCGTTCGTGTTAACTGAGTTTAGGTTTACGTAAGAGGCAGAGGAGAGAACTTCATTAAGGATATTCCAAATTCGTAGTTGCCTAAGTTAATCCTGTGAAATACTTACTTACATTTTAAAGTTATCATGTGGAATACTCCAGTTGATGTGAATTGTGGTTATTCTTTGTACTCTTCTTTACCTCACAATTTTGTTATCCAGGGACGAGTCTCTATTATGTCAAGGTCTGGCGTTGAATGATGACTTGCAGCGGGTCTTAACTAGTTATGAAGCAATCGCTTCTGGAACTCCTGGAACTTCTGTTCGAATCGAGCAGCCCAAGTCTGCGACAGGAAATTCCCTTGTTGATGTTGATGGTCCCCTCATTGATACTGGAGACAGCAGTAATCAGGCGAACGGGTACGTAAGAACAAACTTTACAGTCATGCTCCCAATAATTTTTGGATAAAATCATCTGTTTTTGGGTACGGCCAGACGGGTTACCAATCATTACAATGTGAAAACTACAAGATACTGATGAAGATGAGAGTTACTTTATAACTATTTTTTGTCTTATTAAAAAGCTTCTGATTTGTACTGTGTGCAACGTTTTCTCAGAGCTACATCAAGTTCTAGTAACGGGGTTCTAAATCAGTTGGCCCTCCCTGCACCACCTGTAACTAATGGTTCAGCCAATTCCAAAATAGACCTCCTCAGTGGCGATGATCTTGCCCTTGTTCCTGTTGGACCTCCTCAACCACCAAGTCCGGTTGCATCAGATCAAAATGCACTTACCCTTATCGATATGTTCTCAGACAATACTAGTAGTCCAAGTCCTGCAGCTGCACCGACTGGCAATTCAGCTCCCCAGGGTAGCCCTTTGAATCCTCAGTTGCACCAGCAACCAAATAGTCAGCCTGGAGAAACTGGATTACAACAATCCAATGGATTTGCGCCACACGGGGGTTATTCGCAGTTTGAGCAGCCATCATACGGGCAAGGGGCCTCTTCTCCCTGGAACAGTCAGCCTGCGCAGCCTCCACAGCAGTTTCAACAACCGCAGCAGCCATCTTATGGTAATATACCCGAGTTTAAATTAGAAACTTTAACTTTTGAGATATATATTCAACAACGAGAAAGCATTTCACTCTTTTGGATTTGGAAAGTGTGTCTCATAAATAATCATTGCTTCTTCTGTTTGTGGTAATTTTGTAATGTGAAGAAGGTGCCCAAGACAGTATGGCATTTCCACCTCCCCCATGGGAAGCTCAGCACCAAGACTTCAGTCCCACTGCGGAGTCAGGAAGTCCGTTTTCTCCTCAAACGCATCCGACGCAGGTCTCCTACACACATGCTCAACCAGTTAACAACAGCAGTCCATATGCTCAAATGCCCCAAACTGGCCAACCGGTTAACAACAACAGTCCATATCCTCAAATGCCCCAAACCGGTAGCGGTATGTACATGCAACAGCCAATGCCAAACCAACCCAATCAGGCTCCAGGGCAAGGCTATCCACCCCAGCAACAGCAACAGCAGATGATGATGGCTCAGTTCTATGCTCAACAGCAACAACAACAACAACAACAACAACAGCAGCAGCAACAGGCGTATAGCAACCAGATGGGAGGATATGGATATGGCTACAATCAACAGCAACAAGGAAGCAGCCCGTATCTGGACCAGCAAATGTACGGTTTATCAATCAGAGACCAGACTTCGCATCAGGTACCATCGTCATCATCGTCTACCTCGTCTTATCTTCCTCCTATGAAACCGAAGAACAAACCAGAGGACAAGCTATTTGGGGATCTGGTTGACATCTCCAAATTCAAGCCTACAAAACCGACATCCGGAAGAGCTGGTACCATGTGAAAAAAATCCTCCCATCCATCCATGATTTCTCGAGTACTCGTCTCCTCTATCCTCTGTTTTCATTACTCAGCTAACTCTTCCTTTCTTCTCTTCTTTAAGGTTTGATCAATTGATTTGACCCTTGTGGGAGATACACACATATACATATGTTATCTTCATCATTGCTTATAATTCGCCGATGATTATCACCGGTGATGGATTTGTATATTTCTTGTAGAGAAAGAAAAACTGGAAAATCTTTTCTTGAGAAACTCAGCGATTTGAGGTTTGTCTGGAGATTCTGTTTTAGGACTTTTTTCTTAATTTTATTTGGTTTTCAGACCTATTTACTTGTTTCCATTGGCAATAAAGTTTTGTATCAAATAGAGTGCGTTTATTGTCAGATTTATTATAGGCAATTAATGTTCTTTGTAGTATTAGAATGTAACTTATTTTTATGTCTTTGTCGATGGAGACATCAGACATCCAAAGGCCAAACTGCTTGCAGTGATGACCTCGCTTGAACGCACATGTATTTTTTTAGAGTCAAACCAAAAACTGTGTCTCCACAGGGTCAATTATCAAAGTAAAGCAACATTTAAAATTAAAATGAACACTTTTTTATCTCGTATGGTCTAAAATCATAGCTAGTGTCATACAGTGGAAATCAAAAACAAAATGTTTGATAATTTAAGCAATAATAAGTGTAACAGAGAAGTCAATATGTCCGAGTGGTTAAGGAGACAGACTCGAAATCTGTTGGGCTTTGCCTGCGCAGGTTCGAATCCTGCTGTTGACGAATTGTTTTTATGAACATGGGAATTTTTTTTCTTACAGATGCTTCTGATATCAACAGTTCACATTTGCCAATTTTAAATATCAAAACTACAAACGGAAAAATATCTCAAAATACCATTACAACATTCTTTTTTACATAGACTACATTACAGCTTTTTAAAATTCTAAAAGTTGGTAACACAAGCTCAGCATTAGTAAAGTTGATGAAATTGTTATCCTGAAGAAGTAGTAAATATTTTCAGAAATCCAAATGAGGAGGAAATAGCAAAAAACAAGTCGGCACAAAGCACAAGAAATTGTACAAAAACAACGTTTGGATTTATTAGCAACATCGGCGTTTGCCTGCCACATTTGGACTTACAAACGTGTCCTCTTTCAATCTGCATGTTCAACCATACTATAATAAAGTTTCCGTTTTTTTTTTCTATTCCAGATTCTTTGCATGTCTTCTTCTATCTTCAGATCCTGAATCTGGTCAACTATGGATACCCAGAGCTTGTTTGTTTCGATGAACACTAATTTATCTTCCTTAAACCTCTCTCGGCCTGTATCTCCCGTCACTCGCTCACTCCTTCCTTTCCGATCGGCTAAACTAGTCCCCCGCTCCGTTTCGGCGTCGATCTCCTCGCCGAACAGTGAAACTCCTTCCTCCTCCGGCCATTCGATTGACACCGACAAGGATGCCGCCATCTCTGTGAAGCCTGTTTACGTCCCGACGCCGCCCAATCGCGAGCTCCAGACTCCTCACAGTGGGTAAATTGATCCATTCGATTCCAATTCTCTCATCTAGTTTGTTTAACTTCCAAATTATTAGCTTTTCCGGTTTAATTGGAGTTTCTGTTGATTACTTGATTGCATGTTCTTCTAACCGGTCCTGCTGCTTCAATGTGTTCTTTTTCATAAAAAAAAATTCAAACTTTGTGTTTATTACTTGGGCCTCTTGCCATTAGAAGACTAATTGTGAGCTGAATCTACCCAAAACTGCAATTGAGGTGATCAAATGTTTAACAAGTTGCTGTTTCACAGATACCATTTCGATGGAACAGCAAGGAAGTTTTTCGAGGGATGGTATTTCAGGGTTTCGATCCCAGAGAAGGAGAGTTTCTGCTTCATGTATTCTGTGGAGAATCCAGCTTTTCGGAAGAGCTTGTCACCGTTTGAAACGGCTCTATATGGACCCAGATTCACTGGTGTCGGAGCCCAGATTCTTGGCGCCAATGATAAATATATATGCCAATATTCACCAGAGTCTCACAACTTCTGGGGAGGTAACTTCTTGGTCCTCCTCCTTGAGTCTTTAAGTAGTCAAAATCTGAGTATTGTTTCTGCAAGTTTATCTCAAGTCTTGTAAACAAATCTGTTATATTTCGGTGCTCTTTTCTGTAACATAAATTAGTTTACATGACTTGAAAGATTACTTACCAAAACATTTTACTTATGGATAGAGAGACATGAGCTAGTTTTGGGGAATACGTTCAGTGCTGTGCCAGGCGCAAGGGCTCCAAACAAGGAGGTTCCACCAGAGGTAAGAGAAAATTTCGCTCTTCTTCCACTTCCCTCGTTTGGTTACTCTGTTCATTTTGATCTGTAAAACATGGCGTTTGAATGTAGGAATTCAACAGAAGAGTGTCACAAGGGTTCCAAGTTACCCCATATTGGAATCAAGGTCACATTTGCGACGATGGCAGGTAATTATCTCACTTTATGCACTACTTGGTTGTGAGGAGATATCTTTGTTTAGTCTTGAGAAACCGGAAATGCAACTGTTTCTTTGGTATCTTAGGCATCATTCGTAAATCACCTACAAATCTTAGGTGCATGTTACCATTCTCAGATGTTTGGATTAGTCTGGCATAGAAAACATATAGTAGAGCTCTCTGTTATATATAAGTTCATCTTTTTGTGTTTAAATCTGAAATGAGTTGTTATGGCAGGACGGACTACGCGGAAACTGTGAAATCGGCTCGGTGGGAGTACAGTACACGTCCTGTCTTTGGATGGGGTGATGTTGGAGGCAAACAAAAGTCTACCGCAGGCTGGCTTGCTGCTTTTCCTGTATTTGAGCCTCACTGGCAGATATGCATGGCAGGAGGTCTTTCTACAGGTGTGTGTGAGCTTTGCTCTTCATCTACTAACTTTTGTAAAAGATAGGGTTCAGTTTTACTTATGTTTTTATCTCTTGAATGAGCAGGGTGGATAGAGTGGGGTGATGAAAGGTTTGAATTTCGGGATGCACCTTCTTATTCAGAGAAGAATTGGGGTGGAGGCTTCCCTAGAAAGTGGTTTTGGGTACACATTCCTCATCCATGTGCTACATTTTGTTGTTGGATACTGCTCCCACCTGATTTAGCTATACATACACAGTTTGAACTCCTCTTCATGAGTCGGTGTCTCTTTACAGGTCCAGTGCAATGTATTTGAAGGGGCAAAAGGAGACGTTGCTTTGACTGCAGCTGGCGGGTTGAGGCAATTGCCCGGGTTAAATGAGACCTTTGAGAATGCTGCACTGGTATGCACTAATTAAGGATCGTCTTAAGCAATGATTGTGGAGAAGTATTGTTAAAAATCTTTGATCCCTTGTAAATTTGTGCAGGTTTGTGTTCACTATGATGGGAAATTCTACGAGTTTGTTCCGTGGCAAGGTGTTGTTAGCTGGGAAATGTCTACATGGGGTTATTGGTATATGACTGCAGAGAATGAAACCCATATAGTAAATGTTTCTCTTCTTCCTCAGATTCATTTCAGTTTCACTTTGAGAACATGGTTCACTTTATGGCTAGATAGATTCCGACATCTGATGAATGTCTTGTGACAGGTGGAACTAGAGGCAAGAACAAACGAAGCTGGCACACCTCTGCGTGCGCCGACCACAGAAGCTGGGCTAGCGACGGCTTGTAGAGATAGTTGTTACGGTGAATTGAAGTTGCAGATATGGGAACGGCTATATGATGGAAGTAAAGGTAAGGTGATACTGGAGGTAAAGAGCTCGATGGCAGCAGTGGAGATAGGAGGAGGACCGTGGTTCGGGACATGGAAAGGAAATACGAGCGATACACCGGAGCTACTCAAACGGTCTCTTCAGGTCCCATTGGATCTCGAAGGCGCCTTTGGTTTGGTCCCTTTCTTCAAGCCACCGGGTCTGTAAGTTGATGATATAGCCATATATGAATCAAACATGAGTGTTGTTGGTAGCTTCACCAATCTTGTCTTGTATGGTTTAGGTCGTTTGGCCCTTGTGGTAATTATACGTATGGGCCAGTGTAAAGCCTAGTTCAATGAAATCCTTAAAAAAACGCCGATGTCTTCAAATCTAAATTTGGAATCGGTTTGATGTTTGGTCCCACAAAATAAAATAAAACGGTCCAAGTCTATTTCGCTTATCTCCATTGCATGCATAATCCATTTGATGTTGTTAGCTTCTAAAAAATTATTTGAGAATTAGTTAAATTTCTTGATTTTTTCTTTTTAACCTAAATATATACAAAAACCAAAGAGCCGTTAACAATCTGAAAACTATTTATGAATTGTATCAAGAGGATCTCATTTTTATGTTCTTCCCCGATCCCTCTCTTTACGTATATATTTCTTTACGTTTCCACTAATTCTTTATTTATTTACGTATATATTTCTTTACGTTTCCACTAATTCTTCCTAGGTCCACGATCATAATGGATTGGTAATCATATAGGTTCGACTTGTTAGAAATGTATAAATTTGAGTGGGAGGCAAAAAAGAGAAAGAATAAGTTCCTTAATATCGGGCTCACTTTGTCCATCATCATCACTTATGCACACTCTATATGGCTCCACCAATTTTCTTTTAGTCTTCCACACATATATATAAGCTCTTCTACTTTGCCTTGGGCTACATAAAATTATATCACTACCAATATACAACTTCAAATTTTGATTGGCAATTTTTTTTTTTTAATGAAAACGAAAGTTGGGATAAACGAAAGCAATGAATTATGCTTGTAACATGACTGTGGAGCTACTGGCTTTTTACGGAGTTCTATAATTTAAACAGGAAGAATTTGTGAAGACTTGGGGAGAAAAATCATGAACATTATTATATGATAACTGATTAAGGAAGAATTTGAAAACAGTTCAAAATGTGACATGTCTTCCCGTGTTTTCTTTTGTGTTTATGCTAGGTTAGTTTAATTTTAGGCTTTTAGCCAGTCAATTTGAAATGTAAGACTCGGTTAAAAGATATGAAGGTAATGCATAACATATTTGACCCAACTAATTATAAAAAAACCTAGGTAAAAGACAAATTTGCGAGAACAGAGTCGAAACTGTTGAAAAAATAACTTGACTGAACTGTATTTTTATAATATTTCTTTATGTATTACAAAAGGAGTTATTACTTTCCGTAAAAATGTAAGAAAAATAGGAAAGATGGAATCAGTTATAGTTTATATATATATATATATATATAGCCAAAGTCACATAGTGATTCTTCTCCAATCAAATCTAAAATCTCTCTCAACAATGACAAGTTTGCACAAAACCCTCATCACACAAAATTCCACTACTTTAGATCAATGTAAGTTCTTTTTTGTCCCCTTAATTAACTTCGTTATTTGGTCAAGTTAATTGTGGAGATATGTGAATTTTTGCAGCGATGATGTGCCATACGGGAAGAGATCATTCATGGAAAAAACTAGACAACATAGAAGAAGAAGGTCCAGCGAGGGTGATGCGTGAAATGAAGACGGCGTTACCACCGGAGACGCCCACGGAGACGATGGAGTTTCTAGGGAGATCATGGAGCATTTCCGCCGTCGAACTCACAAGAGCGTTTTTCAACAACAACTCCGCTGCCGACACTAACTCGTATCTTCTCTCTACTCTTGTTAACACCAATAAAGAAGATAGAGAAGATGAAGAAGATTCTACTTCCATGGCCTCTTCTCGTGACCTTGTAAGCCATCGATCTCTTCATGTTTTCTAAACCGGGTCAGCTGGTCTACTTCGGTACAATTTTTCTTTTCATATGAGAAATTACACTATAGCAATTGGAAAAAAATGGCAACACATTATGGACAGTTTTATTCGTGACACTATAAAATTACACGTGCGATTTTATTATGTAGATTTCAATCTCTTGTATGTTATTTTGGGCCGGTTAAATATCTATGATCTAATGCCAAATGAAAATTATTCTTAAATTGTAAAATTAATAAAATTACAGATTACAACTTTTTCTAAGTAACTTTTGTGATTTATTGAGCATATGTATACATTAAATATTATAATTTTATTTATTGAGCATATTTCACTTTTTTTTTTATCACACGACCTCGCTAGTTTATTTATTATTAGTTTATGGTAAAAAAAAGGTAACTAAACTTTGCCCATGAAGTTTTTCTGTTTTTCTTTGGTTGTTGTTGGTGTGTGCTAGTAAAGAAGTAAATCGATTATACCCAAAATGTGCACTTTTCAGCTGCTGCCGCATATAGGAAACAAGACAAGCCCTCCAATTTCTCCAAGAACAGGCAGAGAAATAAAGGTATGATCATGCCAGCTTTTTCCGGTTTATGTTTGTCTCAATCAATAGAAAGTGCCGACATAAAGAGAAAAAAATCTGGTTGGTTTTGGAATTTTTGGTATATGAAAACGCTAACCGAGTGAAAAGAGAAGGCATTATAATTGTCGTAATGAATTCATGCAATTGTTAATTCAGTCCTTATTTTCTTTTTTAATATAATAAAAAGGTGAATAATTCTGAGTTGGTTACCCTTTTTATAATTCGAATCTGCAAAATGATGACAAACAAACAAAACAACTAATGATTGCATATGAGAAACTCATTGAGTCAAAGTCAAACAAATGTGAACCGAGCTCCCATATCCCAACTAATAATCATATTTGCATAACAATTAAACTCGAAATTAGTTGTGTACCTTATTATACACGTAACACGTTATATGAAAGTGTCTCGCTAAGAAATTACAAAACATTAGATATCCAAAATTCAACTAGCCATTAGGCAGAAAATGTTGATAACATAAAATCTAATTTCTTACCATAATTGGATTTCTAATATCACAAACAAACAAACAAAAAAATCATTAGAATGTTAATGAAATTTTAAATACAATTTTTATATGAATGATGATGCAGCATTTGTACAAGAGCATGATAAGAGGAAGAACAATGGGAAGAAGATTGAAAGATCAGAAGGAGAAGAAGAAACAAGAGACCCGAACTCGCAACGCCGAGATTCACGCTGCTGTCTCTGTCGCAGGAGTAGCTGCGGTTGTAGCCGCAAATGCGGCATCTAACGCAATTGCGGCTGAAGAAAACGCGGTTGAGTCAACAAAAGCTGCGGTAGCAGTCGCGTCTGCAGCCGCTCTCGTCGCTTCGCATTGCATTGAGATGGCGGGAGAGATAGGAGCCGGCTATAACCAGATAGAGACGGCCGTTAGCTCTGCGACCAACGCTAGGACTAACGGCGACGTCATGGCGTTAACGGCGAGTGCTGCAACAGGTAGCATTTATTGTTAAAGAATCGATTTAACGGTTCGGTTTCGTTGAACTGATTTTTGAGGTTTGTTGAGAGATTTTAGCGTTGAGAGGAGCTGCGATTCTAAGGGCAAGAATGGAAAGGAATAACGAGAACAAAGCTTTGCTATATTCAACAAAGGATAACGTAGAAAGGGAAGATAGAAGCGTATTTGGAGCGATGACTTTCGTCTCTAAAGGAGAAGAGCTTCTCAAACGTACCCGCAAAGGTAACTTGTCATCCAAGAAAACGATTACTATATTTCTGAAGCTAATTAAGCTAAGCTTTAGAGAATGTTGGTGGCAGGGGATCTTCATTGGAAGCAAGTGTCTTTTAACATCAATTCAAATTGGCAAGTAAGTTCTTTCTTTCTTTCTAACGTAAGAAATATTCAATCAAGATTGGTCTATTAATTACACTCTTGATTTTGAAATAGGTTGTACTTAAAATGAAGAGCAAACATGTGGGTGGGACTTTCACAAAGACGAAGAAGTGTAAGCTATCGAATTAGTGAATATACTGTTTGATTGTTTACTTTCTTTCTCTTAGAAACCAAGAAGGGATCGTTCATGGATTGGCTGTTTCTTGATGCAGGCGTTGTGAATGGAGTGTGCCGAGAGATACCCGAATGGGCGCATAGAGGAAGAGAAGAAAAAACGGTGGAGCGGAGAGCCTACTTTGGGGTTAAAACCGTCGAAAGGGTGATTGAATTCGAATGTGTGAACAAAAGAGAGAAGCAGATGTGGATAGAAGGGATTCAACAGCTTCTTAACTCACTTGAAACAGGTTCTTTAGTGTTCTGTGGAAACATTAGGGTTTGAATCGAAAGACTAAGTCATGTGATGAAGATTGATTGAACTAGTCTGTTTCATGCGTGTTGAGGAATGTATCCTTTGTGTCCGGTGTGATTTTGAAATCTGTTGTTTCTTGTGTATCAAGTTACTCGTTAAGAATGCCATATCTGAAAGATTATGAAGATGCATTAACTATGAGATAAAAGAGAAGATAGGAATTTATCCGCTTTTGATTGATTTGATTAATGGCCAAATCTTAAAGGTAAAACCAATTAAACCGAAAACACAACTAAAAAAGTATACCAAAATGCAGACATCATATAATTAAACCGTAAAATTCCTCCAAGTAAATTCTTATACCAAAATGCAGACATCATATAATTAAACCGTGAAATTTCTCCAAGTAAATTATTATACCAAAATGCAGACATCATATAATTACAATCTTCTGCATTTTACAATAAGTAACTAATTTGAATGGCATCGATATCAAAGGTATAGATAGTGATTAAACCGTATGGTATGTTCAGTAATACGGGAAATGCAGACATGATGTAATTAAATCGTTGTACCGGTTCTTGAGTGAAGTGATTTGTGTCCGGTATAACGGTTCAATTATAACAATTCGGTCGGATTAAATAAGGAGCGAGATCTGGTTCGGTTTTGAAACCATTTGGATACTGTATTAAGTATTAACTACACGCAGATCTCGGTAGATTAATTTCCATTTTTGCGTATGGTGCTTCACGCCCTTTATCGTCATCGATTCGCAGCTAGATTTCTGAGTCTTCTTCTTTCTTTGAGCTTTCTCTGTTGAGCTAGTTCTTAGCTTTTGACCTGCTGCTGATAACTCTCTCTCTCCGCTTCTTTGCTACAGAAGTTACGGTAATTATTTCTTCACTTCCTCTGTTTTGGGCTATCAATTCTCTGAAAATCAATTGTCTTCCCATACCGTTGAATTTTAGCTCAGTATGTTTGAATTCTGGGTTTTTTTTTCTATCCTACAGATGGTGATATTGGTGGTGGTTCTTTGTGGAGTGGAGTAGATGTTGAATTTGTGGCAAATTAATATACTTTTGCCACCAGAGAATTCCGGGTGGCTAAGTTTAGAATTCAATCCAAAGCAATGAGATCGTTGCGATTTGCTGCGGTTGTAGTTTTCGTTTTCATCACCGCCTTCCAATTCGTCAACATACGTTATTTCGGCGGTGCTATCTTCTCTTTACCTTCTCAAGACAAGTTTCCGGTATCAGTAGACGGAAACACAGAACCGGTGAGGCCATTTCCGGATAGCTCGAGATCCGCTGAAAGGGAAGTAACCACCGGTTTAGAAGAAGTAGACCATGTACTTGGCTCTGGCAACAATGTCACAATTCAATCCAATGATAGTTTGATTGATGATGATGCAAAAGATAAGAAAACTCTTGATTCGCTGCAAGGAACAGGGAACAGCTCAATAGTGGAAGATGCTGACATGGTTAATGAAAACAGCAGGGATGTGGAGATTCTTGAGAGTAAATCTGATACTTCTGCTGATAATCTCTCCCCAGATGTGAAAAGACTAATGAACGTTTCGAATTCTGAGGTGGTTTCTATCACTGAGATGATGAGTTTACTGCGTCAAAGCCGCACTTCTCGTTCCTCACTTGTAAGTGGTTTTTAGTCTCTGATGACTAGGCAAGGCAAGCAGTGTTCTTGTTTCTGCTACTACTAATTAATATATGTTCTTGTATATTTTTTTCCAGAAATTGAAACGGTCTTCCGCAGTTGATCAAGAGCTGTTATATGCAAGAAGTCAAATTGAAAACCCACAGATGATAAAGAACGACCCTTTACTTCATGCTCCTCTCTATTGGAATCTCTCCATGTTCAAAACGTAATAGTTCATATTATAGTAGACATGCTTTTGTCTTCAGCCAAATGGCTATGAGTTGTGTCTTTATGCGTCTTTAACTATATATTTTGACTTGCAGGAGTTATGAGTTGATGGAGAAGAAGCTTAAGGTTTATATTTACAGAGAAGGCAAGAGACCTGTATTGCATAAGCCAGTGCTGAAAGGAATATATGCATCTGAAGGATGGTTTATGAAACAGCTCAAGTCCAGCAAAACGTTTGTCACCAAAAACCCTCGTAAAGCTCACCTCTTCTATCTCCCTTTCAGCTCCAAAATGTTGGAGGAGACTCTGTACGTCCCGGGCTCTCACAGCGACAAGAATCTCATTGAGTTTCTGAAGAGCTACTTGGACATGATCTCCTCCAAATACAGTTTCTGGAACAAAACTGGAGGATCAGATCATTTCCTGGTCGCTTGTCATGATTGGGTACTCTTCTTGACTGTATCTCTTACTTACTTCTCATCATGGCCATGAAAGAAACCACCATTTGATCCAATTCTTCTATGCTTTTTCAGGCTCCTTCCGAGACAAGGCAGTACATGAGTAACTGTATCAGAGCATTGTGCAACTCCGATGTTTCAGAAGGTTTTGTGTTTGGTAAAGATGTGGCTCTTCCTGAGACAACTATTCTTGTTCCCAGGAGACCGCTTAGGGCGCTCGGAGGCAAACCCTATTCACAGAGGCAGATACTTGCCTTCTTTGCTGGCGGGATGCACGGTTACCTAAGACCTCTCTTATTGCAGAATTGGGGAGGTAACAGAGATCCAGACATGAAGATATTCAGCGAGATACCCAAATCTAGAGGGAAAAAGAGTTACATGGAATACATGAAGAGTAGCAAGTATTGCATTTGCCCTAAAGGGCATGAAGTCAATAGCCCTAGGGTCGTGGAGGCGCTGTTCTTTGAGTGTGTCCCTGTTATCATATCTGATAACTTCGTGCCTCCTTTCTTCGATGTCCTGAATTGGGAGTCGTTTGCGGTGTTTGTGCTGGAGAAAGATATTCCTGACTTGAAGAACATATTAGTGTCCATAACTGAGGAAAGGTATAGAGAGATGCAGATGAGAGTCAAGATGGTGCAGAAGCATTTTCTTTGGCATTCGAAACCAGAGAGATTTGATATATTTCATATGATACTTCATTCCATTTGGTACAACAGAGTTTTTCAAACTTGAAAGTTTAGAGTCTGTATAGAAACATGTGATTAGCAAATACTGATTGATTCGTCAATAGCCAAAGCAGGTTGCAAAAATCGTTATTATGTAAATGCCGGTTACATTCTCTACAGTTCATAAGAGTGTAAATTGAATGTTTTGATTTTATCTTCATCGTAGATGACAAACAAACAGATAACGATAACGTTCATGTTGCTGGTTGAAAAGGATCGATCTTTAGAGGTCCCAAAACAGAGAAATAAGAATGAAGAATCTTTTATTTCGATTCATCTTTATAAAAGAACGTTTACATAATTGACTTGTGGATCGGATAGTCGACGACAAACATTGCTTTGGACACAACATAATGGCGTACTTGCAATGGATACGTTTGGCTATGCAGCTATTTACAATTGGCCATGTTCTTAGTTGAATATCTTTTTGCGTATATTGTGTCCTACGTTAAAGCCAGAATCCTATTTTGTTAACATCCAGAAGAAAATAAAGTTATGGATGTATATGAATTACCGATTATTTTGAATGGCCAAGATTTACCTTCATCCGTTGATGCACTAAGAAAGTTTGATATGCTCTAAACTTAATATTTTTTATCTAATTTTTCATGTATAGTTTGGTGTAGAATCTGTCCAGGTGTTTTAGTTCACCGTTAACTATGGTGAAGGTAACATTGATTTAATCTTTAAAATACTATTTTTAAAAAGAAGTTAAGTAACTCAAAGCATTCAAACCAATTAGTAAACTATTAACTAATCCAGTCAAAACCAAGTATTAAGGTAACCCTAAACATTTAACAAACCAAGTAGTAAGCTAACCCAAAACATTAAAACCAAGTATTAATAATCCAGTCAAAATACTGAAATCTTCACTCTTGAGCTTCATCGACTTCTTTCAACTCACTCTTTTGGTCTGAAAAAAAACAAAAACTCAATTTTCCATTAAACTGATTTACCATTAAACAAAAACTCAATTTTTTATTAAACTTAATTATGTAGCGTCTGTCTGCTCCAGTTGCTAAGAAGATATTATCAGATGTGTGTGACTTTCATCCGATCCAGAGGCGTCTCATTGATTTGACGACTGAACCATGTTCTTGCATCCTCGTCATCTCCAAAGAATCACGTCTTGCTGACGTGATTCGTCTGATGATCAAGCATGGTTACCCAATTGGGTTAGCAACTGGAGCCGCCTCTAAAGAGTCGCTGAGAAGGGCTGCTACATAGGCTTTTCATTTTCCCATCTTAGCTCAAGGAGAGTTTATGGTTATGGCTAGTGAAGAGACCAAAGTATCTGACACGGTAAGTTGTGAAAATGACTTGTGCGTGGAAATTTTGTGCTTATTTGATTTGATTTGATTTATTTTGTGTTTTGTGAACATGATTTATGCTTGGAAATTTTGTTTTCTTGCAGGATTCGGAAACCGCAAAGAAGTTGTTGGTGCTGTGGGATTGGAATTCCGACGAGAAAGTAGATAATTTCAAGAATTCAGATGCCATCAGAGGACCACGTACGCTATCTCCTCCATATATGTGCATATATTATATAGATCCTATTATGTTTTTCCATAAATCCCTTTAAACAAGAAAAAATCATACATTCAACTTTTTATCACCAGAACAAGAATTCGTAATGAGATAATCGTGTCATCTAGTTTGATTGGAATTGATTAAGGGTAAAATTCAACAATCTTATTAAAAAGTCGTAACAGAATGTTGAAGTTTACATTTTCAATATCTAATCTCTCTTAATTTTAGCAATATAACTTCCCTCATTTACCTGATATATAAACTCTTCGTCTTCACTCTACATATATAGCACAAAAAATGATTAAATAAAAACCAACAAAACCTAGATTTTTTTTAGTTAAATCTCTCAATCTACAATGAGCACTTTGAAAAGTTAAGCGATCATCTCTCTTTTCGTAGTATCCTTAATTACTCGTTTTGAATCCCCAATATCTTGCATTGTTGTTATACAAGATTTACCTTCATCCGTTGATGCACTAAGAAAGTTTGATATGCTCTTAACTTAATATTTTTTATCTAATTTTTCATGTATAGTTTGGTGTAGAATATGTGAGGTGTTTTAGTTCACCGTTAACTACGGTGAAGGTAACATTGATTTAATCTTTAAAATACTATTTTTAAAAAGAATTTAAGTAACTCAAAGCATTCAAACCAATTAGTAAACTATTAACTAATCCAGTCAAAACCAAGTATTAAGGTAACCCTAAACATTCAACAAACCAAGTAGTAAGCTAACCCAAAACATTAAAACCAAGTATTAATAATCCAGTCAAAATACTGAAATCTTCACTCTTGAGCTTCATTGACTTCTTTCAACTCACTCTTTTGGTCTGGAAAAAAACAAAAACTCAATTTTTCATTAAATTGATTTACCGTTAAACAAAAACTCAATTCTTTATTAAACTCAATTATGTAGCGTCTGCTCCAGTTGCTAAAAAGATATTGTAATGATGTGTGACTATATGAAGAATCACCTCAGCAATATGTGTGTCTTCCGAAATAACGAGGATGTCGGAGAATCCTAGGTAATTAAGTGATCTATTTTCGATTCCCGTCGGATAGAATCTTTCCATAGATCAGAGGAACAAGGCACAGTCTTACTACTCTCTATCCATCGCTTGTAGTCGTTACAGCGTCAAATCAGTCAAATGTAAATAAACAGTAATTGTGCTTCATGATAATTTGTGGGTTTAACTAGTATTTCAACTTTGTTGGGGGCTTTTTAGCAGCATCATTTGTGATAATCTATGAAACGTGTACTTGGTTCTAAGTAATACAACTTGTCTTAGTTGCTGCTGTTTTTGGAATTGGTTAAGGGTAAAATTCAACAATCTTCAATCTCTAAAATAAGTTGGTCTCAATAGCTTTCTTTTGTTAGTATTCGAGTTTCTAGTGATTTGATTGTTACAAATTTAAACCCTAGCTAGTTTTTTACTAGTTTTTACTGGTATTGTACGTTATAATTTTGTTATTGTGTCGACTAGAGTCATATTGTACTTTCACTATGAATGAAATTTAAATACTCTAATACTCCGCTTATAATATGGTGGCAGGGTGCAATAATTGAATCACGTGAGACCGTGGTTGGTCGTGGTTGGGACACGTGTTTCGCGGAACGTAAATCGTAGTCATCAAAAGGGGTCCATGAGTTGTCGAGAGCACCAACAGTAAATCCCAGCAAGACAGCTGGATTTATCTTTTCCGTACGACTTTTCATTTCTTCTTCTTCGTCAACATTTGTCGACTTCTTCACTCTCTCTTTTATACTCCTACTACTACTACTTCTCTTTTTCTATCGTTCATATTATATTGAATTTGTAGCATTCATTAAATTCATTCAATATTTTGGGCTGTTGATCGATAACTGATTCCAGCTCATAAATTATTAGTTGGCAAGAAAAAAAAATAGCTGACGCCGACAAATAAAAATTAAGAAAAATATGTGTGGACGACGACGATGACAAAATAGACTCACTAAATAGTACACGAGGGACATAGATATGTCACATAACCAAAAAAAAAACTTTGGTCACTTGTTTAAAAATCATTGTACAGAAACTAACCGTGTTCATGTTGTTAACAAAAGAAAGAAGACTTTTTTTAAGCTCTAATATTAACATGATTCTTTGTTTTATAAGTCTTTATCTACGTATAAAAAATCAGATTCTGAAATAGTTCCTAGCGAAAAACTCATAATACGAACAAATAAAGTTTGGCTGTAAGTTCGTAACATCCACAAATTAAACACCAAACAAAGAAAAAAAAGAAACAGGATCCGCTTTGGCTTAAAGCTTTAAGAAATAAGTGAAGCTATCGTGCATATTGATTCATAGGACGTCATACAAACTTTGTTCAGAATTTGTATTGATTGATAAGCAATAGTGCATATTCGTTTTATATAGCCTTTATCCATTCTTCTGAGTTCTTTGCATTCTGAACAAAATTATCATATAAATAAACATTCCTTCAAATATAGCTAGATACACAAAAATTCGTATCTTTCTCAGCAATAAAAGCAAAAAACTTGAAAAGTCCGCGTTATCACTATTTGATATTGTCGACACTATTGATGATGCAATAATGGAACACCTTTTAAAACATAAATAAGGCTAACCCCACCACCAGAGGAAATCTAGAAAACGACAAGTTCATAATACTATAGTCTTTCAATAGATCCCATTGCAATGATGGTTTATCTTTTGCATGATAAATTCACCCTCGGTGGTTTTACATGAACAGAACTAAAACACTCCACTATTCGTCTCTAGCCGACACAAGTATACATATAGTTCAGGCATTCAAAACGTTAATTTATTTACTAAATGAAACGAGCAATGAATGTGTTCTCGTGGTATAGTAACTTGATCGGTGTAGGTTTGATGGTTTTGTTAATAAAGTCTCATTAAAGTTATATTCCTCCTCCAGTGTTTTAGTTGTTCGAGGAACGAATTCAGCGATTTAATGCATATATGTACACCATCAGTCCTTATTAGCTAAAGGTATTACGACCTAGCCTCCTAGGGTTGCCGACTTAACCAATTCATTTATATTTTAATTAATTGCGTAACAAGAAATTTCTAGTTATAGAGTTCAATAAATCTAACAGAACTCAGAAACTGGTGACTACGACGTAATGTACTCTGCCGTAGATTCGAAGCCTTGCACACGTTACAGGTCTTACAAATATGAAAAAGGGTGGTACTGAAGATGATCAGAGAGTCCGGTCAAATTATTTATCCTTTTGGTGAATAAAAAACCAAACTTCTTCTAACTCGTCACATCACGAAAAAGCAAAAAAGATTAGAAAACATCATCTCGTGTTTCGCGTTATAAATGAAAAAGATAAAAAAAACTTTTAACAAAAATGATAGTTACATACATCCACGCACCAACCTCGTAGGTAAGCTACAACCTTCTGGTCCCTCTCATTTTCACCACCACGGATGCGAGAGAGTATGTATATATGTAATGCGAGTTAATACTAAATATTTGAGAAAAATCATTCAGAGATTTTAGAGAGAGTCTTAAGGAAACATCCAAAAAACCACACTTGGGAAAATTTCACGAAATGGGCAAGTAATGATACAAACAAAAACTATCTTTTCTAACTCTTCTTACACGCTAAAACAATGTCTCACTTCTCCTTTTCCCTTAAATAAATTTATATTCTTTCTTTCTCTATAACAAACCCAAATCCGAAAAATCCCATTTTGATTTCTTTTTCGTCCTTTTTTTAAATACAAATTCAGTCTCTTTGTGAAATTTTGTCGAACACTTGGACGGCGAAAAGGAAAAAGCTTTAAACCGGGAGATATCAATGGTGGATTCGTCGATTGGTTCCGATAAGGAGAAGAAGGGAAGTAAGGAGCCAGTGTATCGTGGGGTTCGTATGAGGAGCTGGGGAAAATGGGTATCGGAGATTCGTGAGCCACGGAAGAAATCGAGAATCTGGCTCGGGACTTTTCCGACGGCAGAGATGGCGATGCGTGCTCACGACGTGGCTGCGATTAGCATCAAAGGAGCTTCCGCCATTCTCAATTTCCCTGAGCTCGCCGAGTTTTTGCCACGACCAGCTTCGCTTAGCCCTCGTGACGTCAGAGCCGCGGCGACCAAAGCTGCTCTCATGGACTTCGATACGACGCCGTCTAATCACGCAAGGTCTGAGAGCGAGACGACGACGACGACGTCGAGTAAAAGGTCAGAGAGTGAGGCTAGTGAAACGGCGTCGTTCTCTTCGTCTTCGTTCTCTGTGACGAGCATTGATGAGGTGAGTAGAGTCTCGGACGGTTTGGACGCGATAGTCGAGTTGCCGAGTCTAGGCACGAGTTTGGACGAGTCGAACGAGTTCGTGTTTTTTGACTCGTTGGAGTTGATGCCGTCATGGTTACGCGGTGGTACGGACGAAGATTTTACGTATAACAGCAATGATTCTCCGTTGAATTCAGTTTTCGAAGAAAGCAGCTTTTCTTGGAAACATTTTCCCTGAACAAGAAAAATTTGCATTTTTATTTGTTTTTAGCATTTTTTAGTTTAATTTTCATGGGATTCTCTCTCTGTTTCTTTTGCTTTACGTGAGATAAGATATCTCCAAGATGGTGTTGTGGAATTGATAACTTTTTGTTCTTCTCCTTATTAGTCGAAGATGATGAAATGTAAGAGTGTATATTGTTATTTGCCAAAATACTGACATTTTAGTCTTGTTCAAGAAAAAACAAATTACTGACACTAGTGTTAGAGTGATTTGGGATTTTTTGAAAAAAATAAGAAGCTCCCAAATTTTCTTATTTTTGCAGGAGTATTTGAAAAAAAAGAGTGTATTACATTAGAAGGCACTTTTATGAGTTACATTACAACAATAGGCACTTTCTAGGGGAGAGGGACTTTCCAACATATTTTGACCCATTATATCCCAATATAACCCTCTCTTACACAATTTTAAAATTATAACATATGGCAGTTAAAAGGTGAAAAACAAAATGACCCTAAGTTGACCTGCAAAAGTAGATCTGTTCAGCCACCGCCAATTCCACAGATCTGATAAGTCATCGACGGTTGTTGCCGTGAAAAAATAAAACCTAGTCTATGAATGAGCTGTCTACTTGTTTGCAGGAAGTAGAATTGAATAAAAATGCATTACAAGAATTTCGAATTACACTGCCTGATTTGTCTTTGCAAAACAGAGTTCCCAATTTCAGTTTCCAGCGTTTGATTTAAAAACTTTAAACGATGAACTCACAAAAACCCAGATTCCTATTTGGCAGATGCTTTAGATATTAGAACACAAAGTCTCTAAATTCATTTCCATAGATGAAGAGTTATGAGGGAGATCAAATCATGTGTATTAATGTGGAGGCAGTCGGTGATAATCACACTGGAAATTCTGTGAATATCATTGAATGGCTGTTATTTTTTTTTCAGAGGTATGATTTTGGGATTTTTTTTTTTCATGTGACATTACAAACGCAGCTTCTTACTGATTTGTGGATATGTTATTATGGACATATAATAGTGTATTGTATAGGTTGGGTATACAAATTAGCTGTGTGAACTAGAGTTATAAGATTACCATTCAAATGGTATGTGCGTGGATATATCTATATGGATAGAAGATAATGGACGATTGCAAACACATGAAATGTTTTCAAGGTTTTTGGCTCTATTTTTACATGGACGGAGCGAGGTAAAGCTATTTTTAGCAATGACCACTATTTTAATTGAAGCTATCCATCATAAGTTTAGATGTTTGTGGGTCCGATGATGCAATAATTTGTGGACATGAAGCATAAGACGATTAGCAAAAAGATATTGAAGAGGATTGTTTACTAAAGAAGAGACACAAGGTAATAGAGATGATGATTTTCTCTGGTATTTTGGTGAGCAAACAAGCTCCTACATGGTGAGCCAAAAAAGAAGAATTACAACTTTGATGTATCTCAGATCTCTTAATATGTGTTCGTGTGATACATGTATGAAGCTAGTATAGAATTTTGAGTGAATAAGAACAATTTAATGACAATGCAAATAATTCGCGATATTGTATAATTTTGAGTTTATTAAAATCACATAGAGGGCTATGGAATCCCAGAAATGCATGACTTTTGGATTTTGAGTTTACAAAAATCACAAAGATCCATCAGAACTATTAAGATCAAGAAGATATCCACAACATCATGTACATGATCACATGTCCATGCAAACATGTCCATGGGATATAAGTGTTATATATTCATATGGATATAAAGAGTATGGAGACAGTGCTATGAACACATTCCCATAGACTATGCTAACGAGATGACCAACACATCAGTATCCACATGGATGCGATGGTATGGATATTAACGGAATGGATAAAAATGATCAACAAAAATCTACACGACACCAAAACTAGTAAACTCGAAACATTATATTGTAAACCATATGGAGACAGTAAAATGGATAGATTGGAGTGGATGGTATGGACAAATACTTATGCATGAATATATACATTTCCGAATACAGCTAAATGGATTTGAGACTAGAAGTTATTAGTGAAACCTTTGTTCTTGTTTATTAGTGGTTTATAATGTTCTCTTTGCATCCTAAACTCTTAAAAAGTTCTTTGGAATTACATAAAATTGGATTTTTGATTCCAAGTTTGCTATCTTTTTAACCATATTCAAATTAGTTGGCTTATTATCTCATTTGGTTTTGGCTTGAACTTATTACAAAAACAGAAAACGATAACTACAAAGAGAAATCAGTTTCCAATTATATGAATCACAGTCTTTATATTAAACTCACATATAAACAAAAATAACAATATTCTGATACAAAGAGAACCAGTCTCTAGCAAATAATTCAAGATATTGTATAATTTTGAGTTTATTAAAATCACAAAGAGAGCTATGGAATCCCATAAATCCATAACTTTTGGATTTTGAGTTTACAAAAATCACAAAGATCCATCAGAACTATTAAGATCAAAAAGATATCCACAACATCATGTACATGATCACATGTCCATGTAAACATGTCCATAGGATATAAGTGTTATATATTTATATGGATATAAAGAATATGGAGACAGTTGTATGTACACATTCCCATGGACTATGCCAACGAGATGACAATGAAATTGAGAAGCTCTTTAGTAGTTGTACATGGCAATGCTTAGCATATCTTCCTCCTAGCACACTTTGGAGTCGTCCAACGTTCTTAGCATCTAAGAGAATATTTGAAAAAGGACACATCCTATCAGATAACTTTTAACACAAGTAACTACAATTCATTTAACAAGATGGACACATCTATATGGACAAACTCCTGTGGACATGTTATAGTGGACACATGAATACAAAACTAATATCAGATATATGTCGAAATAGGGTAAACTCTTGAATTTGACGTGGACAAGAGTGTGTGGATAAGAAAACATTAAAAGAAGCAAAGATATATGGACATAGTACTTGATACTTGAAACCATATATGGACCTATACGTGTGGATATATATGTGTGGACACGTAATTATGTTTTTGTACATGATTTTAGAGAACATTAGTAAACCTGAGATGAGTTTTCATTCAGTAATTGTCAAAGATCATAAACTAAAAGAGAAATTGAAGATTAGGATGAAAATTTAATAGTTAACCCATACAAAACCTTGATTAAGAGAGCCAAAAGTCTGAAATCTTGGTTGGTTTCCGGAGGTTGCCGAAAATCGTTGCTTAACATGTTTTTCCTTGCAATTGAGATACGAGAAAGCAAGTGTTGGGTCGAAAGACTTCGTAAGTCCATCGATCGATGAGAAAAAAATGAGTAGAATAAAACGTAAGAATCGGAGAATGACGGCAGACGATCGATCGCGACAATAGCCCCGTTATAATTTGGATTGAGCGTTATAATTTGGATTGAGCGTAAATAACTAAAATTAGGGATTTGCGGCAGTGAGAAAGTTAAACTAAAAGGGATATTTTTATTGGTGGAGAAAAGTGGAGGGGATTCTGGTGTTAAGCCACACTCTAGTCGGAGTGAGAAAATGAGATTTGATACGACGGTAGAGGCATGAGGAAGAAGAAGATGTCCAATGAGTTATGATGGTAAAAAAACAGAAAGTTAAAAAAGGTGAAATGGTGAGTGAATTGTGAATAAGGATATTATAATCATTCATTATGCTGAAAGTGCATCAGGAGTCACAAGTGCCTTTCCTTGTAAATTGAAAGTGATAAAGTGCTTATGAGTGTAAATATCTCGAAAAAAAACTGGAATGTTGTCCCCCCAAGCTTTTAATACGATCACAGTGTTATTCTATTTTTTACATTTAATTAATTTGAATAATTTAGCTAAAAAGTACTAATTGATTATTGAAAAAAAGGGATTGTTGTATAAATAAAAAATGCATTATTTTAAGCTTTTACACTAACGTCAGTATGTTTTAAAAAGCTTCTACATAATCATAATGGGATCGAGAATTAATCATCTGGTAATTGATAAATGAAATAAACAATTTAGAGTTTTTGAGATGGTTCCATAAATTCGTGAAGGGGAACGTCAACGTCTGTGTTTGCTTTGTGGAAGGCGAATAAAGTCTGCAATTTTTTTAATCCGTCCCCATGAGAAAATAAATTTAGGGATTATTCATTATGGAAAACAAAAAGAAGATAAGGACAGAAATGAATTCAATATTTGATTGGTCCAATTATCACTCATTGTCGTGTTCCCAACTACACCTCCGATTTTTCTTTTGTTTCGTTTTCCGTCCTTTTTGAGAAAGCAAAGGACGAATCATTGGCCGATGATAGTACTGACCAAGATAGGAGCCTAAATCCACCGTCGAAGTAGATTGGAGGCATTTAAAGTGTGCGTTTAAGATTTTACCGGATCCATATATTTATATATCTGTTGGATCCAACCACACATACGTTCTTTTTGGAGACATGCAAAGTGATTTTGATGAAGATTATATATCTCCCTCTGTTTGGAGACATTTTGATCATGCAAAGTGATATATCTTAAATATTAGTCGGATGACTCGGATCGTGGACACTAGTTGCTCAGAAAAGAAAAAGTATCGATAAAGTTCACAAGTGGGTTTTCTAATTGGGCTGTGAACTTATGATCGTAGTATAAGATTTCGTCGCGTGAATTATTGCATTTCGCTTTTTCCACCAACACGTTTTAAGAAAAAATCCCTCATTTACTTTATGATTCTATTCACTGACAGCGAAATCCTAACAAGAGTGTGTTTCCATATGTCATGTCGAATGTCGATCGTGTCGGTGTTGTTATCAAATTTTGTTTACTTTTTTTTTTTGTATCATCATCATTATAGACTTATAACCATATTTTGATAGTATTATATTTATTTTAGAGAAAAATTTAGCTTAAAACAGGCCAACCACCTTGTTTCAGAAAAAAACAAAATATAACCATTACTATTTTGGGCCTAATATATTTGAAATAGGAAAATTTGAAATTTAAATATAAAAAGGCTGTAATTTCTTATGTAGCCCTAAGAAGATCGCAAAGCAAAATTAAAATGTCAAGCGGTGATCGCACGGCTGCATGTATCGGTAGCCACCGCGAAAACAAAGAAGGAGAAGGAGTAGACTTAATCAGCTCTCTACCGGATGAGATCCTCCAACATATCCTCAGCTTAATCCCGACCAAATTAGCAGTCTCAACTTCGGTCTTGTCCACACAATGGAGACATGTATGGTGCGATACACCTTCCATCTACTTGGGGAGCTCTGCATTGCGGGCTGCTTCGAGAATGAAAACGCAAAATCGCTACACTGCTCCGAAGATGATGAGTTTACACCTCATAATCGGGAGGACGAAGAAGGATGTTAAACACGTTAACACGTGGATCGAATTGGCCATGTCCCGCCATGTGGAGAATATGTCTTTGAACCTTCAGTTTAAACGTCGTTACTATGAGTTTCCTGATTTCTTCTACATCAGTTCCTCTGTTAAGAAGCTCAAAGTTACAAATTCTGTAATGAGTCCGAAATGCTCCGTGTCTTGGGCATCCCTGAAGAAGTTGTCGTTAAGTTTATGTAAATTCTCTGATAAGTGCATTGCTATGATTCTGTCTGGCTGTCCGATTCTCGAGATCTTGAAACTGGGTTACTGCGATGATGATCTGCGGGTTCTTGATCTCAGAAATTCGCTGCGTCTGAGGACACTCCAAGTAATACGCCCATTCTGCAGTGGTCCGAGCAAGTGCAGATTGTTGCACCACATGTCCGTTGTCTCAAACTGAGAAAATCTCTGTCACTATGCACTTTAGTCGATCTCTCCTCTTTAGCCGAAGCTAAACTGAACAATTCCTGTCACGGACTTCAACAAATCATTCCTGATTCTCTTGGAGCCACGGTGGCAAAGATGGCAGAATTGTTAGAAAAGTTGAACAACGTAGAGAAGCTTACTCTTGGGAGCAGATTTCTTGAGGTATGTTTTAGCCCTTATATCTCTATATGCTTTAATGTTTCTCGATCACTAAGTTTTCTTAGGTTCTTTCAGATCTATGTTTGGGTATTTAACAATGGTCTATGCTTTTTCTGTTAGATTTTGTCTCTTCCCGAGCTTCGTAGTATGCCTTTTCCGATGTTCAAGATCAAAGCTTTGACTCTTGGGACACCGTTTTCTGAGGATCGCTATGTTATTCCTGCTGCTATTGAAAAAGTGTTACAACACTCACCTGATTTAAAAAAGCTAGCACTACACTCAATAACTCCCTCTCCCCACACCAACCTGGTATATATATATTTACCATAATCAATACTCTTTTATTTCTACTTGACCATTCTTACTATCAACGAGTTTTGAACCATGTTCCCTTTTTTTTTCTGTTGAGCAGAGTCATTGGGAAAAAGAGGTAAACCACATGGCTACATGCATAGAAGTTCTGCTAATTAAGCTAACAAAAGCAGTAGAGAATACTAATATGGTAGTACAGTTGGACAATCGCTACTTGAAAGTAAGAGGGTTTGAAAAGATGGTTCAAACACTTTCTCGCAACTACAACAATGTCTCCATTGAGTTCTCAACCATGGAGGAGATAATATAGGAAGGGTGAATCAAAGGGGTTTTGGTTTCCAGTCTTGCTGAACATTTATATTCATCCTCATCATTTAAACATATAGTAGAAGAATTTTTACCAAGAAGACTTTTCTTTATATGTAGGACTACCTATGAAATAATGTTTTGGAGATTATGTTAAGTCAATGTTTTTCTTTGTGTTTCTTGCTTGATTTTTTCCATCTCTTCAATACTTAGTTTGTACATTAGGGTTCAACTCAACATTTTGGGTATACATTTATATATATCGACACTGCTAGAGGTCTTGGCAGCTCCCATTTATCTTCAACGACCGAAGGTAACCGAAACAGAGCTCCTCTCAGCATATCTGATCCGATTGTAATTTGTAACAGTAACAGAATAAGCACGCTCGAGTATTTCATCCAACACTCCAGTCAGTGGATCTGCAGAAGAAGCGACACACAAAGATTCAAATCTTTAAAAGCAGTGAAACGATAACAGCATAAGGTAAAGAATGTAACAGTGTTTCGCGAGAAAAGAAAAAGAGAGGAGCTAATTATCAGAAATGGTTGTTTTCGAGGTAATATTCTAACCACACCAATCAAACATTGGATACATGGATTGGATCCTCAAACTATATATCTCAAAGTGTGAGTCTAGTGAAGCGAGTCTATAAAGTAACCTATATCTCAAACTAATGCGTCCCTGCTTCATTAAGAAGAGAACAAAAGCAGCTCTGCTTACCATCCGCCAGAGACGTGTCCATCAAGTCACCGCCTTTCTCCATATCAGTCTCCGTCTCATATCAGAATTGTAGCCACTTGAGTGCCCTTCTTGTTCCTCAGAATTGTAGCCACTTGAGTGCCCTTCTTGTTCCTCAGAATTGTAGCCACTGAGTAGCCTTCTTGTTCCTCAGATTCTTGCATTGGAGCATTTGCTTCAGTGTTCTGCTTTGGAGACCATTGTTTATGCGGCATAGCATAACCAACGACGACCTGGTTTATATTGATCGTAAAGATACATATCAAGAAAAGTCGGAGATGAGAATGTTGATACTGTATACCTCTTTTTGATCATTGGCCTTTTCGAAAAGCTCTTGAGGATTGGCTTCATCAGTCAAGGTATTGGGGGAAACATCATAACTCTGTTTTTCTTGATCTTGAGTGACTCTCTCCTCTGTAGACCCATACAAAACTCCTTCCAGCTTCCATAACCCAATTTTGAAAGTAACATGATAGCCACTCTTCTCCTTTCCATTGACGGATCCGGTCACTAACAAAAGAGAGAAAGAGGTTCATGTTCTCGTAATTGCGAAGTAGCGAGTAGTAGTCTCGTAGCACGTGCTTCCTAAAAATAGGGTTTCTTTGTGATTTGGGGAAGTTAAACGTATCAAATGTCTCCTTCCATTTCTCTTCTTTAACTATCAAAAATGGAATCCTACAATCAGTATATGTTTCAGCAATGGACATTTGGTGATTTCTGATGGCAAAATTGTAGCAAGTGATTATCAAATCATTGGTTGAGATGAGATTTGAGAAACATGAGCATGAAAAGCTTCTTACCAGAAATCTGTGCCCATTTGAGAGTGTAACTTCTTCATTGTAGTCAGTAATGGATATTCATATGACTGCGTGTAGTTTATTAGTTGAACTGGGCCATAGTTTTCCGGCAATGTCTTTGTGTATTGCTAACCTCTTACATCAATACTTACTTTCTAATCGCTAAGACAATAACATTTGTAGAGCCCATAAAATTTCCAAGTTAATGCCCTAACAGTAATACCACAACGACAACAACAGGTTTAACCAAGTTTTAGAAAAACTTTCCGATGTAACAAGCTTGTGCAACGTTAATCAACCAAAATTCAAAAACAAGTCTTGAATATAGATAAACAAGAAAAAGTAGCACGAATGGACTTGTACATTAAACAGAGGTATTAGATTAAGCCGAAACAAAAACGGAATGTCATCATGATGAGTCATGACTAGTCCTCAGTGGATTTCGCCCTGCTGCTCTTCCTCTTACGTATTTTGAGGAAAGGTTTCAGAAAAGGATTGGTCGGACGTTTCTTTCGCTTATTGGCAAGACGAAGTGCCCTTTTGCTACAAACGGAACGAGCTGGAGTTGGTTCTGGTCTCATGCAGTGGCCAGCGAGAGGGCTCCCTCCACTTGCTAGGCTTTTCCAAACCCATGTTGCAGTTGCAGTATCACGCAGTGGCAGGCCTCCTGGATTGTATAGATGCACCACGAGAACATTGTTCTCATTCTCTTTCAGAAGTGCAAGCCCAGAAGCAAACCCAACATCGTCTCTTATGAGATCTTTTGAGATCACCATCACATTAGACGGTTGACGTTTATGGTCTATTCCCCAAAACATGACCTCCAAATACATCACCCTATTTTTTTCTTCACGAGTTTCTGAATAGTAAATAAAGAGAAGATCAGAAGCGGAAAACAGTAAAAAGAGAGAGAGAAAGAGAGAGAATACGCAAAGACCTTGATGTTTAAGCTCGATCTGGGCGGATTCAAACTCTGCTTCTTGACTCTGCACCCCATGAGAATACGCAACGATCGAGATCTTGCCAGTATAACCCATGTCCTCGAGAGCCGATTTGATATTAGCAGAGATCGAAGCAGGAGTGAGACCAGCAGGGATTGGGCAACCATCCAGATCCCAGAAGACCCCTGTCTCTGCCGCTGCAAAGATATAACGTGAAAAAAGACACTTCAGATTGTCTACTGACAGATGATTTGATACATCAAACAAGGATCACTTGTATTCAAATTCAGATCGATTTGCAACAAACAACACTAGTGATCGTGATTTCAACTGATTACACCAAATAACTTGAGCAAATGATAGATCCATCAGATGTGATATAACCTGATAAAACAATTTCAAAGCAAGGGACAGAGGCAGAACTTACTGGCGAATTTTCTGTTCACGGAAGATGGAGTTAGTACTGGTTCCATGCTGTGGCCATCAAGAGGGCTCCCTCCAGTTGCTAGGATTTCCCAAAGCCACGTTGAAGTTACAGTATCACGCAGCGCGAGCCCTTCCGGATTGTTTCGAGGTTGCACCAGGAGAATGTTGTTATCGTTCTCTTTTAGAAGTGGAAGCCCAAAAGCATAGTTAGCTCTTGGTTCTCGTGAGAGGTCATCAGAGATAACCAATACATTTGACGGATCACGCCTATGGCCTATTCCCCAAAACATGACATCCAAGTACAGCGACCTATCTCGTTCTTTGAGAGTTTCTAAAAAAACAGAAAGGGAAAACAGTAAACGAGAGAGAGAGAGATGTTAATTAAATAAAGGCTCAAGTAAGATCAAGTAAGACCTCGATGTTTAAGCTCGATCTGGGCGGATTCGAACTCTGCTTCTTGAGTCTGCTTCTCAACAGAATACGCAAAGATGGAGATCTCGCCAGTATAACCGACATCCGCGAGAGCCGATTTGATGTTAGCAGAGATCGAAGCAGGAGTGAGACCAGGAGGGATTGGGCAACCATCGATATCCCAGAAGACCCCTATCTCCGCCGCTGCAATATATAACGGAGAAAGAGACTTCAGATTGTGGATGATTTGAAACATCAAATTCAAATCAAGGATCACTTGTATTGAAATTCTCAGATCGATTTGATTTCATTCGAAAAAAGCAACAAAAAAAAAACGCTACTAATCGTGATTTCAACTGATTGCATCAAATAACTTGAGCAAATGATGGATCCATCAGATGTAATGTAATATAACCTGATTAACAATTTCAAAAGCAGAGAGAGAGAGACAGACGGAGCTTACTGGCGAATTTGCTGTTCACGGAAGACATGGTTTCGTTTCGACGACGGAGGATTCTCTTCAGTGGATTAGGGTTTACGTGTGACTGCGCGTGACCAGACTATCTGACTGTGCTTGTGGTTTTTATAGACTTTCTATTAGGGTTCACGGTTAAGAGCGTGGTCTGCGATGGCTTTGGATAGGTTTGGGCTTGGGTTGGGATTTTGGATAAAGTTTGGGTTGTTTTCTTTGTGTGTGTGTGTTGGGTTTCGAGATTTACAAGGACGGTACGGGTCAAATACGGTGCAAGTATCCTGCTGACAAACCATTTCAAAGCAGAGAGACAGGCAGAACTTACTGGCGAATTCTCTTTTCCCGGGAGACATGGTTTCGGCGACGGAGGATTCTCTTTAGTGGATTAAAAGTTTATGTGTGACTGCGCGTGATCGAGGCTTCTTTTTTTTTTTTTATAGTTTTTCTTTTAGGGTTTAAATTTAAAAAGTGTGGTCTGCGATGGGCTTTGGATAGGTTTGGGCTTGATAGGTTTTGGGCCCGATAGGGTTTTTGGGATAGGTTTTCGCTCAATAAATTTTGGGTTGGTTTTTTTTTTTGTGTTTGGGTTTCGAGATTTAGAAGTAGAGTACGTTGATGTCACTTTATAGTTTTATACTAGATGATTTCATGTGAATTTTTGTTTCTTTTGATGATTTTGGGTGAATAAAAATGGTTGTTATGATTTCATTGATTACTTTTGTATTTGACCCTAAATATTGTACTAAATGTGAAAGTACCCCATAAAAAAGTGGAGGATTTGGTAAACCTGAAAAACATGCGAATTATAAATGGTACTGATCGTGTTGAGCCCACCATGAATATACTACTACTGCTTACTAATCGAAAACGTGTTAAACTATTAAAATTTTGAGAATCAATTAAAAATTATTATGACTGGTCAATAATGGAACCTTGCTTTTGGAATATACTAGCTGGAGCAACTGTTGCATAAAATAACTATTAAAAATGTTAGACGTGCGTGAAGAACATTGCGGCTTAAACACGACCAAAAAAAAGAACATTGCGGCTTAAATGTTGACTATTGAGTATTGTTTGACCCACCATACAATAATCCTCACTACCCCATTTTGGTTGTTTTAGAACTATATAACCTCCTCTACACTATTTTCTTGCTATAAAGAACACAAGAAACAAGCATTGATTACAAACCTATTGAGTACAGTGAAATATGATTAACCTCACGGAAAAAGATGCTGGCTTGGCGGTTCTAGAGGGATTAACGTCCAACGTGAAGCAAATACAAGATGCGGTGTTGAAAGAGATACTAACATGTGATGCCAACACAGAGTACCTCCGAAGTTTTCTCCATGGGAGTTCCGATAAAGAGCTCTTCAAGAAGAATGTTCCCATAGGGACCTATGAAGATTTTAAGCCATACATTGAGCGTGTCGCGAACGGAGAGCCCTCAGAGATCATTTCGGGCAAGCCTATCATTGGATTCATGCTAACGTACGTACACGCTAAGCTTTTACTTTTTTTGGATGATGTCATTCTCTCTGGTCTCTAGATGATTAACGTATGAACATGATGTAGTTTTTACTCAAAATATTTGCATGTGCACTTTTGGCTTGTGTAGGTCTGGAACTTCAGGTGGAAAACAGAAGTTAATACCTTTGAACAACAAGTACTTGGAGAACGCGAGACTGTTGTTTGATCTTCGCTACCTCGTATTATCCACGTAATTATTCCTACAAAAATAGAAATATTTTCATGTAACTTTTTGTTATCTTGTTCCATATATTAATATACTACTGAATTTCCTAGCTTTTCTCTACTTCTTGTTATAAAATTCTCATAAATTATGTTCGCAATATATTTACAACTTATAATTGTATGACTAAAAAAATATTTATTTTGGTAATTGTAGGCATGTTGATGGTCATAACGAAGGAAAAGGGATGCAGCTAATATTTCTTAAACCAGCCTCCAAAACTCCATCTGGTTTGCCTGCTTCATACGCTACTACGTATTTCATGAAAAGCGATTATTACGTTAAGAACCTACCATCGTATTGGGATACTTCGAGCACAAGTCCCAGTGGAATCAAATTATGTCCTGACAACAAGCAGAGCCTCTACTGTCATCTTCTTTGTGGACTTGTCATGAGAGATGAAGTTACAAGAGTCTGTGCCAACTTCGCTTCAATCTTGGTCCAAGGAATCACTTTTCTTGAAAACTTTTGGAGAGAAATGTGCAGTAACATACGGTCAGGCCAGCTGAGTGATTGGATCACCGATCTTAGCTGCAAGGACTCTGTTTCCATGATTCTTGGAGGACCTAATCCTCGTTTGGCATATCTAATAGAAGACATATGCGACCAAAAATCATGGAAAGGTATAATTCCACAGCTTTGGCCCAAAACCAAGTTTATTGAATGCATCGTTACAGGACAGATGGCTCAACATGTTCCAATATTGGAGTTTTACGCCAATGATCTTCCTCTCGTTTCCCCAAACTATGCATCTTCTGAAGCCATGTTTGGGGTAAATTTGGATCCTCTTTGCAAACCACAAGATGTATCCTACACATTTATGCCAAATATGTCATACTTCGAGTTTCTACCGGTTGGTGAAGGGAACGACACAATCGTTGATCTTGCGAACGTAAAGTTAGATCGCTACTATGAACTTGTAGTCACCAATTATGCGGGTGAGTTTCACAAATACTCTACTTGTACATGATTATATGTTCTAACGAAACAGAAACTAATTAATTGTTTTTCATGTTTTTTTTTTTGCTAGGTTTACACCGGTATAGAGTGGGTGATGTTCTACAAGTGACTGGGTTTTACAATAGTGCACCACAGTTTAGATTTGTACGAAGACAAAACGTGGTTTTAAGTGTTTATTTGGAGGCAACAACGGAAGAAGACCTTCTAGAAGCAGTGACTCGTGCAACGCAGCTACTTAAGCCTTCAGGTTTAATGCTAAGGGATTTCACATGCTATCCTCATATCTCCGAAGCTCCAGGTCACTATGTTCTTTACTGGGAACTCAAAGGTAACAACGATGATGGCATCAAAGAGCTTGACAGCAATATGTTGGTGGAATGTTGCTCGGTGGTAGAGGAATCACTTGACGCCCTTTACAGGAGATATCGGAGCAAGGAAGGATCAATTGGAGCATTAGAGATAAGGATTGTTCAGCAAGGAACGTTTGACTCTCTCATGGAATATTTCATTGCTCAAGGTGCTTCTCTAGCTCAATACAAGACACCTAGATGCCTGAAATCTCCCGAGGCCTTACAAGTTCTTGAAAACAGGGTTCTTGCTTGTTTCTTTAGCGACAAGTTACCTCCGTGTTAACCAGGCTCTACTTCAGGTCCGCGAGAAATTAGCGGTCCGCCGCTTAGCAGACAGCATCTTTCGTAATATCATTTGTTCTCTTCTGTATGTACCTTTCAAAGGAGAACTCTTACAAAGTTGTTTCAATTTAATTTGTGTTCCACTCTTAGAATGAACAACACTCTTTCTATCTTAATGGCTTCTTTAAGGCATTTGTCCTCCTTAGACTGAAAAAGGGCTTCACTTGTTTATATCTACAAAACAATAGAGTTTTTAAACATTAACTATCATTAGGCCCCATATTTCACAAAGTTATCTACATATGGATACCAATCTGGGCCTCAATTTAAGGAAAAATAAATAAATTTCAGAAACAGAAACATAGATCAGCATATACAGTATAAGGATCATATCCCTAGTCCAATTTCTTTGTTAAACCTTAATGTCTTAATAAGATATTGAATGGTTTTGTTGTTTTTTTTTGGCCGAAAAGGTTTAGTGATCGTTTTTATCTTATTAGAATGAATATTGGCTTCTTTGTTCTTTTACCATGAAATAGTTTTTTTTCTTGTAACGGTCTCATGAAATATGTTATCACCAACTAGTTTTGATTTAAAATTCTAGAACTAAAGAGATTTTCCATTTCACCTTTAAGATGTGTTTGTGATAGAAATAGTTTGTGAAGAAAATCTGATGCAAATCTATCCTCTTAACTATTGATATGGGACGAAATCCATTGCAACTCTGTCTTAAAATATTTAAACTCACGTGTCAGAAATCCTTTCTATACCGCATAAGCGTTACTAATAGATGTTGTTATGGATTTTTTTGTTGCTGTAAATTCGCATTGAAAGATCGTCACAGTTTCTTTCAAGAGATGTATACTATTCATTTGCAAATCAGGACCGTAACAAATTTGCAACAAATTATATTATCAAAAATTGTTAGGATTTTGTGGCGGTATTGTTTTTGTCTTTTTGAGATGTATGGGGTTCCTTCCTATAGTACGTACATGATAATTCGAAAACGAGAGTTGACCAACGAAGCAACATAGAAAAATTAATCATTTCAGATAATATCTTCAACAGATAAACCCTAAGGGCGCACCAGTTGAACCATTTATCGGAGTCTTACTTATGATCATTAAAGAACTTCCAGCAAAGATGCAACTTCCCAAGACATTCACCAAACACCAGGTTTAAAAAATGGAGAATTAGAAAAGACCTTTTTATTCATATATATGATTATTATAGTACAAAAGAAAGAAAGAGAGCCCTAGCTGATAAAGTTAGTGCTGTCTTTTTACATTTAACTGTTTTAGTTTCACATACCGACAAATTAAGCCCAGTAATAAAAAGCATCTTCTTCATTTGTCGAACAATGCTAGTGTGGAAAATGAGTATATATTTATATGTGTTTGATAGTTTTTTCTTTCAGCCTTCCACCCTTCATGAAAATTTACGTCGACCCCACAATATTTCATTATTCATTAATAGAATCACTTTAAAAAGAAGGCAATAACTATATATTTATAAAAATGATTAAATATGGAGCTTTCTTTGTTGGGAAACCCTGATTTTGTCCGCCACACAACTGACCAAAATCGATAAAATAATGTTATTTGATTTAATACATTGTAGGAATCAATTGGAGCATGAAAGGACATCAAGCAATTAAAAAAAGACGTTGAATACAACAAACAACGAGTTCTAAAATGCAACTTATCTCATTCTCATGCACCATGACGCTTAAGTGATGGCATTTCTAGGGTTTAGTGGCAGTGGCGCATTGACAAATTTTGGATTTCAATTATATATTAGCATTGGACCAAAAAAGGGAAAGATACGCTAGAGTTGAAATTTAAAGATCCCGGAATTCCACTAAAGAAAAAGATGCATTTTCCCTTTTCTTTATTATCTTTCGTAGATCACTAGATCTGTATGATATAATGACTCATTTGTTTTTTCACATTGCATCAGCAAAAGAAAACAGCTGAACTTGACATGAAAATCTATGTGCTATAGACTATTAATTCGATTAACGTACGCGCGCGGCTTCAGAAATATCAACAAAGGGTGACTCACAATTTTAGTAAGTAGAGCGAGCCTCGACATTTATTAACTGTATAGTATAATTTTAGTTAGATTTATTAACTTCAAAGATTCTTTCTAAATTATGTTGTTTCGGGACTTAACTGCATAGTATTTCGCTCTCATTTGCGAACTACAAACAAAATATTTGAATATGTAAGTGTTTTTTTTAAGACACTAATCGAATATACCAATATATTTACATAGATCTACAACTATCTTCATTTCAATCTGTAAGGTATAATACATTTATATTTTTGGTGAAGCTAAGTTAGTAGTAACACCGCTTAAGGAGCTGAGTTGACATCTCATATGAACAGATTTTCACCTAAAAACTATTGTAATTAGAATAGTGAAATTCACTAGCATTTTAATGAAGAGGGGAGATAACCGATAATGATTAAAAGAAGTGATTATTCTTAAGACTAGAGACACATAATCGATGAGACAAACAAATGTGGCAAACATATGGACCCAAATCGTAGTTTATTTAATAAGGATTCTCTTAGTAGTTGTAATGGAGTTGTGTACTATATAATTTAATATTTCGAATATGTTATCATATATGATATGAATTTTTGACACTTTCCATTTTCCCAATTGGGTATATGGACTAGGAATAATAGAGGGCCATGTACTCAAACCAATGATATAAAGCAGAATTGTATAGCGACCAAAAGAAATAAATGTTTATCTTTTCTGTTATGTCAAAGAAATAATCCGACATACTGAACAATCATGATCATACCATTGATAATATTTAATCCATATTACATATTTAATTGAGTTATCAGAGGTATCCCGCAAGAATAAGCGTAAAGTTACAAAAAAATAAGAATTTTCTATTACGAATATACACGAATATACGAAAACATCGATCAAAGAAATGTGTAAATATATTTATTTAATCTTGTTATTGCTAGACTATTTTCACCACGTACATATTTAAACGTTAAGGTTAACTTATTCACCGCTAATTAACTCTCACCTACCAAATTTAAGCGACCGTATCTCGTTTTAGCCGAACGTTTGGAGAATAAGAAGAACATTTGGAGAATACGTCACGTCTAGACTTTTTTCCTTTTATCCTTTGAAATTCTTGAAGCTTTTGAATTATTTAAATTCTTTCTCTACTCTTACTTAAAATTGTTCAACTTAAACTCAAATAAAAACCTCGTATCAAAGTTTGCTTTATACGTTGGATTTTATTGGTAACACTGTATCACATTTTATATCATTCTTTTCTATCGTTTATAGTAATCAGTTACGCCAACACTGCGACAGTTACGCCTATTGCTAGTTTAATCAGTTACGCTTATACATAAAAACTAATATATTATATCAATTTGATAAATATGCATAATTTCCTAACAAGATCCCTTAAGCGAGGCCCTATAAATACATCATATGTGCTTCACCAACATTCACTAACACTTCATTTCCTTTCTTGAGTTTGTCCTCTTTGCCCTCTTTTCAATACATTGAAGTCCACTAAATATTTGTTTATATATATTTCACAGAAAAGAAAATCGCAAGCTAGGATGGCTTCTTTGATCACAACCAAAGCAATGATGAGTCATCATCATATTTTCTTCTCAACTAGAAACACTACTCTTTGTTCTGACAATTCTATCGACAACCAACAAACAAAAACGAAACCCCAAATAATCTACCACCGATTATCCTCACGGAGGGTCTCCGGTGTAACAAGAGCTGTAATCAATACACCGGCCCCGTCGCCGGAGAAAGAGGTGGAAGGTGAGAGACGGTGTCATGTTGCGTGGACAAGTGTACAACAAGAGAAGTGGGAGGGTGAGCTTACTGTCCAAGGAAAGATCCCTACTTGGCTGGTTTGTCTTTTTATCCTTTTTTCTGTATCCCTCCAAATCTCCTTTTTGATTTTAACTATATTCGTGGATATTCATACAATATGTATCGTGCACACAAAACACACTCACACTGGGCACATGTAAGTATATAATACGAGACTTTTTTCTTTTGTCAAATGTATATAAATATATCAATGCATGTATATTCATTTATATTCGGCATAGATTTTTTTGTTTCTTATACATGCATGGTTTCCTTACTAAGAAAAAATATATAGTGATTACTACACCATGCTCGGATATATATAAAAAACAAATAGTATCAAATTAAGGTCTGGATTTTTTTATTTATAAATATGCTAGTTTTCAAAAACATATTCACATATAATTAGTCTAGTTATGTTGAATTATATAATGCATTTGTACACACTTTCATTTTGTTATAAATTAACTAACATATATTTTTACTAAAACAGAACTCAATATATAAGAAAAAGGATTAAACACTTTTTTTTCCTGAAATAAAAAAGGTTAAAATGAGACAGTAAAATTTATGATGACATGCAGAATGGTACGTACCTGAGAAACGGTCCGGGACTATGGAACATCGGAGACCACGATTTCCGGCATCTCTTCGACGGCTACTCCACACTCGTCAAGCTCCAATTCGAAAACGGTCGTATATTCGCCGGCCACCGTCTCCTTGAATCCGACGCCTACAAAGCCGCCAAGAAACACAAGAAGCTCTGTTACCGCGAATTCTCCGAGACTCCAAAACCGGTGAGAAACCCTTTCTCCGGGATCGGAGAAATCGTCAGACTTTTCTCCGGCGCGTCCTTAACAGACAACGCCAACACCGGAGTGATCCGACTCGGCGACGGACGAGTCATGTGCCTCACGGAGACTCAAAAAGGATCGATTTTGGTCGACCACGAGACGTTAGAGACGATAGGGAAATTCGAATACGACGACAGATTGTGCGATCACTTGATCCAGTCAGCGCATCCGATCGTGACGGAGACGGAGATGTGGACGTTGATACCGGATCTTGTAAAACCGGGTTACCGGGTCGTGAGGATGGAGGCCGGGTCGAATAAAAGGGAGGTCGTGGGGCGGGTGAAGTGTCGGTCCGGGTCGTGGGGACCCGGGTGGGTTCACTCGTTTGCGGTGACGGAGAATTATGTTGTGATACCGGAAATGCCCCTGAGGTACTCGGTGAGGAATCTGCTTAAAGCTGAGCCGACGCCGCTTTACAAGTTTGAGTGGTGTCCCGACGACGGAGCTTTTGTTCATGTCATGTCCAAACTCACCGGAGAAATCGTAAGTGAAACATTTTACTATTTACTACTAGTGAACATTTTCTTGGTTATATATAACATATTTTATGGCTGAATTATATGCATGGTTAACAATTTTTTTCTTTTTTTAACTATATATTTTGTTTAGGATCAGTATGTACATTGAAGTAGATATGCAATAGAAATACGTAATATTCGTTTTATATTTTAGTTTTGACATAAATGTAAAACATTAAACGTTATGACGTGGTAAGGTGGCGAGCGTGGAGGTGCCGGCGTACGTAACGTTTCACTTCATAAACGCATACGAAGAAGATGAGACTGGTGAAGGGAAAGCGACGGTCATCATCGCAGATTGTTGTGAGCACAACGCGGATACTCGGATACTCGATATGCTTCGCCTCCATACACTACGTTCCTCCCATGGTCACGACGTTTTACCCGATGCTAGGTATGTAAATGTGTCAACTGTCAAGTATTTAATCAACCACACCTACGTGCATTTTTAGTTTTGACTATATATAACTGGACTAATGTAACACTGTCTATACGCTTAGGATCGGGAGATTCAAGATACCGTTGGACGGGAGCAAATACGGGAAACTAGAGACGGCCGTGGAGGCGGAGAAGCATGGGAGAGCGATGGACATGTGCAGCATCAATCCTTTGTATTTAGGACAAAAATACCGTTACGTTTATGCCTGTGGTGCTAAACGACCTTGTAACTTTCCCAATGCTCTCTCCAAGGTGACTTGCATAAACGAAACAATTTGTTTCCATATAATCATCACGTTTTGGATGGTAGCAGCAGAAGTTTTGTGATGCTATACCACACGATTCAATATATTTATAATTGTATGAGAGACAGGTTGATATGGTGGAGAAGAAAGTGAAGAACTGGCATGAACACGGTATTATACCATCCGAGCCATTCTTTGTGCCTCGTCCCGGCGCAATCCATGAAGATGATGGTTAGTTTTTTCAAACTTCTAGATTTGATTGATAGTCTTTATTCGACGTGAGTTTTTAAATTTTGGGTTTGTGTTGTGAAAAGGAGTGGTGATATCGATAGTAAGTGAAGAAAATGGAGGAAGTTATGCAATCTTGCTTGATGGAAGCTCCTTTGAAGAAATAGCAAGAGCCAAGTTTCCTTATGGTCTTCCTTATGGCTTACATGGTTGCTGGATTCCCAAACATTAACTTCAATCATCTGAATAAAGATACCTTCATTATACAAAACACAATAATATGTAACATTTATTCATTACACATTTGTATTATTAATATATACACCCTGTGCATGTCTTTGTAAAAGGTTGTTGTACCTTTATGCTTCTTGTCTCATATATGTAATGTGCAAAACCAAAATAAAAGGAGCCCATTGTGGTTGATACAATTATTTTATTTAAATTTGCAATTCAATTTAATTTACATCATCATACAATACATTGACAATTTACTCAATTTTTCTTTTTCCCTTGCTGAAAACAAGTTACAACAAAATGAAAAAGAAGAAATGAGAAAACTCAAGTCACTTCTCTTCTCTGCAGACTAAAACATTGTTACAACGGTGTAGATGTAGAGCCACAACTATCTCCACCCACTGAATCGGATACTATCAGCTGCGCAAGCTTAGAAGCAGCTTCGGGTTCACTGTTTCCACCTAGTCATTAGCAAAATACGATTCTCAGTTTCATAGGGTTGGTGTAAGATCTTTTGAGTAAGAGATAAAATGAAAGCACTCTCTTATTAAGAGTAGCTAACCTGACTGAACCAAAGGAGCCGCTGATGAAGTTGAAGCTCCTCTCTTCATTTTTGGCTGCGATTATCACCAACAGTTTGATGAAGTATGTATCAACGATTCTTTGCAGGTAAAAGACTAAGACTAAACTAATGAGCATACGTACCTTGGTATTTTCTTCCATATATTTCACGACTTGAGAGATGCTTCCACAATGTCCATGAAACAGAGTGTAAGCCCACAAAAGAAGCTTCCTCGGGATGCTTACATCAATGACTTCGACTCCTTCGATGCCTGGAAGAATCTCTCCCTCTGTTGCTAGCCCAGGCAGTGCGGAATAGAGATTGATTTCAGAAGGAAGTGTGACTGAAGCCGTTTCTCGGAAGTAACTGTAACAACTTTTAAGTAGAGTATTAGCGGTTTCCAGATTCTCCTCGCAGACTTTATTGGAAATCAGTACGTTCTTGATCTTGGACAGAACAGGGCGCCATTTCTCCTCGAGCATCTGGGAGTCTGAGGGATCCTCAAAATAAGAACTCCACAGTTCTGACTGGAGATCAACACAAAGCACCCGTCTGTTTTCCAGAGAACCAAATGATGGATTTATTGCTTGAGTTTCCGCCGAGGATACTTGCTGCAAGGGGGTTATTGACGCCAAGCTTATTATCAGAGCTCGGCACCAAGCAAGAGAAGCATGTCTGCCAACTTTAGCCGAGAAACTATTAGACAACTTTGGATTCTTGAAACGCTTCCGAATCTTTTCATTTATGGTTTCCAGGGTCTCAACCTTGTTGTCTAGTTCAAGAGATAAGATGTATTGGTCTAGAAATCTGCAAAAGGAAAAAATTCAATACCGGATAGCAAAAATCCAATGTCTAAGCTGACATATATTCATGCCTCATGCAAAACTGATATACCTGTATAAGCTGCTCTCTGAGGTTTCTGGACCTCTTGTTTCAGGAAAATTGCATATGTCTGGCCATATGCTTCCTTGTTCTATAAAGAGAGAAAATATTTTCTCCAACTGACTATCAGGGTTGATTTTTGCTCCTGAAGAATCAACCTGACTCATCGAGGACACCAGTGCATTTACGTATCTTCCTATTGCAACTGGTACAAGGTCTTCAATGCATAGAGAGAACTGTATTCAAAATTTATAGAGTGTGACATTAGCATTTAGCAAACTAGTTCTGTACCAAATTTCTTGTCATGTATTCAAAAGTGACTACTAAGGGTACCAGCAAAGTCTTTGATAGCAGTGATTAAGTCCTTACCCTCTTATCTGATCGAAGAGAATTAAACGCTCGTTCAAGTGTGGTGACATCTCCAGTTTCCTCCAATAGTCTCAAATAGAACAGCAAGTACTTGCGGATGCAAGTGATGAATTTCCGTGAACTCTCTGGCAGGTTGACTTCCAGAGCCTTCTTGTTTCCAGCTAGACCTGGAGTTTTCCGCCTAAATAGAAAGAGAAGAAGCATATACATGAAAATTTACCACAATCATATCTGTGGAGCTAAATTTCAATGATTGTTACCACTTAGTCTAACATTTTAATCATATTGTTTCTCAGAAGGTTATTCTAATCATAAGCGGATGATATCGTCAGTGTTAAAGCCCTTTAGCACAAAGATTAACTAAATTTTAGGAGCAAGTAAGAATGTGTCTGCACCTTCCCTTTTTGACCATGCCATCAATCTCCCACATATTGATCGTAAAACTTGACCGGGATGATTTGAAACAAAAGGAAAGTTCTTCTTTTGCTCTTTGCAGATCACTGCTCCCACCCCTTCTATACAGCCCTTGGGCAAGCATGTATCTCGCCTTATGAAAATGTTTAAGATCTCCTTCTATACAGCTTCCCAGTGCAGAAAGGCTGTCGTTGTGGAGCATATGCCACACCCCTTCCATCTGAATTGACCCCTCTCCAGTTTTAGCATAACTTGCTTCCAAGTTTCCATCTTGAGCTTCTTCCAGTGTACGAGAGGATCCAATAGTCGTTGTACCAATGATTGTCATAGCAGTATCCTTTATAGATTCATCAAAGCAGTAAGTGGCTAGGACCTGAAAGATCAACACGAAAGTTAGCAGTCCATTAAGGACCTCAAAAGCAAAAAAGTAAATCGATAGTGGACTTCTTAAGCTCTGACTGGATTTAAATATGATTTTCTTTTTAAAACCATGATGTTGTAGTTACAAGTTAAAGAAAAAGATGGATGTTGTGCTGCTTATAAGAAAGAGGAAAAACATTAGAGCGTCAACCACAAACCTTTAAGGCCTCTAAGTTCTGTTTCCCACAAGCATTTAGAAGCTTCAAACGAGAAGCATGCATTCTGTACACAGGATCTACGGCAGACGGATTCAATGTCATGGCTTGCTCATAATAGGATAAAGAAATTTCATACGGCTGCCGAAGCTTCTCACTGAGTTTTCCCATGTAGAATGCATGTGACCAATCTTGTCTGTACAGGATGAGTTAAGCAAAGAAACACTCTTGAGTAATCGACCTAAGTGAACACACTTTGAATAACAATTGATCTATACCTATGTGCAAAAGCTTTCTTGAAATGCTTCATTGAGTTCTCACAAAATCTTGTCCACGTTGCATCCTTAGAGGGTAGCACAGACCGCTGATCATAAAACGGCACAACACTCTGAAGGCTGTCATAGTATACCAGCGCCAACAGCTCATGTATCTCAGACTACAACAGAAGATCCATATATCAATATCATCAATAATTCCAACAGGTAACTGTTTTATAATAAAACTGAAAACTCTCAAGAAAGCCATTCCTCCATCAATAACACCAATAGGTAACTGTTCCTGCAACTTATGCTCATTTTTGTAACTTGGGAGGTTTTTAATCAAGCTTATAACTTATTTTGTCTTTAGTTAAGTATTTTTCGGTCTAATGCAAATTCACTTATTGCCAAAACCTACTAAAGCTACCACCAGAAACTATCTATATTATGCAAATTCACAAATTCAACATCTATATTATGTAATCCAGCAAGTAACTAAGCATGAATGAAGGTGGCAAATTTAACCTGTTGATCTGGTGAATTTGCTAACGCCAAACTCATTAGCAGACAACGTCTGCTTCTTCTTCTGCTTGTTTCAACTCTTTGCGAAAGAGTGGCATTCTTCCTCCATCCTACAACATTTATGTGCTTGCTACCATCATTTAGCAACAAATCTACTTCCTGGTATAGGTGAAAAAGTCAAATGGGAAATGCAAGCAATTATCAAAACATGAATAAAGATCCACTAACAAAAGACACAAAGCCACCTTTCCCAAAAGCTATCCTACGAAAAAGATTCAACTCATAACGGATATTGGAAAGTAGGAATGAAAGAACTTGCCTCGTCGTAAATATTGCCAAGCTTTTGCCAACTCTCATAGCGCAGAGGATTATAGAGCAGATCATATTTGAACAGATTTGTATTCTGCTGTACAAACTCTTCTCCTTCCTTCGTGAGAACAAAGCCGGGCCATTTATCACTAGCACTAACTTCCTCAGACTGAGCTAAGAAATAATACAAGTTGCGGTAGACATCCAAATAGGGGTCGGAACTGCAAACGATTTAATAAAACAAGTGGCGATATCAGACTACGGAAGATAATTTTGGCAAGAGGAATTCATAACAAAAAGAAAATCTTGTTTATACCTGTGGAGCAGTGATACCTTGTACTCACTGAGAGTTCTGTTGGGAATTATACATTTAGTTATGGTTTCAAGGAAACCTTCAGAACCAGCCTCGTATGAGAGTTTGTCTTCACATAAAGCAGGGTCATCTAAGAATTTATCTATCACATTGTCCACTAGGAGATCGTCTGGTGGTTGTGGAAAATGCTTTTTTATTGCTCTCAAGACTCTCCGGAGTTTAACTAATCCTGTTCTCTGAGACAAGAAGGATAAGTATAAGATTGCCAGAGACTATCTTCAAAAGACTAAGTCTATTGAACACGGCTAGCAACACACTCTGTTTTGTGTGTGCGCATGCAGCTGAAACGTAACACCAGATATCTATGCGATATCAGCTACGTGAGTTACAATAGGTGTTTAGAAAGATCAATGCACCAAGTACAAGAGAATAAACTTTTGCACCGCTTATCACATACATATGCATATGAGCCTAGCAAGTTAAGAAATATCACTCACAGAGGAAGCCTTGGCATAGGGTAGTATGTACTGGAAAACATCAACACATTGTTCCTTTGTCTGATAATCTCCCCGGCTAGTGTTTTTGTGCACAGCAAGCTCATCTTCGTAGGAACCATCGACTCTAAGATTCAGACCATACAGGCAGAAAAAGCACTGATCTAAAGCGTTATTGATTAACAACTCGAGTTCATCTTTTTCTTTTTCAGCAACTTCTTCTGTGTGTTCCAGAATCTGTTTACTTTCTTCTTCAGACTGTTCTTTTTCCCCATAACCAACTTTTTCTACAGAACCATCCTTCTTAGAACTTTTATTGGTGTTTTCGTTTTTCTCAGCGTGCAGATCTTCGACAAATGATTTCATGTCACTTCTGCAAAATTTTCCAGGCAATGCCATATCATCTCCAAGGCCATCTGGGGAGTTGATACTGGATTTAACTTTCATGTCCACAGCCAATAAATGCTTAATCGCAAATCTAAGAAAAGCTCCTTCCTCCCCCTCACAATTTTTACCAGCACAGCAAAGCCCATATTCAGCAAGAAAATCATGGAGACCTATGATCAACTCAACCTAAAAAGAGACCAAATTTAGAAACTTAAATATCACAAAGAAGGAGACCAAAACAACTCTTAGTGTTATGGCTAATTGTAAAAGACTCGCCTATAGCTATTTTAAACTGAGATCCCCTGTAAGCCATGACTTACTTGATATTTAGTAGACATTGTAGAATCAAGGTGTTGAAGTTTACAGAATCCAATAGCTGCATCGAGAAAGCAAGATTTCTGCTCTTCATCAATCCCGTCAGCACTTTGAGAATCTGAATATTTCTTAGAAATAAAATGCCTCACGCTATTTGGCATGACTGTCAAAAGCAAAGATTGTATACCAGCTACACAATCTCTTGGCGCAACCATGGCACTCTGCACATCAATAAACACGGCCATCAAGTTCTTTTGTTTAGAACAACCACAAAACTGTTCTGATATTGGTCTCTCGTACATTGTACTGCCTAGTAATTACCCATTCAATTTTTTATTTTAAAACAGTACTCTTTAAGTAGTCTCTAGCACAAGGGCCTGAAGTTAGCATATCAAGCATGAACAAGCAGGTAATGCAGTTAAATAATTCAAACAAAAATCATGTGTATAATTTGTCTCAGACGCTTGTGCTACCATGATCAATATCCCAAGCAAACAAAGATAATTAGCTTCTCAAAAAATTTATTTATTTTTAGACCATACCCATATATGTTTAAACAAATTACAGACTTACAGAGTTATCTGACTGGTCAAGGAAGTTCTTCACTTGAGAAATACAAAGAAGAATTGCCTTTACTTCCTCTGCCAGCAAGTGATTACTCTCACTCAAACTTTTATATGAGGTTTTAGGTGTCTCAACAGATTCCCCCGTACCAGTTGATTCCAAGAGAACTTGCAACTTTCTTCTATGACAGTTCATATAAACCTCCACATCTATAGGCTTACTCTTCTGGCATGCTTTTATTAAAACGTCGAGTGCTGATAACTCAGTAGAGGAGAACCCTTCTTCCGATTTCACAGAGGATGCAGGCCAGATGTCTTTATTTGGAAATAAAAGTGATGCAAGTAAGTTTACACACTCTGAGTATAATTCTTTCTCCATCATCTCAGGTATGGTTTTCTCCAACAAGAAATCGATCTTAAGCAGATTTATTTCACTGGTGATCATGTTGATATTCAGCTCTCGAGTTCTTCTGCAATGAGGCAGCCGAATTAAGACAGGAGATTCTGCAGTACCTTCCTTGTCCAACAATGACAAACACTTGATAAATTCTTCAAGGGCTTTAGCTTTATTATCCTCCAAAATTGATAACCGTGCACTCAGCCAGAAATATCGAGCCCAGAAGCATCTTTTCTCATAACCCAACACCTCTTTAGCAGTCTGATCACCTTGAGAACTCTTTAACGAGGAGTCAGGAGATCTTCCCTCCCAGGAAATAGGTGTAGATTCGATAGCATAATCAAGGGAAACAGATTCAATTATCTTGGAGAGATGGTATGTTACTTCTACCATGTATGATTGGGAATCAGGAATATCTGATCGTGTAGATTCAAGGTCATAGTACAGCTCAGCGAGAAAAAGACTGCATTCAGGTCTCCGGTCTCGGCCCCAGTGTCTAGTGAGCTTTTCTAACTCCAAAATTTTCAGGGCAGCATCACGACTCAATAGATGTTCAGATTTACTAGCAATATACTCTAGAAGCAAATGGCCCAGATGATAAGCACCATAATTTTCTGAAGTTTCCTTCACGAAATTAGAAACGACAGCTTGTTCAGAAATTGGATCAGGTTCGTGAAGGCTGAAGGAACCAGCAGAAGTTTTGCTGAATCCCCTTTCAAGGACAAACGTCTTAAGATATCGAAGGATGTCACTGCTAGGATCCTTGCAATTATCAAATTCTACATCTTCCTTCTCAGGTTTCTGGTTCCGAAGCCGTTCAAGACGAGTACTCCGCCGCTCTTGGGGGTGTTCTTCAGAAAACGCAGGCTCCTTTTCTCTAACCTCACCACCACTTTCTCTTTCGATGTTGCAATCCTTAACAGACACAATACTTGAATCTGATTCCACACAATGATCCTTCTTTTCCGAACCCTGCATTACAGCTTCTGTACTTAGAGTTAATTCAATGGCTATTGGTATATCAGCTGATCTGCCCACAGTTTCACACGAAGGATTCACTATCTCAAGTAGAATATTTATCAAAGCCACCCATGAAGCTTCAGTAAGTTTAACTTGCACTATTTTTTTCAACTTCTTGGGAGCAGCATTCTTGTCCTGATTCTGGTCAGACACCTTTCTTTTGCCAAGAAATTTGAGCCGAACGTGCTGAGGTTCAAGCTTATCTATACCCTTGGGCGCAAAAGGAGCTGAATCTGTTTCTTCGATAGAACGTTTAACGTGCAAAGCTCGAGAATGTGATGGCCAATGCCTCAAAATCAAATTTGCAACTGAAAGACAGGAAACTTCATCACCTATGGCAATGAGAACTTCTAGAAGTTTCTCCATGCAGTTCCCTGCACATTTTCACAGTCAAATTTCAGGGATGGGTGAGGGAAGCATAAATGCAATAGTCCATACTACATTTGACCAATGTGAACCCAGGAACAGAGAGTAATCATAGTTTCAACAAGTATTGCAACACGAAGAAGAAAAAGAACATTGCGTACAGTTATTAGGGCTGCAGAGAAGTCCCTGTTCAAATGCCCATCGTGAAATACTCAGTAATCCCATCGAACATGATAGGGTTCCAAGATGGTTCCACAGCACAGAATCTTTTGCATCTATGTCTATAGCTTGAAGATAACAGTTTAGAGCATTCTCGTGATGACTTGAACCTAGCTCAAGAAATACAGTCGCAAGATTCTTCAGAGCCAAAAATCTGCAAAGATACAGAAATCATTTACAGGCACGGTACTAATAAACGAAACACAATATAACTAATGCAGCATCAATAACTAGACATATAACCAAATGTAACTAGATGAATTAAAGCATGGAGCTTGACCTGAGATGATGGAGATGATTGTCGTTTGCAATAGTCTCCACCTGGAAAGAAATTACTTACTGTCAATCAGAAACAGTTCCTTATTTCAAAGAAATCATCAGAATACAACTGAATGAGTTTTTGTACCTTGGAGTTGGCTATTATAGGATCCTTAAGGATAGACTCCAGCAGCTCCCGAGCCTTTTCGTAGTCTTTAGCTTGCAGCTTGAGAAGACCATCGTGATATGTTTGTGACAGATGAAACTCCTGATGACGGCAATAACAAAAGTTCAAATGTTATCTCTACAATGATCTTATCTCCCTAATTTATCAGTGTTCGATTTGAGTTGAGTCGGAGCTTAATCAAAATTGATCCGAAACCAACACAAATTCTAGCAGCACTATAGAATCGAAAACACGAAGACAGAAATTCATCAATCCTAAGAACAAAAACACACAAAAAAAATCCAGAATTAAAGTTGAGAGGAGATTCTAAAAATTGAAAGTAGCCCTAAATCAGAAGAAAACCTGAGCTTCTTTGCTAGGAGCTAAAGGCTCCCACTTCTCCTTGGTCTCTGTATCATTGATAGCTGCAATCGAAAACTGAAGCAAAAACAGATCAAAAATCAAACCTCAATCACTAAAAGGATCACGATTAATCTCTCGCCCGAAATTATCATACCATCTTTGATAATTGAGAATCGAAGCTGCAGAAAGGTCGTCAGTGATTGGATTTTCAGTAGTCCGTGTTTCAGAGTACTTGGCGCGAAATCTTACTATCTTCTTCTAGGGCTCATGCCTGTTACACACATTTAGGGTTTTGAAATTCATGTATGCTTTCTTCTTAGTCTGTGTTCTTCAACTGTTATGAGCTATTTTGCGACTCTCCGTTAAACGGATTGTTAAAAGAGGAATTTCCGATAATGTATGCTGGGAAAATTAGAAATATTGCAAGAGGAGACATTATACTTTGTACTTTTACTATAAAATACTTCAAGTTTTTAAAATTAAGATTGAGGTCTCCACTTTTGTCTTTTGCTGTTCATTTATGGTTTAGGTTAATAAACCATTTTTAAACCGGGTCCACAGACATCGTGGCAAGTGACAACCGCTAAAAATTCGACCGTTATTGCTATAAACACTTTGGCCTTTACTTTATATTTTCAAAATGAAATTTTTGTGGTTTTATATTAAGCTTTGAGCCCGCTCCCCTTATTTTTCAATTTGGATCTGTCCTCCCTCAAGTTTTGGCCTCTCTCTCTTCTCTTCTCTTCTCTTCTCTTCTCTTTCTCTCTCTCTCTCTCTTTGTCGGCCGATCGATCTCTTCCATGGCGATCGCTACGGAGACACAACAGCAGGAGAAGGTAAAGGATCAACTCTTTCGGGTTCACGACTGCTTGCCCTGATGTGTTTCCTTCTCGATTTTTTTATCCTTGTTTTTAGGGATTGTGAGAATTTATCCTCTTCTCGATCTTTGGTTTTGAAATTCTCGAGATCTGGGATTATCGTTGCGTGGCTTGATTCTCTATTGGGGGATGAAAGAACATATTTTTTGCGTTTTTTCGATTGTCTTTGTGTTAGGTGTGAATTGAGAGAGAAATTAGGAGCATTTCTAATTTCTGTGATATCGTGAGGATTAGGGTTTGGAAATTTTGTGAATTGGAAGAATTTGATTTATGTGGAAGTGAAAGAGTCAAATCTTCATTTCTGTAAAATTGACAATTTATTGGCGGATTAGTGACCATTTGGGTTTGAACTTTCGGGCAGATGAACAAGGGTTACACATTGCTCAAATTCAAAGTAGATTCTTTTCTAGTGATTCAGTGTCTTATAAAGGTCAAAATCTCAAAATGGTTTTTCAATTTGTTTGTTATCAGGAAGCTTCAGATGCTTCTGCAGCTGTACAGAAGAGATGGAATCTGAGTGATTTTGACATTGGGAAGCCTCTCGGAAGAGGAAAGTTCGGTCACGTCTATCTCGCTAGAGAGAAACGGGTCAGTGTGCTTTGATTCGTTTAAATACTTTTGCATAAATGTTAGCATTTGTTTAGATCCATACATTGTTTACTCGCCAAACTCACACGTCTATGCGAATATGAAACAGAGCAATCACATTGTGGCTCTAAAGGTTCTTTTCAAGACACAGCTTCAACAGTCTCAGGTTGAACATCAGCTCAGAAGAGAAGTAGAGATTCAGTCTCATCTTCGGAACCCCAATATACTGCGGCTTTATGGTTATTTCTATGATCAAGTAAGTTAAAATGTCTCTCCTTTTCATTGACAGATATATAAATATCCACCCTTTTTGAGCGTAACTCAATGTATTTGGTTTCTTCATCTGTTGCAGAAAAGAGTTTATCTGATACTTGAGTATGCTGCTAGAGGAGAACTTTACAAAGAACTTCAGAAATGCAAGTACTTCAGCGAGAGACGAGCTGCAACAGTTAGTCCTTCCCTTCTACTTTCTTACCTCTCAAGCTTTTTGCTGTAGAAATACTTATGTGTCCTGACATGTTAATTGTGACAGTATGTTGCGTCGTTGGCGAGGGCTCTCATCTATTGCCATGGCAAGCATGTGATACACAGAGATATCAAACCAGAAAACCTGCTAATTGGTGCTCAGGTAACAAGTTTTTACCTTCTTAGCATTGATTTTGCAACTAGCTGATAATAACAAATTCATGGCTTTTCAATATCAGGGTGAGCTCAAGATTGCAGATTTTGGTTGGTCGGTACACACATTCAACCGCAGAAGGACAATGTGTGGAACACTTGATTACCTTCCTCCTGAGATGGTTGAAAGCGTGGAGCATGACGCTAGTGTGGATATCTGGAGCCTTGGGATTCTGTGTTATGAGTTTCTTTATGGTCTGCCTCCTTTCGAAGCCATGGAGCACTCAGACACTTACAGAAGGATTGTGCAAGTGGATCTGAAGTTCCCTCCTAAACCAATTGTCTCTGCATCTGCAAAGGATCTAATCAGCCAGATGCTTGTCAAGGAGTCTTCACAGCGTCTGCCGTTGCACAAGCTTCTCGAGCATCCGTGGATTGTGCAAAATGCTGATCCTTCTGGAATCTACAGAGGTTGATAATAAAGCTCTTTTATGCGTTCTCTGTTCAAACGCCTTGGCAATCTCGAGCCAAATTGTTGTTATTAAGAAAGAAACAAGAAAACACCATTGTGTAGGTGTACGAATCTTTCTGTTTCGTAATTCATGTGTAACCAATCTTTTCTTTTTCCTAATTCATGTTTCAATATCTGTTGTATCCCAAGAAATTTCATCCCCAAGTATCTGTACTCTTTACTGGAGAATGTTTTCTTACTTGTCTAATCTAATTTCAAACCAGCTCTGTTATTAGATTTGTTAATCCATTAGCTCAAACAACTACAATTCCACTTATGAATGATTTATCTCATTTGAAAAAGAAGACGAGACAAGTGGATAGATGTCAATGCTAAAAAGGTAAAAACTTGTTATTAACGAGTAAAACATTATCCAAGATATTTGTGAAAAAAATAGTTTTAAATTTACTATTTCTGAATACTTGGCAACTTTTATATGCATGGGATTTGATATATCATCAAGATAAAGCAAATTCTTGAATCGTTCAAGCTCAAGTTCATGGGGGATTTTAAGAAATGACAACTTTGAAGACGCTATTTACCAATCGATATTCTCCATATTATATATGTCCCTATAAAAAGGGAAAGCAAAGCATGAATACAAGAAGTTGGTCTAGTTTCACGAAAAGGGAAGTAAATGACGAGCATACACTCTCGGCTTCTCTTCCCGATCTATAAAAGACCAAACATAACTTCACAAGAACTTTATATCATCTTAAACAAAAAATGGTTCACCTATATGATTCAATCCTCGCTGCGGTCAAAATTACAAATGAAGAAATGAAACTTCGCCAAAAAAATTTTGGCATTACTCCGTCACACTGGTGGTTCCTTTAGGAGGGTTCATGAAGCTGGGCTGGTTCGTGGATGACAGCATCCGCGCCCACATCCTGTCTGTAATCACAACTTTGTTTTGTCTTTCAGTAATTCTCTGCAAGAAGAAGAAGGAAAAAAAGGATTAAAACTTTGGGAGTTAATGATCCAATGGCATGGATAGTTACTTAGGGGAAGAGAAGAAACTTACGTTGAAGGGAATGTAGGTCTGCCTTCCATTGACAAGACCAGCGGTGAAGCCGGTGTAGCCCGCCATTGCACCGTGGACTGCGCTTTGCGCGAGTAGAGTTGAGTAGACGTTGTCAGATGCATTCGCTGGAATAGCTCGGATCATGTATGTCGGATCTGAAACACGGAATCAATCATATTCATATCTCAATGAATCTAAGTACTGAAACATGGAATCAATCATATTCACATCATGAATCAAAGTACAGCTTGAGTTGAATTTGAGGAGGACATATGTACGTACCAATGTATTTCAGAGTAATGTCCATTTTACTCTCTTTAGCAAAGTGTTCCTGTTAAGAAAAACAAAAAGCCGGAAATGAAAAACAACTGTAATTAACCCTTTTGGGTGAGTATATGGAGCTGAAAGTTTTGATTAAGTTCAATAAATTTACCTTGATTTTAAGACTCATCCAGAGTCCAACATCTTTAAGGAGCTTGTTCCCTGAAGCATCTTGCTGGTCAATGCTCTCAGCAAGAAGATCTTGTCCTGCACCTTCAGCAACCACTATAACCATGTGGCCATTCTCTGTGAGCCGTTTTGCAATGAACTCGTAAAGCCCTCCTTTGCCTTCGAGGTAAAAGGGAGACTCGGGAATCAGACAGCAGTCAACATCTCGGCTGGCCAGAGTCGCATACATTGCAATGAACCCTGCAGTGTCGAATCTACAGATTAGATAAAAGCGCAGGGCGAAACGTCACAGTTTGTCACATTCTTGATTCTTCTGTGAACTTACCACTGTAGCGACCCATTAGCTTGACAAGTCCAATGCCGTTTTCCACACTGGTCGCTTCAACATGCGCTGCATTAATAGCACGTTGAGCCTCCTCAACCGCAGTATCAAATCCAAAGGACTTGTCAATGACCTGAATCAGAGATACTAATCAAATAGAGCTACTGTACATGCGAACTAGCCAGAATGGAAGAGGAGGCTAAGGATGAGAGTAAAAGTTACTGGATCTGGGACTTACTGGGATGTCATTGTCGATGGTTTTTGGTATTCCTGCGACTGCAACTTTAAGTCCACGGCGTCTGATTTCCTGCATCATCAGTCAAAAACATTTTTTTCACCAACTTAATTTGTCACATGGACATCAGTGCTTCACCAGTCCAATAATATATAGAAAGCTAGGAAGCCATTTTATATCTTCCAGCAAATAGACGTTCATAAGATAACTCATTTTATTAGACGTTCCATCAAACAATAATACACAACATTTCAACTCCAAAGAAGCATCCATTTCTGTCTTTTGAGCTTGATGTTCACTAACCTTATATATTGCAGATGCTCCCTTTTGGGTTCCATCACCTCCAATGATGTAAACCTATATCACAGATACAGATAATGCAACTGAATCTTATTAGCAAGAGCTACACTCCGTTCAACAGAAGCAAACTTACAGTAAGAAAACAAATTTCTTCTTAGGAAACCTGATTTATTTCACGATCCTCTATGTTGTCGACGATCTTTAATGTATCATGTCCTCCTCGGGAAGTTCCTAGCATTGTTCCCCCGCGCTTGTGGATGTCACTCACACTCTTCGGTGTCAGTGTAACAGTGTTTCTGGAATAGAACCCACGAAACCCGCACTGCAAGTACCGCAAAACCAATAAGATCACCATCTCCTAACAATACAGTCTTAAGAAGAAGAAATGGTTGGTACTTGAAAAGAACTTACATTCACACCAGTTACTTCTTTGACACCATACATGAAGTGAAGACCACACACGATCTCCCTGATAACAGTGTTGAGCCCGGGGCATAGGCCACCACATGTGACAATACAGGCACGTACATCAGCTGACTTGAAACACACCTAAACACAACATATTGATCTATACATCAGCAGCTTTCACTTTCATTAGATGCGGAAAACTCATGGAAGAGATGAAATACCTTTTGGCGCGGTCCTGCACGTCTAAAATGTGTCCCTCTAGGAGAATCCTTGTGAACAACAATCTATAAATGACACATACAAAAAGAGAAAACTTAGCAAAGTCATAACAAATCACATTATCACTTACGCAGAGAACAAAGCAGTGAGTTTTACCTTTTGCGGGACTGTATCATCCTCATCAACAAAGTATTGCCTGAAAAATTCCACACAACATTTACCAAATTAGCTAACTTTCATCTATCAATCAATCAAGTTAAACTGTATAATCTCCACTTACCTAACAACTGAATAAGCAGCATTCGATTGCAACGGGTTTGGGTAAGTCTGGAAAACCGCAAGAACAGAAAAGGCATCAGCAAAAGTGAAATCATATGAAATCTGTAAATGCAATGCCAGAGTAATGTACAATCATAATTATAATATAATCCTTCCATTATTCTACATGTATTATATGATATACCCTTAGCCGAGGAGAGAGCTTCATTACTATCAAATACAGAACATTCAAATAGATCTAATCAAACGTTCCAGCACGAGTACGCATGTGTGCACCAATCCATTTCCACGTTCACATTGATTAACATTTATGTAAACTATGAGGAATGAGGATACATATATATGAAAATTCTCCGTGATAACGACCGGATCTCATCGACAAACCCGAATTATAAAGTATAACTATAAGGAATCATCAATTTCCCGAAACAAAAGGAGAAAACCAGTTATACAAACAGAAATTTGCATTTTGCGTATATGCATACACAAACCAAATTCGCAACACGTGTACGGGGCTGGTTTCAAAACAAGGTAATGGGTGTAAAATGCTTTAAATCGTATAAGCGCCGATCCAGAGAAATGTCGGTTTCAGAGCAAAATCAAAGTAAATCGAAATAGAGAGGAAGTAATACGGGGAGATCGAGAATGTAATCGCTCAGATGAGGAACATCTTCGAGTACATAACCACCAGCTCCTTCCACCAACTTCATCTGCTCATCGACGCCATTCGAGTCCATCTCACTCACTCTCTTTCTCTCTCTCTCTGCCGAAGACCTTATTCTTCTGTTTTTCTCCGGTCACGTAAAAGCGAATGCGAGTTTGAAGCGTTTTTTGTATATTGTTTTGGTATTCTCTTTCAGAGTGGTATTGAAGTAAGAAGAGAGAAGAACAGAAAAGGGGTTTTTGGAACGAGAAAAGCGACGTCGTTTTCACTCAACCGGTTACATTTTGATATTGCGGACAAAAACCAGCGGAAACGGCGGCTGGTTTTCCCTCTTGTCACTTTCCGGTTTTCAGAAGGATTCGTGTGTATAATAATATACTCCAAAAGAATATTGTTTTGGAAAAGGGAATATTATATTAAATTTGGGTAAATTAATGTAAAGTTATACTGTATTATTATTATTATACTAGGTTTCGTAAATTTTATTATCTCTTGGTTTTAAATTTCGTAGATTTTCCAAAAGAAAAGTAAAAAAGTGAAATTATTAAGCTATACAATTAAAGGAAATAACAAAGAAAGATGCCGCATAAAAACATGCCAGGCCACAGATGACAGATCTCTAACCCTAATTTTGCGAGAAAACTCTCCGTCGAACCATGACCTTAAAGACCCTGGAAGAAGACTTTTATGGACCTAGCCTAGAAGAATATTTCATCAATCCCTCGGAGATTAATGATTGCTGCTCTGGCAAGATAGTTGATGAGATATATGACAAATATCTCTCCAATATCTCCGAGCTATGCGATTGCAGCCAATTACGCTCCCGTAAGAGAGATGACGGATATATTTCCGATGACGAAGATATCTACATTGCTGAGAGGACCACCGTCGTCTTTTGGGACTTGGTGACCTACCCAATCCCAATCCCGGACAATCTTCAACCTTATGGAGAAACTATCAGATCAGCTCTTAAACAAATGGGCACTCATGGTGCTGTGTATATAATGGCGTATGGTGAGAACCTGAGCCACCTCGAAGATGAACTGAACAAAGCCGGAATCGTATACGCACCAGAAGGGCATCGCGAGATGGTTCTGGACGTTGTTGCTTTCGCAAATAGTACCAATGGAGATTTAATGGTAATCCCAAAGCCAGACCCAGATAGTGAGTTCCACAGGGTTCTCAAGTGTTTGGAATCGAGGCATCACGGTCTTTTCTTAGTAGAGCCGCCTGATGATGAGGACAGCGCACATGGTCTATGCCTTGATTCTGTACAGTCAATAGTTGACTGTACACAAGGTTTAAACGGACGAAAGCCTGTCATCAGAGCGATGAGGATAGATTATAGTTATACACTTGGTGATGATTTTATGGAAGATTTCTCAAAGCGAATCAGATTCGTGAAAGGGGCCAAGGCAGGCGTGTTCTGGGACGCGGAGGATTTCCCTTTCCCTGATGGTTGGAGTCCTGATGATATCTATAAGAAGATCGAATTAGCATTTCGTGCTGATGGTGTTGAGGGTAAGATTTCAGTCTGGGCCTATGTTGGTGACCGATATGGGGATTTTCTGAGGAGGAAGAAGAAGACTTGGGAATCAAGTATCTACTTCCTTCCCGCGACAAGTGATAGAATGTTACATGACATCAATTTATGGGCAATGGACTCTCATGTGGACTATCCTGATCCAGCATATGTGATCCTAGTATCGGGGAAAGTCGGACGTGACCGGGCCTTCACCAGAAGTCTTCAAGCTTTGGATATCCGTAATTACAGTGTTTCCTTGATAACTCCCCCTAAGATCGCCGTTCAGTCCAGCTGAGAGCAGCTCTGAATGGCCAAAATCACATTTTGGTGAAGAATACGTTTTGTGAATAATTTTCATTTCTACTTCCTTATACAAATTGTGGTGTTAATTTTACTACTTCTCTTTTCAAAGGATTATTGGCGTAAATAAAATAAAAAAAGATGCGCATGGAATTATCTTCAAGAAAAAGGAAGTATCAAAAATTTCCTTTAGCGTTGTTCCTGCAAAACGATTGTTTCTTTGTCTTTGTTTCATCTTCTTATTGCAGGCTGCTTGTTACTGAAGTTAAATTTTATGATATTATAGACTCTTGTGTTGTTAGGTTTTGTTTTGGCACAGACTCTTGAAGTGTTGCATGGAGAGATTTGCATTCCAGAATATATATATTTAGATATTTTTGTATTTCAGAATATATTTCTTCTCTGGTTTTTATAAAGATAGAAATTTCTATTATAACAAGTTCAAATTTAATATAACTATTTTAAAAACAAAATTAACATCATTTTTAGTATCACAAATTTGACATTAGTCATCTGTTTAGTGTCACTTATGAAAATTGACCTCAATCATATATTTAGCATCACTTGTGACAATTGACTTAGCATCACTTACAACAATTGACTTTAATCTTATATCTGGCATCACTTATGTGAATTGATCGTAATCTTATGTTTTTTCATCTCTTCTGAAATGATACTATAATGATATTTAGCAACATTAAAAGAAACGATACAAGTTATAAACTAAATGATCCTAAATAGAATTCTCATGTCATTTGTAAATGTGATAAAAATAAAATGTTGTGTCATTGAATTTGGCATGATGATATAGTTCTTAAATGATGCTAAATTATATTTTTTTAAATGACACTGAAAAATAGTATTCTTGTAGTGATTTGATAACAAAGACTGTTTGTACATACAAAGCACAATTGAAGTTGATCGGTTCGGGTGGTATTGATTATGTGAACCGAGGAGAGTCCAGCCGAACTACAAGTGTCGTGATCTCAGATGATGTTGAAAATTATACCAATAGATTTCACTCGGCTCTATTGTTTTGACTTACTGTGGTGAAGGGGATTTCTTGATGCCCAAGAAACAGAGAGCTGCACAAGATCACAAGATGACTAAGGGCAGTCTTGCTTTAGTCAACAACATGGTGAAAAAGTCTCATGTGAGAGTGGTTGTGGGCAGAAAGAGCACAAAATTCGGAAAATGGTTGAAGCTCAATGGACAGAAACAGGTCCTCTAGAGAACACTGTCTTCAAATTCAAACTCCAGCGACTTGAGAGTCATTGATTGTTTTTGGAATTTAGGTCGATCAAAACTTAAAAGAGGGAAAAACAGCAAATGAGTTTTGTTCATTAATTGCGTTTGTACTTTTGTTCCAGAATTGAATGTTACTTTTTGGATCATTCCCTGAAAAACCAATAAAGACCATGCTTATTGCTTTTTGTTTCATTCTCTTTAACATACTACAACTGTATCTTTTACACTTAACTGGCATCTTAACAAGAATCCACAAAACAACAGAAGCAAACACAAACCGAACTGTTAAGATTCCAAAACTCAAGCAAGCGAATTTCCTGACCATTCTCGTTCCCTTCGTTTTTGTTTGGCTTGCATTCTGTTGAACTTCTCTTTTCCCTTTTCAAGAAGAGGGTCGACCACAACATACGCATCTGGATCATCTTTGCGCCTTTTGTCCTGCAGGGTAGTTTCACTTTTTTTCAGTTTCTCCATGGGACACGATAAACAGAATACATATAGCTCAAGCGTTTGATTAAAAACATGGATAATTCGATCTTCACGATAAGTAAAGAAAGGGAACGAAATAGTGTCGTACTAGATCCATTAGAACCAAACTAATGTGAGATGGAAACTTAAGAGATTTTACCTTGCCACTCCCGGGTGCAAACTTGAGCTTTACTTTCTTCCAGTCAGAAACATCTTCTTCTTCTTCGTTGTCTCCTGGTTCACTACTCGAGGTAAACGGTTTTGCAGAAATGGACTGCTTAAATTTCTCGAGTTTTGCCAACACCTGCAGAGCAAGAGGGCTACAGTGATTAGTTGATAATTTTGTCTACTAACACTGTTTCTCAGACAAAATTAAGTTTTACTTTTCAGCTTATGGATTTAGTCAATGAGTAAAGGAGGTACAGAATCAATAAGAAAATAGATTTAAAAATGTAAGCTAGTAAACAACTCACAGCATCCTCGTTTCCTCGCAGTCTGCGTTTTTTCAACTTATGTAACTGCCGGGCACGTTCAGAAGCGTTGTAAAGCTCTAAATCAGTGTCACCTTTCTCCAACCGTTGGGCTTTGGCTTCTGAACCAATACCCTTTTTCTTCAATGATAACTTTTTCATCCTTGGTTTCTCGTCTTCACTACTTGCAGCATCAGACCTGTTAATAGCAAAACTAATGAGTCAATGGCTTGTGTTACTGGTTATGGCAACATGAACTAAAGTAAAAAGAATTCACAGAAAGCAATTTCTGGAAAGGCTTTATCACTAACTAATAGACCATTGGGCATAGATGTAAGCATTCATGACATCTTTAATTAGGTTTTTCGTGATGGGAGGTCATTGACAAGGGTGAATCGCCATATCTTAGTGGTGTGTACGAACATAATGGGACTGCAACTGAGCCATGCGAATAAAAGTGAGTATATACTACTTGTTTTCATGAACACACAAAATATTGTATGAGCCAGACAAATTGACTTTGCCACAAAAAGGCAAATGATACAAAGACGATAGGGTATAACAGTGGTTTTCGTTACCTTTGGAACACGAGAATGGATTGAGAATGTACCTCAACAGATAATATTTTTGGGGGCAGGATCGAGGGGACGATCGTCCATAGCCGTATCAACCTCTCCTAGTCTTAGAACATTGAAGATTGAATCACCCGTTACCTAAGAGAATCAGAAACAAGTTGCAGCTAAAGCTAAACATGATCATGATTTTGGAAACAATAGTTGGACGAAGCAGAAGGAAACCATTTCATTTTACCTTTCCGAAGATAGTGTGCTTCTTATCAAGCCAATCACACTTATCCAAAGTGAAAAAGAACTGACTGCCATTCGAATTCAGTGAGCTCTCATTAGCCATGGCTACAATCACTCATAAGAGTTAGCTGATCCGATCTATAAGGAGAAAACAATCGTGAAGTTTCAGAAATTGACTCAAACAGACTTACCCCAAAGACATAATCAGAGGAGGCCGTGGGAATTTACCGGTGCCGGAGCCGGTGGGATCTCCGCCTTAGACGAGAATTCCGGTGGGAATTACACGGTGGAAGGTGGTGTTGTCGAAGTAACCCTCGAGGCATAGTTGAACAAAGTTCCGTACGGATTTGGGAGCTTCCTTCGGCCATAGCTCGATGTCGATTGGGCCATGAGTTGTATTCACAATGACCTTTCCCTTCGTCGGTGGCTCTACACACGCTTCTTCTTCTTCTCCGAGCTCAGATGTTTCTCACTTTTCCGTTTTTCTTCGCTGGGTTTAACGGAGACTTCTCGACTTTCTCCGTTAATCATTTATGTTAACGGAGACTTCTTGACTTTCTCTGTTAATCATTCACATTGATTAGCTAAAATCCTGCAGTAATTAAATGAATTAATTTTTTTTTTTTTTTTTAAATCGAAACGCCGTGTACCTAATATCTTCCCGAAACACAGCCTTTCCTCTCTCTCCATCTCCCTCATGCCCCCTTCTTCTCGATCCCTCTCTCTTCTCTCTCTGTTTCCTCTAGTCCATCGATTTAACCTCTTTCAGATTCTCATCCTTCGTCTTTGACTTTTCATTGACACCGTAGTCGCTTCCCCTTTCCATCGATTTAGGGTTTCCGCTTCCCCCTTCGAGTTTATTTATCTCACCCTTTTATAAATTTTCGATTTTTTATTTCCCTTTTCTCTCTGGTTCCCCTCCTTCTGCAATTCCCGTCTCGACTCGCTCTTTCCTTGTTAAGGTTTCGAACTCATTTTGATCAAGGCGTCTGATCCGATCTCCCTCGAGTTATATATGGTTTTCTGCTGCTCTTCGGCTTGGATCGCTTAGGATTTCTGGTTGTGTTATGATGGTGGGCACTCAACGTGTAGATGGCTCGTTGCCGCCGCTGAATTCCCCTAGAAGCTACGGAATTACGAAGCCACTCTCCCTTGCTGGGCCTTCCGCGGCTGATTTCAAGCGTAATGTTGAGCTAGAGAAGGTAAGCTTAGTTTGTGTTTAGCTAGAACTTTCAAAATGATTCGGCGCTTATACTTTTGGCTGGTTTTTTTCTAAAGCTGATATATTTTTTGTTATATGTTAAAGTTCTTGGTTGACGAGGGACTCTACGAGAGCGAGGAAGATACCATGCGGAGAGAGGAAGTTCTGGGGCGTATTGATCAGGTGACTCACCGTAAAAATTGAAATTTATGGTCGTTTATCTTTCACTGTGTTAGTTCTTACTCGTGTTTGGTCTGGTCGATGTGGATTCTGGGGGAAGCTTAGTTCCTGTTTCAATATGTAATAGACTTGGGTGAAGCATATGTTCTTGTGTCCTTAAATTTTCTGTTCCTTGTGTTTTTGTTTTTGAAATGTTAAATCTTTCATCTAATATATTTCTTCATACTTTTTTTCTTGTAGGTTGTAAAGCACTGGGTGAAACAGTTAACCCAGCAAAGAGGCTATACGGATCAGATGGTGGAGGATGCAAATGCTGTCATTTTCACCTTTGGATCTTACCGACTTGGCGTAAGTGCTTCATGCTTGCCATTTCATTGCGTTTATAGATTAAATGCATATAACATGTTTGGATGCATGGTTATAGATTAGTAGGATCATGTTGTGGTATTGAGCCATTTGAGACTTAGCTCTGTTTTTTTTGTCTCTGCGATGCAATCCTACTCTCTGAGGCTGAAACATTACAATTTGTTGAGTTGCAGGTACATGGGCCTGGTGCTGACATTGATACTCTGTGCGTTGGGCCATCTTATGTTAACCGGGAGGTAAATCTTGCTCTCTACCGCTTACTGATGCAACTTTTTTTTGTCTTTTAGTTCTTTACCACTTATTTTTACAGGAGGATTTCTTCATTATCTTGCATGATATATTGTCTGAGATGGAAGAAGTGACTGAGCTTCAACCTGTTCCCGACGCCCACGTTCCTGTCATGAAATTTAAGTTTCAAGGAATACCGATTGATCTGCTCTATGCTAGCATATCACTTTTAGTTGTGCCACAGGTAAATCTCTGAATCTAACATATCTATTTGAGATAGAGCTGAGAACTTTGCTGGATGTATTTAGTACACAAGTATTGGCTTCTAAATAGAAACTGAGCCCATGAGCTGTCACAATAGTTTGTAACTGCTTGCTGATTCAGATCTCTTGCTTTTATGGATTTGATATGTCAACAGGATCTAGATATCTCCAACTCTTCTGTGCTGTGTGATGTTGATGAGCCAACCGTTCGAAGTCTTAATGGTTGTAGAGTTGCTGATCAGATTCTTAAACTTGTTCCAAATTTTGAGGTATGCTTGCAAAATGCTATTCACTTATGTTAACATTTTTGAAAAACTACCGCTGCCTTCTCTGATCTTATGTGCAACTGTAGCACTTTCGGACTACATTAAGATGCTTGAAGTACTGGGCTAAGAAGCGTGGGGTCTATTCAAATGTAAGATCATACCTTTCTGAGATTCATATATATTGAGATAATTTATGCTTAAGCTCTTGTCATCTTTCTCATTTCGGGCAGGTGACTGGATTTCTAGGCGGTGTAAACTGGGCACTTTTGGTTGCTCGTGTGTGCCAGCTCTATCCAAACGCAATCCCTAGTATGCTGGTTTCTCGGTTTTTCAGAGTATATACTCAATGGCGGTGGCCAAACCCGGTCATGCTTTGTGCGATAGAAGAGGATGAGCTTGGATTTCCGGTCTGGGACCCTCGCAAAAATCATCGCGACCGATACCACCTTATGCCTATAATAACTCCAGCTTACCCATGCATGAATTCTAGTTACAATGTCTCTCAAAGCACTCTTCGCGTTATGACAGAGCAGTTCCAGTTTGGTAACAGTATCTTGCAGGTAATAGAGCAATCTTTTGCCTTGTTTCCTCAGAAAGTTAATCATGATGCTAAAAGTATATTTTTTTGATGCAGGAGATTGAATTAAATAAACAACACTGGAGCTCTTTATTTGAACAATATATGTTCTTCGAGGCCTATAAAAACTACCTTCAGGTTGATATAGTAGCTGGAGATGCAGAGGATTTATTGGCTTGGAAGGGTTGGGTGGAGTCGCGGTTCAGACAGCTGACCTTAAAGGTTGATACCGTTCTCTGTATCTATAGTGTGTCCAAAGTTTTTTGATAGAAAACAAATATTGAATGGTTCTCGTTTCTTTGAATTCAATACAGATAGAAAGAGACACAAATGGGATGTTAATGTGCCATCCCCAGCCAAATGAGTATATAGACACGTCTAGGCAGTTTCTGCATTGTGCCTTTTTCATGGGCTTGCAGAGGGCAGAAGGAGTTGGTGGTCAAGAATGTCAACAGTTTGATATACGTGGCACGGTTGATGAGTTCAGGCAAGAAGTAAACATGTATGTGTTTTGGAAACCTGGGATGGATGTGTTTGTTTCTCATGTTCGTAGACGACAGCTGCCACCTTTTGTTTTCCCAAATGGATATAGAAGGCCTCGGCAGTCAAGGAACCAAAATCAACAAGGTGGAAAATCTGGTGAAGATGGCACTGTTTCTAATCCCAGCTCTGTGGTGGAGAGGCATGCCAAGAGAAAGAACGACAATGAAATGATGGATGCGAGGCCAGAGAAACCTGAGAAGCGTGCATCTCTTAGTCCACAGAGTCTAGACATTGTTTCTCCTGAAAGTAGTGCTATCACTACTGGCTGGACCCCTCCTGTTTGCAACCTTAAAAGGCCACCTGGTGAGGAAATTGAGGCTGAAAATTTGAACAATGAGAGTAATGTACTTGCTCTGGAAGTAGATAGTATGGCTTTAGTTCAAGAATGCTCTGTTCCGGCTGAGCCTTTGAGAAAGTGTGTGACACCAGATTCTAGTGACGTGGCAGCATGTGGAAGTGGGCAAGAAGAAAACTTGGATCGCGATTTGATGTCTGTGTCGATCAGTGGCTCTGACTCCCAACTTCTTCCGAGGCTAATAGAGATGAAAAGTGTTGGTGATGAAGTTGAGAGGGAATCAAAGTCATTTAGTGGGACGAGGACGAGTGGAGAAATTGCTGATAGTGTTCAGCTGAGCCGTGATTACGAGGTATAGGTTTTTTGTATGTTTGAGGATTGGCAATGATTGAATGAACGTACTGGGCGTAGTGATGATGGGTTTTTACAGGGATTTGGGTTTCCTACTGCAAATTCAGATTCTTTTGTGGGGAAGGAAAACGTGTATTCTCAAAGTGGCATGTCAGAAGACCTTCAGGTTCTTAAGCTACCTCAGTAGTTGACATAAGTTAAATTCCTTAGAAAGATTTGCACATTTTCTTTAACTTCTAATAGTATGTGAGGATCAAATCAGTCAAGAAATATAGATGGAGCTAAGTTTGAATTTGATGGTAGTCTATTTCCGAAACTGTAGTAGCTCTTGCTGAGTTTAATGTTTCTGCTGTGTCTTCACTTGCCTTGTGTCATTTCTGATTTCTGCTGCATTCCGCCTGACTAGTGCATATATATGGTTGGCAGGTCCTGCACTGCAAAGCAACTCCGCTTGAAACTTGTTGAATTGATTTTTTCTGTCTTTCCTTCAATTTATGAGGAATTTAAACCTAACTAATGTTGTTGCTCGTAATCTTGTTTGTCTTTTAGTCAAGCTCTTTGGTCAGCAGCGGTAGGGAGAAGTCAGAAGACAGAGCTAGGTCAGAATCTTTGCAGAAGTCACAGATAAGGCAAAATCATTATGTCTTTATGTTATTGTTTTATTTTTTTTGGTTTCCTTGGTGCTTTTATAGCAGCACAGCAGGTTGAGCTTAAAGTCCACTGTGTGAACGTCCTTTAGGCTATTGACGTGATAACCAAGACTCATCAAGAAAGCGGGAAAATCAACTCAAAATGTTGCGGTGGACAGACGACAGAGTCCAAAACCTTTTGGTAAGCTAATTTTTATATGGAAAAAAAAAAGTACAAAAAAAAAGTAAAAAAATGACATTTGAAAAGTCCAAAAAAAGAGAAAAAGGAAAAAGATATAAGCAGGAATGTTGGCTGGATTTGTTTTGTTGGTGGTATTATGAGTGAGCTTGGAGGATTAAAGCTCATGGCGTCACGAGGTGGGACAATGATCATTGCTCATTGACGACATATGGTGAAAGGAAGTGATTTATAATGTGGAGAGAATGTTGAATGTGTTTTTCTTCTTTTTTTTATTCGGCTCTGCTTCAGACACTTCTTTATATACTTCAGATGTCTGGTCGTCCTCTTGAGGCTTTGACTTGAATCGTTGTGTTTTTTTCCTTTTTTCCGGCTTATGTATATAAGAATCTATGCCTCCATGTCACTCTATTTCTCGGTTAAGTTATGCTGTTTAAACTTAGTGTCCCTATGATCATGCATTAAACGTTTAAAATGAGATGTTTCTGATCTAATACCAAATGTTTAGCCTTGTATTATACCACTGCGTTATCTTCTCATTCTCTTAACACAAACGTAAGGTAACTAATAACCAAAAATCAAACACAAAAATTTTAAAAAGTCGCATTAGCCTCTTTCTTATGTTATTTGTTTGTCTTTTTCTGTCTTGTCCTTAAAATACAGGGATACTATGATAAAAACAAAATCTAGAGTTTTAAGATCCAACCATCTAGGATTTAGTGGGATTTGGTAGAGAAATGCTATACTTCGTCTTTGCCGAAAAATTTAGAGAAAGCTTTTACAGAAACTTTTGACTTGTTCGACTACTTATCTAACTACAATTGGCTCAGCAGATATAAACAAATGTTATATTCCATCTTTGCTGTATTTTCAATCCAAGCGAAGTATATATTAGTAGTTATAACAATAGAATATATATGTATTTCAAACATCATCAGGATCTCTCAAACTTTGTCGTTTATGTCTATATATGCATAAACAGCCGCAGCACATTAAACGACAAATAAATTTTCATAATATATAACAAACTCTACGCATATGGTTATTTTCCACGAAGGCTATCGGTACTCCGTAGTCGCCTAGTCGACTCGGTACTATATGTGGACCAATCAAGAACAAATAATTATGTCTAAATACATCATATACATACAAACACACGTGTATACATGATATCGCTTTTGCAAAGAGACACACACACACAAAAAAAAAACATTATATCACCAAAACGGGTAAGTTCTGGAGTAATCAATAAGATCGTGTGTTTAAACTTAAAGGCAGTAACTCTAACGTTGATACTACTTGTTAGTAATTATTTTTAACGTTGATATAGTCATTAGATGCAAGTAACCTTTCGTATTCGACATGTTACATGAACATATGTATATATATATTCATATACACGCCCGATATACACACACTAGATTGATATTTCCTACTATTTCATCCAAGCAGATCCAAAATACGATCATGGATTACACAAAACAAACCCAAAAATAAAACGAAAAGTAGGAAAATATATATACTACTACAAAGAGAAATTATAAAGTCAAAACAAGACTACGGAAGTTATCTATCATATATTTATTTCTTAGATATGATATTTTGTGTAACGAAAGTGACGTTCAATTAAATGTCTTAAACCTCCTGAGCCATCATCCATCTCTGCAACCTCAGCTGTCTATGGAACCTCTGTATAAACTCCTCCGCAGCTCTGTCCACGTGGCAGCTATCCATGGTTCCCGTACTGCTAGCTACGTCCGGAAACACGGCCGCTGCCACGTGTCGGTCCCAGACGGAATCTCGAACCTTAGGGAGTGTGTTATATCGGATATACGCGTGGCGCTGGCGCTTGTTGATAAGAGGTTTGCGGGACCCGCTACGCCGTCCGTTGCTGACGTGGCACCCGGTGGTTGTAGAAGCGTAGGAACGTCTCGGTGGGGTGCTGCTGCAGCTGAACTCGTACTCCAGCTGGATCGGGACAGGGGAGATGAAAGAGGATCGGACGTCATGGTGGTCGGAAGGACGACAAGTGATGCGTGAGTGGGAAGTGGTTACGGCGTCGTTTAAGGATTTGCGTAGGATCTTGCCACGTTTGGCGAGTAATTGAGGATCGAGGGTTGTGAGGAGTTTGTGACGTGAGGCGTCAGAGACCTTCTGGATGGTAAAGAGGATTAGCTTCGCGAGGCTTGTGAGCTTCTTGGTGGTGACTGTTGAACAAACCTCCATGTCGTGAGTTGTTTGCATATGTTGTGAGAGAAAATGAGAAAGTGAGAGAGAGAGAGGGTTTGGCTTAGGGTTGGAGAGGGAAGAGATTTAAAGGAGAATAAAGTGGGATTAATGAAGAAACTGATGATGGTCTTTTTATAACGGAAACATTATATTTATTCCGCTAGCCATAGGAGTTATTTCAAGGTATAGGAAAAAAATGGAGTCGATGGGTCCAAATAGTTATTATCTCAACCGTTTTAAAACATTCTGGACTATATTAAAGTGCCACGTTTCGCGAGTATTTGTTATGTCAAAGAAAACATATGAAAATTGATTTTAAATAATAAACGTAGAAATGAGTCAAATGACTATTAAGTCTATTATTAACTCGTTGGATAGGTGTAACTTGCTGGTCCATTGGAGCAAATATCTTGGTAAATACAGATACTGCAGATTGATCTAGCCATCAGCAAAAGCGATTTCGATTACTTGGAAAATAAATTTACACTAAAATGAAAACAATATTTAAGTAGTGTAATGATAACAGCTGCATTATACAAATCTTATTTGAGCCGTGTCTGTCTTTATAGATTTTAATACTACTTGGTTACCTTTTCTTTTCCTATGTCTTTACTTTAATTAAATTTCTTTGTCAGGTAGAAAAATGAAAGAAATGAGAGATATGTTAAACTAACTCTTTTGTTTGAAATGTAATTGTATAGTCTCTCTAAGTTGTTCGCATATGCGAAAAGTGTAATGCGGGTGGGGATCCATTGGTCTTATATTGTTTGATTTTTCTATCGGAAAAAGTTGATTTTGATTGCTTTATCGAAAGAGTTAAAATCTTATCGAGAGATTATTTAATTAATATTCTTTGTGGAAAAGAAAATCATGAACTGTTTTCTTCCAAACTTAGATGTCTCGGGCTCCCACGTTTCGTATAGATACTTCGACGGTCGACACTGTTTTATACTCCTTGCGATATTTTCGTTACAGAATTTCTGATTTTTTTTTTTTAATAGTTCATGAAATTTTGATCAACGAAGATTATGAAGGATTTAGAACTTCACGAACTATGGATATAATTTCGAAAATATGAACTTGCCAATACTGTACAGTAATTAATAAATAGTTTTAAAAAAATAAGTTTATGTTCTACAAGAATCAAGTATAAATCTTTTAGCAGATGAATAATAATGACACTTTTACATGACCGGATGTGTTAATTATGTAAATAGTGTATTTTGTTGACTCTTACCAATAGACCTCGCGTAAAGTCGAAGATGTAACTTTTTCGTTTCTTTTCACTTTCCCATGAAATTACTTGTTCGGATTCCAGTGTTGTATAATGGAGTATCAAAATATTATTTATCATCATATTTTTGTGTAATGACGAGATAATTATCACGCCTAGAAGCAGAGTCAATGAGCTGGAGATATAGAAATGACATTATCCGACCTAAAATTAGGCCTAGATATTGTAAATATTCAGGCATTGTTGAGCAATGAGTGCTTAATAATTTGCACAAACAAAAATGTCATGATTAGTTTTTACAATTTCTTCCTCTTTCTGAATAGAATAATGCATTTTAAGGTTTAGGCAATTGATGGGTTGGCTACGACGGATATGTTCAAATGAAAGAAAATGGGTCCTACTGTAAGGAAAAAAAAACAAAGTAAGAGATCCCTTTTTTACATTTTCCAATTCGACACCTTCTCAAGCAAGGCTTATGAATATTTTAAGAGATGAATGATATTTACCTTTATATTTTGTTGCAAGTTGTTTATTATAACAGGACAAACTTTTCTCATGGGTGTAAGCTCTTGCTTCTTAACAGATCCAACTCTAGTACGTTTGTGTTGCTTCATAATTGTGTTAGTAATCCATTTCGCCTCGTGTCCTAATTTTCCTTGTAATTTATCTTTCAGATATGTAGATCATGTATAAGATTTCATAATCCGTTCTTCCTCTCTTATACTAGTTTTTATGTTTCAGTATCAGCAGAATAAGGTGTTCTCATCCTTACTTAAGACATTAAGCATAATATCAAAGTTGTTTAGGAACTAATCTCAAAGATTACCAATCTAGTTTTGAAGACTTTGGTAGGTCAAGATATTTCAATGGTTATATTTTATTAAGGACTGTTTGGTAGTGTTTAAAGAAAAAGGTAATATAAATATCTCATAACTAAGTAGTTTAATTCAAAGTGAAAACCTAATACTTGACTTTGAATTTTTGTTAGAAGTTAAAACATCTTCACACATCAAAACAACGGTGTAGTACTACTGGTCTCTATTAAAACACCAAAACAGTAACCGGTGCTTACGCAACACTAATTCATATCGAGTTATTTAAGTGAAATGAAAAATAACCTAAGTAAACACATAATCAGCGGTTGGTGATGAGTTCATCACTTCATATGCACACCGGATAATACGCAAATTTATTGAATGATCCAGAAGCACTTCCGGTGGCCAACATTATCCTTGATATTTTAATTAACAAAAGATTGGTTATAATTTCACTTTGAGTTTATTTATTTGTACGGTTGCTGTAGACTTTGGGTTAGCTAATGATGACTAAAACGATATAGGATCCCTACTTTGTTACTATAGTTTATATGTCTCGCAATTTCTATATTAGTGGAGTATCTTTGCTGTGTCGGATAGTGGACTGAAAAGTTTTAGTTTGGAAAGAAATAGAAATTACAATACAAATACAAACAACAATTACTTTTCATTAATTTATTGGTCTAACGAAACAGAAGAATATGTTCTTTTTGAAAAAACCAAAATGGGCATAGACATGAATTTCGTGCTATAAAACTATAAGCCTTCACTTATTGGTTTTACAAAGATCTTAGTTTTGGGCTTTTAAGTTTGTTGGGCTGTATTTGGTTTGTCAAAGATTTTAGGGTAAAATCGTACTTGTACTCTCCACCACTCGCTTAACTTTGAGCATAAATAGCTTCTTGTTACCAAACTCCACGCTAAAACATTGCACCGAAGCAAATATACTAATCACCAAAGTCGTCGGTCAAATGGAATCACAAGCGGTGGCGTCTGAGTGGGAGGGAAAGCACGTGGCCCAAGTCAACGGCGTCACGGCGGGGCAAGCATGGTCGGTTGTTTCGGACTTCTGCAACGTCCACGAGTGGTTCCCATCTGTCGCCACGTGTCACCGAGTCCAAGGAACCGATGGTCAGCCGGGTCTGATCCGCCACTGTGCAGCCGTCAAAACCGAGGAAGAGGAAACCAAGTGGGCTTTAGAGCGTCTGGTCGAGATCGATCCAATCAAACGGTGTTTGAGCTATGAGATCCTCGAGAACAACGTGGGGTTCAAATCTTACGTGTCGACGGTCAAAGTAATGCCAGTGGACGGTGGAGATGAAGCGGACGGTGGAACAAGCTGTCGAATCGAGTGGTCGTTTGTGTCGGATCCTGTTGATGGTTGGAAGAAGGAAGACCTTGAAGCCTACGTGGAGTCTTGTCTTAAACACATGGCCACTAAAATGGAAAAGAATCTGTAAAAAAAAATTTCCCTTGGTTCAAATGTGAAAGCTCTTTGTGTTTTTGTCACCGTGAAAATCTGACTGGTGGGTTTCAAGTTTAAAATAAAATAATAAATGCATGATGTTTGGACCGTTTGGTGCGTCTATGATTCTTTGGAACTTCATTTTTTCTGGATTTTGAGTTTTTTTTTTTCATATAAATACAGAAAATGTCATATTTCTTTGATTGTCAGTTTACATTTTCTGTTGATAATACATTTTGCTTGATTTCTTTCCACTACAGCTGACTTTTGAACAATGAGAAAAAAAACAAATATGTACATTAAAAAAATATTCTAAGAGAATATTAACCACACGAACATATTCTGAAAGGATATAATCATATAAACGACAGAAAAAATTCTCTTTAAAAATTGTAATGGAAACAAGAGCATTAAGTACAAGCCTTTATGAAAAGAAGAAGTAGCATTAAAGAATTTATGAGTCTCGGAAATGGATTCATCGGCTACGTGGTGGAAATCGCCATACGTCAGTGATTCTTCCTAGTTGGGTTTAGTGTTTTTGACATTTGCTTGGCCCATCTATCGTAGTAATATAAAAACCATATTTCAGCAAGGGTTGCATACTTGGATGGTTCTACATTGTTGGTACAGAATAAACTTGCAACTAGCACATATTCTCATCCTAAGTTTTCATTATTTTGTCTTAATGTTGGTGACTGCGAGGAAAGTACACCAAAAAGTGAATTACTATTACTAGCATTTAGCCATTTGGTTACAAAACTACCGACAAATATCGGAATTACAATTGATGTTTTTCTTCCTTCTTGAATACAACTGATATTAATTGTTAACCTGGATGGGATTTCTAGTTTCTTTTTTATTGGAAACCTGATTTTAGACTTTTATGAGAAAATGAGTTTGAAAGGCAAGAGTGAAAAAAATTGGTGTAACAATTTGGCAGTTCAACAAGTGTTTATCAGTCACATTGTTAAGTTTTGCGGAATCAATATTTAAATAAATCCTTTCAAATATAGAGATGATAGTCATTTTCCGGCGGAGTACTATATAACTAAATACAAATTAACTAAAAGAGTTAAACGAGTGTTTATAAATATATCTCTGGAAAAAAAAGGGTCTCTGTGTTTTGATAATTAACGAAAAACTTGAAAATTTTATCAGATAAAAGACCAGTTGAGGAACATGAAGCAAATACAGTGTGGATCTTCTTCGTCGTTCAATACTTTCCACGCAACAGCCTTCTCATACGTTACTGCTCTTCCCATGCTCGACACGCATATTCCTCCATCAATACACATAAACCCCTGAAAATATATTTTATTAATTATGACACCGTTACACATTTTTCGAAACTTAACCTAGTTACATTAAATGCATAAATTCGGTTTATCGTACCTGTTGCATGATCTGAGGGAACTCGGAGCATAACGTCTTCTTCCCGTTGTTTTCGAATATCTTCTCGAGAGTGATATCTTGAAGTGCCACCAACGTCGTCTCTAGCATATCTAAACCGGCCTGGTTCGCAAACGTGAATACCGACGGTAAGGCCTGCAATAATCAAACCAGTCCACTTTCCTCGTTAGCAAATCTTATAATTTTTAAAATTTAAATCATGCATAAGTATAACCGACATGTTCAAAATGTAGCTAGTAAGAGAAAAATGACCTTGATTGAACAACACATGACGGCGTCAGGATGGTGCCAAAGAGACTTGAGAAGATCGGTTCCATTAGGTTTAAGTAGCTCAACGCCAAGGTAACATCTATAGGAATGAGAAATCCAACGAGCGAGCGTGTGAGCTTCTGGTGACGCGGGTGGAGGACGAAGACCGCCGCTTAGCTGATGAGAAGAAGGAGAGAGAGCAAGCGCGACACGTTGGACCGACGCGATCACACTTCTCACGTATTGTCTAGCCATTGAGGCTACATTCTCTTGCATGTGCATCTCAAAAGCTAGCTGAAACGCTATTGTCATTACTGATTTTGTGTTTCCTCTGCTTCCGCATGACTCTCCGGCTGTTCTGCTCCCCACGTCTAGAGCCGATGCTAGGTCTAGCGTTCGGTTAGGACTTAACCCCTCCTAAAAACAATTTATTATTATTATTATTATTATTATTTTGATTTGAGTGAAATTTTTATAGTAGTTCTAATATAAATTGAACGTACTGATTTGGAATCAAGGGGAATGATGCGGAAGCCGGAAGGAATGATTGGAGCATCATCAGAGAAAGAGGCGTCAATTGGTGCAAAGATAAGCTCTGCGCACGATTCAACTGCGTTCTCATCCACACCACTGCACATCTAAATCATCACACCATACAAATTATATAAGAATAATTTAGGTCTCAAATATTAGTTTGGAATAGTAATTTTCCTTGGATGTATAATTTTTTCAGTAAACACAAGGAAGATATCAGCAGGCATCTTACTTGCAAAAGGAAGATATCAGCAGGCATCATCATATCTTCTTGGTAATGCCCCAAGCTCTCCAGCTTAATCACTTCCATGAACTGCCAAAAACAGAGAAGAAAAAGGGAATAAAGTTTTGTTTTTTCCTAAATAAAAAGTTAAACGTAATTATAATATCGATTTGATTTTGATAGATTCCTTAGTACACTTACTTCTTCATTCTCTATAGTGTGAGCTAGAGGAAGAATGACTTGACCACCAAAGCTCCCTGGGCGAGGGATTGGTAAGCTACAAGGACCTGCTTTGATGGCTGCAGCGGAATACGCATCAATGCTATTATCGGCCCATTCTTGCCTATGTTCCCTCAAGAACCGCAGAAGAATCGAGGGGGGAACATTCTGCACAAACAAAAATTATCCTTAATGATGGATAAAAAAGAGGAAAAATTGAGAATCTCAATCATTTGAGATTTGATGAGCTTAATTACTTGTAATAACATGGAAGCTTTGGCACATAGAACCGCGCTAGGCATGGAAGTGAAGCCATTGGAAAATGGGAGACTTGAAGTTATCATCATCTTTGTGGGAGAGTTGTTCACAAGAAGAGTAACATCGTCGATACCATCGCTCTCTAGCATCGACCACCCTTCATCGCTGAACCCATTGACTGCTTCGTTGAATCCTCTGAGATATATTATAAGAAACAATTTAGGTTTTATATGAAAGGTTTTTAAGTGTTTTTGAAGGTGAAGTGTGAGAAGCTTGTATAGTTGAATTACCTGCTAAGTCTTTGGCTAAGTGCTCTAAGAGCAGCTGGTCTTCTTCCCCAACCACTTACGTTAGGTTGTGAAATCTCTTGAGATATTTGTCTCAAATAGCGTAGAGCCTGTAAATAGCACAAAGACACCATAATAAATTTCTTACACATCCTTTTTCTTAAGAACAATGTTGCGATCATTTCAGACACTATGTGATATGTGAATCTTACTGCCATGGTGGTTCTTTGGGCGAGCAACGTTGAAGACTCATAAAGAGAACGAAGAACTTCTGGCACACTCCATGGCTACAAAAAAAAATTTAACCACCAAGCTTATTGAAATATTATTGGAAACCAAAAAACTATATAAAGAAAGGAAATGAGATTTGTGGTATTTTAGGAAAAATCAAGTTTTCATGGTATTTTAGGAAAATAAAACTAGCAATGGTAATTTTGGAACAAAAACTTATTTTGTGGTATTTTAGTAAAACACATATTTTATGGTATTTTCGGAAAATAAAATTTGGGAACAAAACTTATTTTGTGGTATTTTTGAGAATTGCCAAAAAAATGAACTTTAGAAACAGAGGAAACACTTCGCTTTCAGAACCTAGGTTTCTTGTGTAAGAAGAAACAAGTTTTTTTATGAGGAAACTGAAGAAATGATAAAAAATAGGAAAGGCTTTGTACCTCAAGATCGAAATGATCGACAATGTGAAGAATGGATCCACCTCCTTCACATGGTCTAATGAGATAGCCACTTGGTAAAATCTCTGCTCTAACGAAATGAGGAGACGGAGGCATACTTGGACCATTTTGTGTATTGTTCAACGAACGTTCGCATATCTGCATCGATTAGTACAATATCATCCATTGATCGAAAAAGAGAAACCAAATATCATGAGAATAACTGAATAAGTAAGGATGATTTTATAAGTATATATACCACAAGGCTTCCGTCTTCCATTACTGATGTGTAACGCAGCATCCAGAAATCACGAGCTGGTGCCAGTGTTGTCGGTGCATAAAGCTTTCATAATAAAAAGAAAGAATATGATTCAATTTTAGCTTTGTTCTGATTCGAATTGTTTGGTTTGTGTTTGAATATGATTCTTTAGTACCTGCAAGTAAATTAGCTCGAGGGTTCCACCATTTGCAGTGGACAGGACGTTAACGATATCGAGAGATCTACAATCACGCAACCAACTAGGCCGATCCTTAAGGATCTCCGCGACCTAAGGGAAAAAAAAAAGAATTGTGATTTATGTTCTTGGTTGATTGATGAGGACGTAACAAAATCTTAGAAAGAAGTGGATAACACTCACTCTTGTGGGATCAAGACCCACGAGACCGCAAGCACGAGCTGCGATTCCCGTGCATCCATGAGAAATAGCAACGATTCCAATGGAATCCGGACCAGGCTGCAAAATTCATTAGTCAGTAACAATATTGAAGTACAAGAAGACAAGCTAGCAAGAGATGACTTATGTGAAGTACCTTCATCCCAGGCATTTGGACCCACTCGACGGCGGTTCCAGTTGCCTTTGAAATGAACTCTGTTAAAGTTTCATCCGCAATGGACAATAGTCTGAAGAAACACACAAAGAGATTATATACATCTGCAGCGAATTAGTATCCACCATTGAAAGTTTGGTTTTAGCTTACCCAGCAGGGCTAGCGTCACGAGGCTGGTGTTGAGGGGTCAAGTGGTGCTGACCACTCGTCACCACTGACTCACAGCTCGTATCCGTGGTCGCCAAGTTCCCTTGCTATTATTCCCCAATCACAAGAAAAACCGAGAGAGACGATCAATTACATAACTTATAGGTCACGT